TCGATTTTTTTAAATAAATTTTCAAATGTCACAACTGGTAATTTTTGTTTCGATGCGTACAAAATATCTTGTTCACCTATTTTGACCAAAACGAAGTGCTTCTTTGCCCAGAATTCGAGCTGCGCCTCGTGTTTTATTTCGACATCCTACAGAATTTCTACCACTTCATTGTAAATTTCTGTTTTAATTAAGTGTTTTCACAAACTCATTCACTTTAATGTAGAATACTTGCTCCATTTTCACAAGATAGATCGAACTATTGTTGTTAAATTTACTATTTAAACTTACAAAAACAAAGAGCTATCCCATTCAAAGTATATTCCCTCATTCCATCTTGCATAGAAGTTTTAATTTTACACATTTCAATCTGAACTAGGAAAAATTAAAATTTCAATCTATCCTAGTTCGATTTAAAACTGAACTCGATTTTAATCTATCCTACGACATATACATATACACATGTATATAGGTTAAAGAGACGAAAGAATGCACCTGAATTAGATAAGATAAGAGAGAAGGAGAGAGATATGTTCGCACTGTATGCAATAATATTGCCAATGATAAATGATATGTTTTTTCATTTCGCTTTCTCATTATTTTTAGCCATCCCTGTTTGTTTTATACTAACATCGAATAGAAAACAAGATATACATATATGAAGCGATTTTTCGATGTTTGAAAAGAATAGATGGTAAAAAAGGTATCGATTTAAAACCAACTACAATTGTTTGTGATTTCGAAAGAGCATTTATATCAATGCTGTTCAAACATAAGTACGTCATTTTTTTTCAATATCTCATAGTATTATGAGATTGGCTCTTGTACCTGTTGAACATATTTCAGATGGATTTAAACTATTGAAAAAAAGCTTCGAGCATCTTCTGAAGCAGAGAAATTTAGAGCACTTTAGGTTATTTCGAAAAACAATGATTTAATAGTTTTAAACCAGAAATGTGGTCCGTATCTGACAGAAATTGACGAACAAATCATTTTGCTGAAGGTAAGAAAAGACTTCACAATGATCTTTATAGGGATCTGTGTGAGTGAATTGCCCATATTTTGATATTTTAATTTTAGCAAAACATCGACGGTTTTTCTCAAGAGTTGTTCAGCCACATCCTAACTTGTAGAGGTTTATTCAATGTTTAAACCAAGAAGAAACTGTTCTATCTCATCGAATGGCCCAAATTGATCTTGGTTTTTCGTCTACCAAATCATCAAAAACTATTCAAGCAGCGGAACGTTAAAGTAAACAAATAAAAAAGTTATTTAGTTTATGATTTTCAAAACAAAAATCTCTTGAAGTAACATTAACATTATTTGCTTACCTTGTTGGTGATCCGGTTTGTCGAGATAACAAAGGGAAAAAAGAGGAAAAAAAGTTAAATCAGCATCAAACTCATCTGATTCAACATCTAGTGAATCACCAACTGATGAATAAATGATTATTCAATTTTTTCTTTATCTTATTCAAGCTTCATATGTTCATTTGTTCTTTTTTTCTTAACTTCATTTCCATTGGTATTATATTATTCAGCATACCTTTTCTAGTTTATCATGTAGTGTATAAAATTGCTATGATCATATTCGAACGATTTCTAACCGAATGATTCACATTATATTTATATGAATCAAAATCTATTCGACTCTCGCGAGTATATCTTTTGGACAATCGCCAATTGGCAAAGTTCAAGAATCCCGCTCTTTCAAGCACGTACCGTACTTTACATAGGGTACATCCAAATCGAATGAAAGTTTCAGATTTTGTAGACTTACATTTGTAAGCATGTCTACAAGCGTAAAATTTAGCATAAACCTGGCGTAGGGATATGAACGGGGTGGATAATTTTGGGTGTTGCAGCTAAAACCTGATTTCTGGAATTATTCCATTTTGAATAATAGAACACTGGAGCTTTTAGAGTAGATACTATTCGATGAGACGTTCATTGCATTGAGTCCGAATATCTTTCTCCAATGCTTCTTTTGTATCGATATGTTTTCCACAAAAATCAACTTTTTTCGGGAGATTAGAATTATCTTTGAAATTATACTATTCAGTTATATGTTTTGGAAGGGTTTACAATAGAAATTAACAATTATCTACTCGGAAGGTGCTTAGAGTTGAGATTTTCTTGATATAAGCTATAATAAAAATGAGTGTACTACCTTGCGCAATGAATTGGGTGTGGGTGTGGGTGTGAATCTTCTTATTATTTTCGCACACCCACACTCTCTTCCATTTAAAACTTTAGTATGATTACTAACAGAAACATATTTTTTTAATTCATTTGCTTTAAATGCAATTTCATCTTTTGAAGCTTCATGTTTCGCTAAGATTCGACTTGAATCTTCATCAATTCCAAAAATAGTACCTTGTAAATTAATTAATTCTTCTTCACATACTTCAATTTGATCTAAATAAAATAATTCGATTAAAAATTACGAGTGCCTTCTGGTTCATCAATTGTTTATAAGACTCAAATTACTAATAAGAAAATAATTTGTATTTACTATTATAATACACTGTGTGACTTTAAATAACTAGTTGTTATATCCAGATTTGATTTCAAAAAGCATAAAAACTTAATAGTATGTACACAAAAGACTTGTTGATCAATCTCTTATCCGTTTACTTTCAGTACCTATTGACATTTGAGCAGTAGAAATAAACCAGATGTTAATAACATGTGGATAATGTGTGTCTACAGTAAAAAAATTTCTATAGATGAGAAGAAAATAATGAACGATAATCTTACTTATTTAATTAATTATAACAAAGCTCACATTTACTATGCAGCATAGAATTTTATACTAGAAAATTTTCTGTTTTTTACTATTCTACCATATGAAAAATAAAATCTTTAATTATTAAATTTTTGTCATATTCATGAACCATGATTGAGAGAAAAATTGATTCTAAAACCGGAAGGATACCTGTTGGAAAATAAGAAGTCTTTTTCATGACTGACATTTTTCTCCTAGTAAAGCAACAGGAGACAGCATCCTAAGCGAGAGAGAGAGGGAAAACATTAGATTTGTACTAATGCCCATCTGCCTTTGCTTGTTCGTGTAAGTATATTGATCTCAATGTCTTCTTTGGAGTTCTTTTTTTTTCAACGAATCAATTATTCTCGTGCATACGATACAAGGATTTGTTGTTTGATTAAAATCAATCATGTTGAAATAAACTATAAGCTCAAGTACTTTTCTCTTATTTGCATGCTATTACATGAATATATTTTTTTTCTCTCGGTGGAATAAGAATTTGAAAAGAACAGAATTCTTCTTGCTTTTAATTCATCAACGTCATAATAAGCCATAATTCTTTGCGCGAAGTTTGATAGTAGCATTGATGATAGGTGTCATTTGATATATATATATATATATATGTATACATATATAATCAAGCATCACTTCTTGGTTGATGTTATTATTTTTTACCAGATAAGTATTCTAGTTTTGTGTTCTACGCACAGGTAATTATATTAATGCCCTTCAGTTAAATATTGCTCTTATCTAGATTAGATTTCGAATACTAGATGTTAACGACAAACACAACAATATGCGATAGATCCTAATTTCACTTCGCAATTGTTCGCATTAGAGTAAAATCAAACCGAAAAAAATAAAGACGACGATGATGATGACATCAAGCATATATACAAATGCCAATAGAACTCTGACGGCTTTTCTATTGTATCCAAATAAAATGTTATGTTGATTATTCATAGTAACGAATGAGAACGAAACGTTTCATTGTTCAATAGGAAAAAAAGTACAAAACGGCTGCATCAATCAAATGAGGGAGAGAGAAAGTCGGCAAGTACGGCAATAAGGATTGGAACCAGACGAATATATACATCTCGAACCTGTCTGTCATCACTGAAGACCAGTAAAATCTAGCAACAAAAAAAACAATAGCAGAATAAAGTGTGAGGGAGAGAGAGAGCGAAGAAGAAGAAATGAAAATGAGTCCCAAAGCGAAGATCATGGATGGTATGAAGAAAAAGTATATAGTAAGAATAATCAAGAAACTACGAGACATTTGCTCGTTTTTTCTTATACGCCGCGCATAGTCAACCTTTGTATATGCCTAAAAGTCATATTATAAAATGATACAGATATATATATATATATATATATATATATATATATATATATAGAGAGAGAGAGAGAGAGAGAGAGACAGAGAGAATACGTTGTACTCTAATGAGTTCAGCTGTCATTTTTGTTTTTTAAGAGAAAATAATTAGAATATTAATTTATGATCAGATCAAAGTTAAACTCATTGGTAACGATCGTTGTTTGAAATGTTATTTATTATTCCCAATAGAACTAAATACCTTTCTTATCATTGAAGTACTACTGCTAATGTGGCCTTCGTCGAATTCAACGATCATTAGAAAATCATTTGAGAATGAAACTTCTATTAATTTAAGTTCAATAGCAAACACAACAACAATAACGAGTATATCATTGATAACAACACTAATACAAACAATTGCGGCACCAAATGATGTTTATGATTCTCGTATAACAAAACCATTTGCTGTTGTTTGTCTATTTGTTGGAAGTATTGGAAATTCGTTATCATTTATTGTGTTTACACAAAAGCAATTACGAAAACATTCAACATTTCGTTATTTAGCTTATCTATCAATTGTGGATCTAATTGTTTTGTATTTAGGCTTAGGAAATATTATATTACGTGATTATTTTTCATTTGATATACGAGTACAAAATTTATTTCTATGCAAAGTTCATACGTTTTTAACATATGTTACAACGCAATTGTCATCATGGATATTGACGATTGTCTCGATTGATCGTGCTATTGCATGTACAGTAATACAATTACATAGACGTTTTTGTCGACCGAAATCAGCCGATCGAATATTTTTTACTATGTGCATAATTATCACGTTAATAAATAGTCATATTTTATTATTCATGGGCTCCAAACGCACAATAGCTCAGTCAAATATTTATAATATATCGTCCTATCAAAATACTATCATATGTACACATAATACATCAACTACTTATTTTAAATTTTTTGAAAAACCTTATAATATAATCGATCTTCTATCTTATGTACTCATTCCATTCATTATAATGACAATATGTGCTTGTATAATAGCTTATCGGCTGTTTTTTTCACTGCGTCATACAACAGTTCACGTCTCAGTTAATGGAAAAACACGACGAGGAACACACCGTGCAAAACAAGTATCCTATATGTTATTAACATTAAATTTAGTCTTTGTTATTTTATTAACACCTATTGTTATCGGTCAAATATTTCAAAAACTTAATGAAGAACATCGCTATCGTCTATACAATTCAATAACATTATTAATGTCCTATTCAAATCATGCGTTGAACTTTGTTCTTTACGGTATTGCATCACCGCAATTTCGTTTAACATTAAAACAATTGTTAGACCATGGAAATGATTATACGCCACCTAGACGTCTGCAAACACTTGGCTATTGTACATCAACAGCTTGTTAAACTTTATTATATAACAAGAACGCAAAAAAAAATAAACAAAATGATTATGACAAAATACGAATTTTTTTCTCTAGAATAATAGGTGGCTGTAAATAATCTCGTGAGATTTTATTTAGTGCTTCAAGAGCTATTTGTGCGTGTAGGCAAACTATATCATCTTTATCGTTTTTATAGAGATGATTGATTAATTGATAAAACGATGACAACTCATTGCCAAGTATAGTTAACCACGTTGATTGTTCAAGTGATTGACATAGAAGTTCACAAACAAGAATTGATGCACGTCGAACATCTGACGATTCCGACACGGATAAATAACTTTTCAAGGCAATTAAAATCTAATCAAAGAAAACAAAAAATTACAAAGTTGACAACAAGAAGAAAATATTTACTTCAGAAAGATCTTTAGAAAGTGAATATCTAAGAACAGTACATAGTTGACCAAGATTCGATAGTGCACTTGCTCGATAAATATCATCATCGGTTTGTTTCGATGCATTAAGTAATGTATTAATTAATAGTGACGAATATTTTGTTGACATCTCTCCTAAAAAAAAGGCTTTATTATTAAAAGTAATTTTAACTCATCTTCGAACGGAAATAATTTCAATAGGAGCAAAAAACATACTCGACACTAATTCTCTTTAATTTATATTCGTCTATACTTAAATACAGAAAAACTTGTCTGTAGTCATAGTGATTCTTTTCGCATGCGATCAGTTATTAAGGAATTATGTGAGAGTAAATATCTAGTGTCAGTGTGTCATGTGGCAACTAATATTTATTTCATTTTTTTGTAGATCAAAGTAATAAACATAATTGACTTACCGAAAGATCGGCATGTTTTAACTAGAATTTCTCCAACTTTTAATTTATCTTCTAATTTTCTATTCTTATTCAAATATTCATTGCAAAGTAAAGGCAAAATTTTATCTGTATATTGATTTGCTAGTGCACTAAGAACATTGATAGCTGCTAAATATTCATATGAATCATCCGCGTGTAAATGTTCTTGAAAACGTTCGAATAATTTCATATTGTTATCTTGAATTTGCGTTAATGTTTCTTTATCAGATCGTTCAATTAGACGTCGAAATAAAATTAAACCATGAGCACGTATTGGTATACTTGAATCGTATAAACATGCAAAAGCATTCTGAAATGTTTCTTCACGTAAATCACGTTCTTCATTAATTTCTTCAATTAATAATTTAGTTTTTGATTTTGTTGAAACTTCTTTTACAGCTCCGAAAGTTACAAATGCCATTGATAATTCATTTGCCAATTGACTAAGTTCATTATTTGAATGATTTTCTTTAATCCATATTAGCGAAGGATAGAATGACGCTAGAATTTGTTTATTTTCAGATGATAACTTTTAAGAAGAAAATAAAACGTGAACGAATATAAAAGAAAAATACAAGTTATTTACTTGTTCATAATTTGTTATTAATAATGATGCAATAGTAAAAATAATTTGTAATGCTTCATTATCGGATGATAAATCATCATCATTATCATCATTTTCATGAGTAATTATTTTTGTAAGGAAATTTTCTTTTGCTTTTTCTTGACATGTTTTCGTTACTTTTTCAAGAATAATCTACAATAAATTAGCTGATAATAACTTTAAGCATGTATCATATCTTCTAAATGTCATTTTATACATAATTATCAACTATAAAAATGTTACATTCGATCTACGTAAATAATTAGAATTAATTGGTTAGACTGCAAACAATTTATCCTTCTACTATTACTATCAAGTCACAAACGGCTTTAGATAATTATCCAAGAGTCTATTTTTTGTGACAGTCGTCAATCGATTTTTCGATGGACTCATTTGTTCTTCTACGACAATACCAAAATCAACTTTTAAAATATTATCCTAAGCTGTTTGAAGTAGAAGACATGAATATGTTTTGGAAGTCAAAAAAAAACAACCTTATAATCTACAGTTCACATCTGTTTTATATTTGTCTTGTATAATTCTATAATTATAAATTGTTTACTATCACGTCATCTAAAATAATATCTATCATGTTCGTTTTAGCTTTTATAATCTTTTCTTCAACGACATGTATTTGTGTTCTTTCAGTAGGACACTATCATTTCTATATTTATATATACTTTTCTCAACGATCCATAATTGTCAAGGTCTCAGTAATGATAGGAAACTTGAATAATTACTTTGCCTTTATCATAATGATCAGATTTATACCAACGCGACTGATATCTAATCGTCAATGGGTGTCAGTCTTATTACATATGTTTTAGATTATTTAAGAGATAATTGATCGAGCATGTCAGATATACAAACTAGACAAGTACTGTAGAAAAATAGATAAACTTCTTACTTGAAAGTTTCTATATACAAGATTGATCTATACGCATACCTGTATAACTCTAATTGTATCATCAACATTTTTAATAAATATATCAATATGATCTGTTAAATACTCCATAATATATTTTAAAATATGCATAATTTTGATTTGTTTCATACTGGTTTGTTTTTCATTTTCTGTCCAAATAAGTACTTGACTAGATCGATTATTCGTTATTAATAATTGTAATAGATCAAGAAATATTTTCACCACTAATCCATCATTATTATCAGTAGAAAATAAAATTTTTGTTATTATTTGACAATATATTTCGAAATTATATTCAGAATTTTCATCAATAATTAAATAAAATATCGATGATTCATCCGGAAGGAATTTTAATGAAAGAAATTTAAAATCGAATAAAATTCTTTTGAAATATTCGATGTATATTTCACTTGTCATTGATGAAAATAACACTTTCATAATATTAAAAAATTTTATTTTCAATGGTGATAAAGAATTTTCTAATGCAAGATAAATATTCATTAATTCATTGAGAAAATTTTCATATAAATAAATTCGCATGTGTTCATTGGGTTGTAGAATTATTAAATTATGTAAATCATCTATAAATAATTCGCATTGTTCATTCGTACAAATTTGATTTAATAGACGATTTCGACAGGAAATCAATGGATGAAATAATATCGACAAAATTTCATGCTCCATTAATTTTTCATATCTCTTCAATAATCGACTTATTGCTATAGCTATTACAGGCATATAACGTTGATCATGAATAAGTTCAATAAATTGATATTTAATACGTTGAAAATATTCTTCAGGTTTTAATTGTTTTGGACAAGTTGAAAGAATTTTTGCGACAGATGTATAGAGTCGATCGTTGGGCGATGTTGAATCAAATATTGTTTCTAGTATTTGACGGATACCACGATTGCTTGGATGAATTAATATTGATGTCAACAGATCTCCACAGCGATTTTTAAGCCACGTTGGACTATTAATTGTTGTCGACAATAAACGATTTAATAATAGTATCTGTTGAATGAATAGATTGGAGAATGTATCTTGAAGGTAAAGTAACGTGTCTTGTAGATTTGCGATTGGATATTCTTCTGATGAGTATTTTAGATTAGGCGAATAAAGTAATTGGAGATGACTAAGAATTAATTCTAATAAATAATTTGCACAGAGACGTTGAGTTAGAACGGAATTTTTATTCATAGTTGAAATTAATTGCATTAGAAAATTTAATGTTTGATTTAAATTAGACATTCGATCATGATGTGTTAAATGACTTTTTAATTTTAATAAATGTATAGATGCTTGAGAATATTTTAGATAGTTTTCTATCGAAAGAAAAATTCCATCATCGAAATGAAGTACAAGACCAAGAAGAACAACAAATGATAATGAACGAGATAGAATAGATTCATCTTGTACACTAAACAATGGAAGATGACTCGAGACAAGATGTGCTTGCTCATGGGAAATAATTTTTTCGATAAGATGCAAATGAATTTGTAAGTAACGATAATAAATTTGTTGATCGTTGTCGAAAGGTATTGTTATACCGATAGGTGTGCTTATTTGAATAAAATGATCAATAGCATTGGAAAAAATAAAGTTAATGGTTAACAGTTGATCTTGTTCTGCATCTTCAGGTGAAACTAAAATGAAGAAAATTTTGGAAATGATCGCTTTAACTCGTAACGTAAAATTGATAAGTGAAATATATTTAATTTACTTTTTATTGTTGATATTGGTTTCATTAATTCATCTAAGAGTGATAATAATTGTCGATGCTCAGGTTCCATGTTTAAATCTAAACTGTTTGAAGAAAACAAAACTAAAATTTCGTTTTAAGTAAGATTTTTAGTTTTCAATGGCAACCAAACATATAAATACTTCATGGATTTTCAAAATAGTCCATGCAGGAGCCTATCAAATGCCGATTTTCTAGTGAAAATTAGTGACATCTCAAGTAAATTCTGCTCAAATAATAAAAGAGTATAGTTCGATGATATCATTGAGAATTCTTCATGATAAGGCACAACAATAAGGAAAATTTTATTGAACAAAAGAAGAAAAAAAAATAATATATAGATAAATAGATAGAAAAAAATTCAGTCTACAAGGGAAAATAAAAATGATTGAGAGTGTATGTATTCATATATTTACAATAAGGCACATTGGTATTTACGATGAGCAAAAATAAAAGTAATTCAGAGAAGAAGTCACCGTTTAAAGGTTCACAAAGTGAAAACACCAAGCAGTACAAAGCAATATGAGAAGAAAAAAAAGCACCAACGTGGTAAGAGTTATTTACTAGGAACCATTCGTATTATCATTGTCGCGATGAGATAAATGTCCTTGAAGTTTTTGATATTGCGTCCACTAAATAAAACAGACACTAGAAAAACCTGATCGGAACTCTCCTGTTTCTTACCATATGATTTTGGTCAGTAGCAGGATGTTGTAAATGAATTCCTTTTTTACAATATGTATTCAAAAGTGCGATACCTCGTTCTTCCATTCGACTATATTTTGAAATCCATTCATTCAATAGTAAATTATAATAACGGGGTGTTTCAAAGTATTTTAAATATTTTCGTGTTTGATTCGTTGGAAAAATACGTTCAAATGAACCACGTCGTGAGTATTCATCTTCTGATTCGATTAGAATTCGTAAATCATCTGGTGTTAAAACATCAAGAATATTTCGTCGAGATTGCTAGAAGAAAATTTAAAACAAAACAAAACAATAAAACGAAAAATCAAATTTCTGTTCGGTACTTCATCATGATAACGTTGAGCAAAATGTTGATGTTTAAGTTTCTCGTCTGTTGATAATCCTTGTGGAAGAACTCGACGATCGAATATAAGACATTTGGGTAATTTAGGTTTTCTAAAATAAGCCAAATACAAGAAAAGAATTAACTCAAGATAAACGAGTTAAGTTACCTTCGTGCTGAACCTTCATATAAAATATCTCGTCGATCCGGTATCATAAAACCGCTTAAATTAAGCAAATCAGCGATCATCGCACCTTTTACACTGATATCTAATGGTGAATTCGAATGTAAACTAATGAAAAACATTTATTCGAAAACCAAATATATATGTGCATGTTTTTTTATCTTTACCTTGGCGAAATATTTACTTCAACAATGTACGGTTTACATTGTTCATCGAGTATAACATCAAAACCGAAAAGTTCGTGAACACTAAATTTGCGTCGTACATTAGCTTTTGTTAATACATTAATATATGCATCAGCACTAAATTTAATTAAAGAAACAGTTAATATATTATTTATTTATACACTCTTTTATCTTATGTCAACAGTATATGTGCTTGTGGTTTATGTTTGGTGACAAAAAACAATCTTTATTATAATCAAATAATGATAAGGTAACAATATATAGTTCCACGGAGTACATTCTTCTATTTATATCTCAGAATGTGAGATTCGAGAAAATCTGATAATTTCACCTTGACCTAATTTCATGTCTACAAATACTTGATGATAATACAGCTACTAAAATCTAACCGAGCACGAACCATCATTAGATCATACAAACCTGATGATCGTTTTAACAATTAAATCTTTAATTTTTTCCATAATATCTGCTACATCAAGATCACGTTTTTTTAAGTAAGTCCACAATGCTTTTAAACTCCTAAAATTAATATTCATACAAAATAAATTATCAATTTATTCTCCCATGTCTAACTTACCATTTATGTCCAGTACATGCTCCTGAATCATTATTTGTTTTATATTCACTATTATAACGATTAATTGAATAATTCGTCAAGTGCATAAAACGATCACTTAATGATTTGACCGATGAAGAATATCTATTTTTTTGTTTCAAAACAAAATTTATTTTGAAAGTTTCGTTTCATTTTCGTTTATAGTACATACTTTCTCGAAGCAAATCGAGTTAAGCCTAAGGAAAAGAAAAACTATTTACAAAAACAAAATCTCAAATTAAAAAACAAATTCTAACCATCATCAAACAGATAGATTCGCAATGGATCATGGGATGTAACATAAACATAAAGTCGTAAATCAAATTTATGTCCATTAATTAAATATGGATTGGCAATATATCTATATTTAGAATTCAAATTAACCATGATAAGAATTATTTGTAAACAAAATCTATACTTTTGTACAATAACTGGACGTTTTTTTGGTACATGTTCCATTTTACTGATGACCTAAACATATTAGAGTACTTTCATTTTTTTTTCTTGTTATTTCATATAGAAAACACTTACACGAATTCCTTGTCCTCGAGCACTCGCTGGCTGAAAGAAAAATATTTCAATTTGTTTTCTTCTCCATCAATAAACAGGTTTTATTTTAAAATACAAACCGGTTTAATGATCCATTTTGATTCTTTAGTATCTGTTAATTCTTCAAAAACACGTTTAAAAAGTAAAAGGTCAGCTGGTAAAACAAAGGTTTGTGGCACAAAGTCAAATTCGCGTCTTGAATGAACAGCTTGCATATGTGAGAGGTTTCGCCATAGACGATCTTTTCGTCCAATTTGAAACGAGCCTGGAAAATGATTCACCTGAAGTACAAATAAAATCATAGAAAAAGCTTATGTTTTCAAAAAAAATAAAAAAAAAAAGTTAAAAGGATTATCAAAACATATAGGTTAAAATTTGAACTGACTCTTCTTAACGAAAAGGATCTACGCAACCATGGAAACACCGTCATTGATGTTATTGATGTTCGATCGCAAACCGCAAAATCTGTTTATCATATCTGAACTAAATTCTTTATTACATTTCTGGAAGCCTAAGAGAAAACAATTTTTTGAAGAAACGTATTTCAGAATAGAAAAACAAGAAAAGAATCTCGTTGTGGTTAGAAACAACAATCACATCGTGTTTTGTATATATGAACCCCGCAGAGATTGAAAATGACGAATTTTTATAATAATATGAAACCCTCAATAGACTAGATTAATATTGATAAATACAACCTATTCAGGCATATGTTGTTATTTTTTCGTATGATTCTCACCTTTTGATATTCACGAATAGCTTTGAAACAGATTGGTTTCATATGGCGCGACCATGTACCTAGCCAATCGTTGCCCTCTGATAAATTAGAATTTGTTTTTTCTGAAAAAAATTTAATTAAAACAAAAACGCCTACCATCACCTAAAAGAAAATAATAACAATAAGATTCATTGGCATAGATCTTGTTTTGATAAGTCTTACCGCTGATTAAACGAAAACCAGAGCGTGTTACTGCATTTTTAACAACATTGGGCGTTATTGTACTCATTTTCCATTTCAACATTTTTCGTAATGGTAACGGAAGGGGTTCAACTAAGATTGCTCATGATAAAATAAAGAGGCTTTTTGTTTTTATTATGCATATCATACTTCGTTGATTTTCTGTACAAAATCGAACCGTCGGTGGAACATTAGTAAATAAACTTGGTATAAGGCCAGATCTGACTTCTGTATTACCAACTCGACGAGCTATCGGTCAGAGAAAAAGATGTTTATTTATTATTTTGAAACGAATTAAGAATTACTTTTATCGGAGAGAAGTAAAGCTGGATCGAGTGAAAATGAAGTGTCTGTATCAACTATCGAAAAACAAAACACATAATTGAATTAGAAAATTTTGACACATACGATCACTTTCCGAACTACGAAGTGATTCTTCTTCAAGTTCAGCTTCATCTTCTTCATCTTCCATTTCAAACGGATCTTTATCCATTGCCCTATAAACGATAGACAATTAATTGGTTTTTTTTCGACTTCATGTCAATTTTTAAAAGCACGAGACAAGGACATTTCTATTCGAAAAATTCGAAAAATAACGTTATCAATTCTTACGCTTGTTGTTGTATAAAATTCATATTTTCTTCTTCACCCAACTCCTCATATATCTCATCGTTATCTTCAAAGGATTCCTTATCGATCAGGTCATCCTGTAATATCGTAGTATTTGATGTTGTTGTGGATGATGAAACAACATTTTTCTGTCTTAAAAGACTGATATCTGATAGGGTTGTTCGATTTAGATTTTCTCTCGGTGTAATTGTAGGGGTCATTTTTGATTTCATTGGAGATCTCGGCAAAGTATTTGCTCGACTTATAACACGATTTCGTTCAATAACGCGCGTTCGTATAAGATGGTCAAGTTTTAAATTAACTTGAAAGGATAATTGTTGTGGTGTTAAAGTTTTTTTATCGTTATTATTTTCGTGTGGTATATGATTTATCTCTGTTGTTGCTCTATGTTGATTACGTTTTAATTGGTCAATGAATGTTACGGTTTGTTCAAAAGTTGTCGATATTTCTGATGATCTTTTAGCTGAATTACATAAATCTTGACGACGTTGTAGAAGCTTTTGATAGGTACCAGTCAAATTTGATGAGGATACTTGATGATGATGGTGATGATGGCCTCCGGATGGAACAGGGACAGCGAACGAACGCACAAAAGACACGTCCAAGTTCATTTATTCGCCAATTGACACGTATGTAAACAGCAAGACCAATTTTAAAGTTCCCCCCAGGTTACCCCTTTTTTCTCTTTGTCTCTCTGTCTTTGTCAGGTAATCAATTCCATTTTATGTTCTCTTTTTCTCTTCGTTACCATCAAAAAATCGAGAAAGAGAAACAGTTGAAGAATGGTTTCAATTTCAGAGACAGAGAAAAAAAAATAGTCAGAGCAAAAAAACAGGGGACGATCGAGATAGGCTATTATTTGTGTTGATTGTGTTTTCTTTACATCGTATGGTAGAAATGGAATAAGTGGAACAGAGAAGGAAAAAAAGAGAGAAAGAAAAGAATTGGTTTATTTTATTGCTCATACACACTTATAAAACTCTTTTATTTAATAGTTTTTTCTTCTTCTTCTTCTTCTTTACTTTGTCCAATTATGTTGATCGATAGTATGCAACGATGGTGACAAAAGTCAATTTTTTTTTCATTTTATTTTAATGGATAAATGTAGTTTTTCTTAAAATGCGAAAGACTTGTTCACACATTTCCTTTTTTAAATTACTTCAATCATTCATCTACAGACAAACATCATTCAATGTATATATTCAAAAAGTAAATTATATATATATATATACATATTTATGTGTATTGTCGACAGAATGTCTCTTGTTTTTTCGACGGCAACGTTGTTATGTAAATATCTGTGATTTCTTCTCTTCTTTTTGACATGGTGGAGTACTTTTAAATGTTGATAGTAGGCAAACCGAGAGAAAGAGAAGGAGAGAGACAAAAAACAAGATGAATGCGACATAGTTTTTAATATGAATTAAGTGAATGATCATTATGGTAAAGCAAGAAAAGCAAAGTTTAAGTGGATTAACACGTCGATAGAAAGATTATGAAAAGAGGTTTTTATTTAATTATATGATCGATTAAGTTATGCACATGAATTATTAAAATACTGAAACAAAGAATTAAAAGACATGCATGCACGGAAGCATCATACCTTTGTTATATCTTACACATTCAGATACAGAATATCATCCGTTTCTTTTTTTTTGTCAACTGTATGATCTTTCAAAGAGGAAAATGAAAATAACTCTTTTAAATATTTGATCTGTATTCAAAATGAAATTCTAGAAGTAACGCTGATTTTTCTACGATTCTAATGAAAAATTTTTATTCTTGAAAGTCTTTATTTCTTATTCTATTTATCATAAAACTAATTTGTCGACTCCTATTTTACATACATCAACAAATTCACAATATAAGAGGTAACTTTTCATATATCGTATCTAAACTATCTACCAATCAAGGTCAACTTACCGAGTAACCTTGAATGTGTTATGATGTTAATTAATACTTTTCTTTCAAATGTTCAAAAAATAAAATCTCGAACAATTTGATCTATAAATAACCCTATGTTGGTTATGGAACACTTAACGAACGATTGATTGCTAAAAACAAAAGTACGGATGCGCTTCATTGATCTATGTTTGAATGGGCTGGCACATAACAACGATGCTTTTCAAAGAATAATATTCTTCTTAGAAGTCGTTTCTTAATTGCATGCAAACTATTTTTGAGAAATGTGTTATAGAAGATATAATATCGAAGAAAATGTTTACCAATGAATCAAATATTTCCACGTTGTTAGATGAATAAGAAATGTGAAACCATTATATAGTTCATACAATGATAATGGGAAGGTAAAATGAGCATTGACGTTTACCATCAATGTTTGTCTCGTGTAAACTCTATTATAGAGAAGAAGCTCGAAAAACTCCTAAGTAGCTCACTATTAACTAAACGATGGAAGTGGCCAAAACCTACATCCAATTTGATTGGATTAGAATCTTTTTTTTGTTCTTGCAATGATGACGAACCCGTGAAAGTTTTTATTAACAAGGAAACCATCAGTGGATGCTATTTCGAGCAAATACACACCTGACTGAAAATATTATTCAATACTGTCAAATAGTCAAAAGACTTCACATTTGAATGCGTCCTCTTTAAATACTGTAGATACAGATTTCTTCAATGAGAAGTGAATTCTTTTGTATGATAACTCTGCTTACCGTGAGTTCGTAAAAAGAATTTAGAGTCTAATTAAACTATCAACATGTAAAATACTTCCAGTTTGGAAAGTTTACACAAGGGGTCAGTAAAATTTCAAGTATAAACAATTACATTTAGACGACTATATAAGAATAGGTTCACAAAGTCTTATAATTTCTTCAACAGGTTATTGTTAGATAGTATATTCGTTGAAAATTTCACTGGTCTGGATCTAATAATTTATTTCAATGGTGCTAATTATAAACAAAAGGCAGTCCGATCGATTAGACTAAATTGAAGGCATTGAAATCTTGTTATTTTCTTAGTCACCGTGTCGATAAAATATGTTCATTAATTATATGATTACCCTATTGACTAAAGAAGTCTAATCTATTTTCTTCCAAATTGAATCTTAAGTGCAGGTACCATTAAAATTATTTCTCATGAAATCTAGCATGCTTATCAAAGAAAAAATAAAGAACATTTAGACTCGTTTACTCTAAAATAGGGTAGTAAAATTCTAAAAAAAGTGGGATTTTACAATTCGTTATACCCTACTGTATCTATTGAACTATCATCGCATTGTAAAAGAACAAGAAAACTCTGCATGAGATAGTAAAGAAATCGACGCGCTTATTGAGTTTGATACACTTGTGACTTCTTTTCTGGAACTTGCTAGAGAATACTCTTTGAAAATTAATCTATTGATGAAATCAATCAAGAGTATGCTCCTTTTTTTCTTTTCAGCAAAATAACTGTTGTCTAAATCTATATAACAGTCAATATTTTTGTCTTTCGTCTTATGCCTATTTCCGATTTTACAAAAAGAAAATAGGGATTTCCGCTTTATAAAGTATTTTTCACTGTATAAAATTTGACTATTGTTAACTTACCCGTCGTTCGATGCTGCCGATGCACTAATGGCTCTCTTTTTTATTTTATTATTAATCTCTTCTTTCTTTCTTCGTAATTCAGCATTAGCCGCTGATACACTGTTTGATCGGAAAGCAGGATTATTATTCGTTGATGATTGTTGCATTTTCACGACTGATATTGTTGAGATTCCATCATTCGCTGTTCCGTGTGATTGTTGTAGATTCGTTTCAATTTTGAGTGATTCTTTTATTATTGAATTAGGTGCAGTAAATGATAAAAGACTTTTTTGAGATAATGGCACTGTTTGTTGTTGAGATGATGGCGCTAGTAATTGTTGACGCTGTGGCTGTTGTTGTTGTTGTTGTTGTTGTTGTTGTTGTTGTTGCAATTGCAGCTGCATTTGTTGTCTTTGTAGCTGTTGCTGTTGAAGTGATTGTGGTTGTAGTTGTGCTGAATATATACGATTCCCATTTAAATTCGTATTCATACCAGTATTATTTTCAGTTATTATTGCTACTTGAACAATATTATTTGTTGGAAGACCACCGGGCTTAGCTGATCTTGCAGGAATAACCGAACGTATGTTAGATGCTGTTGGCATTGGTGGTTTTGATTCAGTTGATTTAACGAAATCTCGTCTGATCATCACCTGAAATATTATATGTACATAGCAACCGTGACAGAATGGTTTAAAATTTCTTTACTCTCGTAATAATCGCTCTTTGTTGTTCAACATTAGCAGGTGGCTTAGCTGTAATTAATGATGTTGGAATAGACAAGGGCACATGTGACATGTTTTCTAAGTTAGATGTTTCAACCGACTTAGGTGTTTCTTCAGTTTTATTGGGTGGTGCTGCCATTTGATTAGAATATCCTGATCCTTGAATCTATAATAGAAATTTATTTAAAACAGCTTTTTCTTTGGTTTCAGAATGAATAAATGAAAACCTGTAAAGATGTGGAACGTTCAATATTATTATTTGTGTTATTTTCATCTTGTTTGGTTGGTCGAAGATTTTCACTTGATTTTCGTATAATTGATCGTGTCGTTTCGTTAGCTTGAAATGTACGTTCATTGCTAATTCCATTAAAAATTGATCGTTCACTTTTGTGTTGTTGTTGATTTGCTATTCCGTCATTATTTGCTGTGTTCAATGGTTGTGGTAGTACTGTTGTTTGCTTTGAATTAAATAATTTAGCTGCTGGAATATTACGAGAATTTTTTTGAAAATTAGCCAATAAAGCTTTTTTCCAATTTTGATTATTGTTACTCGCCGTTGAATTACCACCAGTTGCAAAAGGAGGCGTATTAGGTAATTGTTCACATGCAGCCGATGGTTGACCAGGTATTGCTGAATCATCTTTAATGCCATTGGGACGTGGAAATATATTGATAGCTGAGGTATTACCTGGATTTATAGGTGTGCGCTGAAATATGACGAAATACAAGTATTATCGCACTCATATGGAAGCAAAAACAAAAAGTTCGCCTTACCCAGGTGTCCATGAGTGATATGACAATATCTGTAGCTGATGTACCTTTCTGTTTAAGAGCATCATTGTTCGTTAGATTTGTTGTCTTTAAAAGTCAATAAATAAAGTTTTGATAAAAAGACTCGTTAGTCGCATGACTTACATTTGTTTCCGATACTCTCAATGTCCCATTTGTACGTTCATCACTAACAACACGTCGTGCAATAGATGTTGCTGGAACAGCATGAGCCCATCGACGACTATCATCTTGTACAGTGGATGTAGTAGCTGTTGGCTCGGGTTCTTGTGTTCTTCCACCGGATAAAAGTGGACTTTGAGCTTTAGGATAAGTCGGTTGTCTGTCTCTATTCGCTATTATTGTTGTTGTTGAAGGTATTAGCGTTTGAATATTAGCATTGGAATTGACTATTGATGAATCACGACTTGCTGATTGTAAAGTAGTGATTGATGTTGTTGGTTGCTGATTGAAAACAACTTTAGGACGAAAAAATGGATTTGCATTGTAGGGAATTTGAAGTTTTTGCCCAACCGATGAAGTCGTTGGTTGTCTAAAAAAAAGTGAATATATATATATAACTATTTTCTGTGAATCTAAAATAAACAAAAATCTAGCTTACCCTGAACCATTCGGTGCTGGCTTATCATTATCTAAGAAATTTGAGAAGCAAACAAGAAAAGAATAGCAAACAGAGGAAAAAAATGAAATTTGAAACTCTCTTACCAGATTTTTCATTGATTTTTATTGAATGATGTGGCGGACTGGAAAATGCTTGCTGACGAGAAAGACGAACATTATGATTTGATTGTTCTATGGTTTCATGGTAATTATTAGTTACGAGTGTTGTTTTTGCTCTCGTATAAGACCCATTTGGTTGATGCTGTTGATTGGATGAATCCTGAGTTGCATAAAGAATAACACGTTTCGGTGGTTCACGTGGAACAAACACAAGGCCATTTCTGTTCATAGTGTGTTGTTTTTAGAATGAATAAAATGATTTTAAAAGAACCAAAACACAGGAAGCACCATTATAAATAGCCGGGTAACCACCGTTCAAATTTAATAACAATATCAAGGAAAATATCTATAAAGGGAACAACAGAAAAACGTTTATTTCAAACGATTTCGCACATGCGATGATCATCATCATTATTATTGATGTTGTCAAGGTATCCACGTCAATCATCGAAAGATCAAATACTAAATTAATATTATCACAGTATTGTGATTACAATGTATGATTAAGGAAATGATCAAAATTAATTTTTCTTAGTTCTCGATGTTATTTTTGAAATTTCATCTTATGTAAATTGATGAAAACTGATAAGTGGCGCCACTGTATTATAATTCTCTATAAAAAAAATATAATATTGTTTACATTGTAGTAAAATTTTTGTGCAAACAATAGCTATTGATTTTGATTAATCGAATTGATGAAATTGATTCTAAATCTGTTAATTTTGAAATCACTAGAAACTAAAATTTTAAGTATCGTCGCAAGATTTCTATGTCTATACCAGAAAAACGTTCTTTTTCACCGTTATCTGAAATTCTATCAGAAGCCAAAAACCAAATATTCATTTCTGATCCTTTTTAATCAGTTACTTCAAAGTCTAAATCAAATTATGACAGAATATATGAAAAAATAAAGTTTATCTGCTAATTTTTCAATCCACATTTCTTTACGAATCAGGCGCAGTGTCACATTACAAAATAATGATCATCACAGAAAATTCTTACATAATCTTCTTTTTCGAAAAATAAATTTTAAATTTAGAAAATGTTCCTCATATCAATACTCATCTCGAATTATCACGATTAATATGCAAACTTACTTTACATTCAACAGAAGTAACTAAAATACTTTTACGTACTATAATCGTCTCTGTTGCATTTCTAACTCAAAGTTTCTAATAAAATAATTCATATAATTTTCGCAAAGTAATTTCTATGTGCGGAGATTTTTTTTCAAATTCTAAGTAAGTACTTAAGAGACGTCGTATTGCTAAAAGAGCTCTCAGTCAAATGTACATTTAGAATTTAATGGAACAATCTCTATTGACTTAATAGAGAAATGTTGTACACATGGCAGTTTCCAATAGTAACCGAACATTGCTCTGCTAACCCTACAGAAAAATCTATGTCTCATATTTGTATATTTAGTTTTAGAATTCTGATTTTTGAAAACAACGTAGTCCATAATTGAAACGAAGAGGTTATCGATTGAAGTATGGAAGTTTTTCTTTAAGCGATTTCAAACTAATTACTGATTATAAGAGCACCGATACCTTGAAGTACCATCGTGCTTCAGATGTCAGATTTTTCTAGAAACCAAAATAGTCTGCAATCTATAATCTAACAGCTCCATCTGTAAATCGTTTTTCTCTTTCGTTGTTGTTTCACCTTGTCATATCTTTCTTGTGTTTTCTTATTAAAAATCTTTCTTTTTAAAAAACAAATCTAGATTTTGATCCAAATGCCAGATCATCGTTCATATCAAGATCCATTCTATGGATGGACCACACCGAAAGCGATATCTTTATGCCTACAAAAGCTTAAAGAATGTAGTAGTTCATTACCAGCTGAAGCAATTAAAAAGCTTATTTTAAGTAAAAAAAAGCATAAAGATCAAATTGCTCATCTACTAAACTATTATTTTGTTTTAGTGAGTGAAGCTAAAATTTTAAATGAACAAGCATCTACATCTCCGCTTGAATTTTTAACGAAACTTTCGAAAAAATATTCGATTTCTATTGAACACTTAATAGTCATTTTCAATGGTTTTGTACATGTTCTTCGTTTGGCATTAAAACCGCCTGCAGCATTTCTAAAACCAGAAGTAAGATCTATTCGATTAATTAATTGAATGAGCGATTGTTATCTTTTCTTAAATTTTTAGATATTCAAAGATGATTTACGCGATTTAAAGTACAAAAGCAAAACTTTTCTCGTCCAAATAGAAATCATTTAATTAATTTTTTTCATTTAGATTTTCCGAAGCAATCATTGAAGAATTTCATAATATACTTTTTGGTCCTAAGTATGGATAGACAATCTAAAGTAAATTTATTTTTATTAATTATCTTTGCTTGATAGACGTGATCAATTGTATAATGTTGCTCAAGAACGTGATCGTCCTCGTCTTTCATTTCTTCAAACATTTGATTGGAATCTTGATGTTACACTGACTACAGCGTATGCATTTCTATGTTGCCTTTTTCTTTTTATCTATTGCTATTTACTTTTAGATCTCTATCGCGATGCATTGAGCCTTTATTATTCTTTCAATTTCGTACAACTGACAATCGAAATTTAACATTTGAAGTAAATCATATTGAATATTGAATATTTTTCGATCGAACATTTTCTATTTTGAGGTTCCAATAAAAAAATTCAATGAACTACGTTATAATACAGCTTTACTATTGAAGGAGATGGAAGAAGTTGATGGCAAACAAGCATTGAAACTACTTGAAACATAGAAACAATGGCTCTTCAATAGTATTTATTTGTCACTTGAATAATTACATACCAATCATTTCCTCTTTGCATTTTTCTGTTTTCTTTCTTTCAAAATATGATTGTCGTGATTTTCTTTTTTTGCTATTTGATGAACACAACAAAAGAACGAGAATAAGATGGAAATCAGTTGATACAATTGTTGATTAAACTCTAGAGCGTGCAATTTATTCCCTAAAGCACTAATACTATAATGACCTTTATATTTCGTTTTTCTCTTTGACTTATGTTAAAATAAAGTATTGTCTAATCGTTGAAGCGATCGATGATGTACGCATTTTCGATTAGTAATCGAAGAAAAATGTTGATGCGATATGTCACTAGAGATTTTGATCGTTAAAGATGAACTTAATAGATGTAATGTATGCATTAATGGAAGGGAAAGAAGAAAGAAAGAGAGAGAGGGGAAAATGCTTGTTTAACTCAATCTCGTTCCACCCCCGTGGCATTGTTGTTGTAACTTGATCAACGGATGACGAAGGAAGAACATGCACGAAACGCATTAGCAATCAATTTTCGGGATGGTGCTTGTCTTGACTCTCACAACAGGCAGTGCAGTTACTGTTTTGTCGTTGTATAACAAGAATAAATGAACCAGACATTCATCTGTTTATCACCTTAGAATATTACAATTTTTTTCTTCTTCATTTTCCTATGTTCTTCATCTGAAAAATGTTTAATAAAGCGATGGCACATGCCTTTACATTCACAGAAACGTAATGTCAACAACACACTCTTATCTTAATGACAAATGAGATAAGTAGAAAAAGAAGCGTGAATATTTGGCACTTGACAGTAGTTCTTGCCGGTGAAATCGAACGCAGATGTTGAGCATAGAAATTTTTATATACAGATGATGTAAAACAATGTCTTAGATCTTCGTCGTTAAGTTCTGAGTTAGCACGATCGAGTGTGGATTTTGATTTTGATTTTGACTTTGATTGTTCACATATACGTATTGTATCGGGATCATGATGAAGACATAAGTGTAAAATTAATATATATTTACAATTGTCCGATTCTTGTTCATTATCAAACGATGGGTGATGTCGTTGGCGAAAGAAACACGTTAGTACATAATTCTTACACGAATATTCATCAATCGATTTAGCAATAGCTAATGCTCGATCATATGATTTGGAAGATGATAAAATAGGTTGAGAAAAAAATATAAGACAAATAGAACATAATCGAATAAGATTATTATTTATGTAACCAGTAAACGTTGAATAAGACGGTAATAATACAGGTAAATGAAATCGTATATAAACCATGCTTTTAGCTGAATGATCTAATGAAAACAAAACAAAAAAACGTTGTCTCATTTTATGTTTAATTGTAATGTTCAATGATAATCGTAATAATAATAAATGAAATAGATATCATTTGTTTTACGATTACTTTTTATGCTGTGGTTGGCTAAGTTTTTTAATCATTTTCTAATGTACGCATAAGTATTCAAGAGTGTTGTATACTAATGAAATATCTTTTTTTCTTCTGTGTTACGACATACCTAGACAGTCACATGGGAGACGATACAAGTGTGAGATTTCACTTTTTACTACTTACACTTTTTTTACCGTCTATATAATTTGACAGGTGATCTAGGCATGTGTGAGTCGGACACCACATTCTTTCATACGTACATAGCTATATGCTATCATCAGTCGGTTATTGTTCTCTTATCTGGTAGACATTCAAATTTAGATCGGTAAGCGTCAAAGTTTACAGCGATGATAGATGGCTCATTCATAGACGGACACCGATAGTTTATTTGAATAACACAATAAAGGAGATAGTAACACGAGAGAGAGAGAGAGAGAAAAACTGAGAACCTCGTTGTCTTTACCACGTTGATGTGCTGCTACTACTACTACTATATCGTATGAGAGGAGGAGAAGAAAAAAAAGTATTGAACATGAACGAAGACCGGAAGACATTCACACATAGAAAGCAAAAAAAAGAGAAAAAAAGAGAAAGAAAGGGATAAAGAGAGTCGTTGCTCTAACGTCGATGTGGTCGTACAGTGATAATGGACAAGCATCGAGTTGATGAATGAATTAACGCGTTTTCTCTACAACCGAAAGAACCAGTCGTCGTTCCTAATTTCCTGTTTCCGCCTAAACAACCGCGTCTTCTTACTTTAAATACAAATATATATATCTAAGTAATATACATATTTCAATATTGGAACATAAATATACATGATTTATTCGAGTATTAGCAAAACATCTTCAATATTAATTAACTAGCATTCTATGTAAAAATCAATTAATCTGAAATTCTTATACAATCATCAATTCAATTATAATAAGATTGATCAAATGCTTTATGTCATCATATTATGGGTGTTGTCAGGATTAATCCGACATTCTTTAAAGCATGTGACAGATTGAAAATTATTTTTTTTCCTGCTATTCGCCGGAGACAGAGGCAAGAAACTAATGAAATTTAATATCATAGAATAGTATTTGTCCGCATTATTGGCAAATGTTCATGTTCGTCTAGAAACCTGTTGAGTGATAGTGTGTCATGGAAAATGTCTTAACGAGATCAATAAATATAAGATTATACATCCAAGTTGTTAAAATGTAATCAGAACAAAAAAAAAACATAAAGGAAACTGTACAAGCCAAACATCTGTTCATATTGATTATTGCCAAGAATATAGTTTGCTTAATAAAACTCTATGTTTAAAACAAAATACGGATATTTTTGTCGTTGTCCGACAACAAAATGGTCATTCTTAAAATTTATTGTTGAAACATAAATCATAGAAAAATAACAAAAAAAACTATCTACAGTTTTTTTTTTATAGATATTCATTCTTCACTTCTCATGAATACTTTTGGTTTAGAAAATATTTTAATTGCTTCGTCTGCTTCAATAATTTTCTTTTCAAGTTCTTCTTTGGCTCGTCGAAGTGTCAATGAATCATTGCGTATAGGTAAGTGGCTCATCTTCTTTTCGAATTCAGCACGAGCTAACAAAAAAAAGCAAAGTAAATAAAGAATAAGTCGATTCATATTTATTTTTTTATTTTTTTATTTATTTATTACTTAGTTCAAGTTGTCGTAATGTTGACAAACGTTTCTCTTCATCAATTCTGACGTGACCAATAGGACAATCTGGATCGGGTGCATTGGCACGTTCATTATATAGTTCTTGTGTTCGTTGCTCTTTTATTTTTTCGATACTAAAATTTAAAAAAAGGAAATCGATTATATCAAAAGTAATTCATTTCTCCAATCCGACTAGAAACTTACTAATCAGGCACGCGTCCTTTTTGTTTTTCATGATATTCTTTCATTTTTTGTTCATTTTTCGTTCGTACTTGTTCGACTAGTTCTTCACTCATTGGTTTACGTACTTTAGGAATACTCTTTACCCATTGTGAATTAATTTTAACATAATCAAGTTTTGTGTTATTATCAATCTGTGATCGAGTCTATGAAAAACAAAATAATATAGACGGCGATTGAGTTTTAATCGTACTAAATCAACTGATGAAGACATTGAAGCTCGACGAGAGCCAGCTGCTGATTGAGATCGAACGTATTCTGGTCCTGTATTTGCATGTGCATGAAGAAAATTAGGTCGAGCTGATTGAGGTCGAGCTGATGAACGATGCGTTTCCTAAGAAAAACAAAATGCCGATACCTTTTAGTTATCAAATAAAATAGGACGATTTAAAGAGAAAGATCAAATCTATAATTGTTGTAAACGAAACCAAGATTGAACTAACGTGTCATCAATGCAAATGTCAGGATTAATATTTAGGCTATTGTCGAGTCAAATTGTGTTAAGCTTGTCACTTATATTTTCACGAAATAGTGTAAATAATTACGTCATTTATTTTCACCCCTCAATACTTTTGAACAAAATCTCAACATTCAAATACTATGAGGCATTTTTAGTGTGACGAAAAAACGAAACATTTCATATTACTTCATCTAATCTTTGTTTTACTTTCGATTGTACATTATCGTATTGTTTCGAATGCCAAAGTGCTTTAACAGGTATTGGCTTATTTTGTTCTTTAGAAAATTGTCTTTCTCGTGATTCTCGCATAACATGTCGAATTCGTTTCATATTTTCATTGAAATGATTTTTAGGCGGTTCTATATATACAAATTTATCATATGTGTACTTTCTTTTGAATAAAAAAGAAAGTGAAGATTTATTGACTCTACTTGCTGCGCTTCCTTGGCTTGATAGAAGACTCGTTCCTTGAATTTCAAATAGAAATGGAACACCCGTACCATGTGTTCCTCGTTTATAAATTGCTTTTGCATCGGAACCATGAACTCGAATAATACCTTGCGCACTAAAAAAGAACGAATTCTCTCGTTTTATATACATTTATTTGGTAATTTAAAGTGAAATATCTACCTAGCTGGACGATCATCGTTTTCATAGCCTGGTGTTGCTGGAATAGGTCCTGTTAAAAGAGTTCGTCCTATAAAAAAGAAGAACCACCAATGGGAAAATGATGCCAAAGTTTTTAAAAAATTTATTTTATATACCTTCTGGATTATTTCTTCGGCTGGCAGATTTTGGTGGCCGATCATAGTTATAATCTGCTGGATTTGACCATTGTTGTGTTTGTTGAGATGCAAGCATCGCCTAAGAAACTTTATGAAAGATTTTAATAAACTTATTCTCTAAGCCGTTGAATAGCCATGAAGGATGTCATTACTATGGATTTAGATCTATAATTATTTAATGATGATCTATAATAAAGAAAATCAAAAGTTATTAAATTAGGATTCATACTTTGAAATTTGTTTGATGAAGATTAATTTTTATATTTACATAAAAATATAGTTTTCGAATAGATGTCAGCATGTAGTTCTCTTTTCTTAGTGAACTATCATCGATCAATAACAATTCACAGAACGTTAATATCTCTTTTTTTTCATAACTTTATTAGCATCTGCTGATCGATTATCTGAAACGACGAAAAATCCAATATATTCAAATAAAATCTCCATAGTTAATAATAATTCTCGTTATTCAGTCGACGCTCCAAAATGAATATTTAATATTATGCATTCGAAGAATTTATTTTCTCTATAGATTGAACGATGTTAGTCCTCACCAAGGTGCTCATTCATAGTTAGTATGGTGCCATACACAACAACATTATCATTTTGAATGAATTTATTGGTGATACAAAAATTTTAAGCTTTAAAATCAAGGGGGAAACGGCGGATTGCGGATTTTCGGATTTCTTTTGAATTTCTGAATTCTTTCGGATTGCTCATGGATTGGCAATCCCGAAAATCCGCCATTTCGTCCTTGGAAATATGAGTATTTTTGCAATCGCATTATCTTCAGAAGAAAACATCCGCTTGAGCTGAAACTTTTATGATATTCTAAGGACCACGAGGCCTACATATTATAAAAATTTCAGCTAGAAATTCCTTTATTTACAAGAGGAGATTGCTGGTAAATTTGGGATTTTTTCCGGATTGCTCATGGATTGGGAATCCCGAAAATTCGCCGTTTCCCCCTTGTTTAAAATTATGTATTATCTTTATTCGATTTGATTATTCAACATGTATGGTAAGATAGATGATGTTATGGTAATAGTTCAACGCTTTTCGTTGAAGATCATCGTGTGTTGGTGTATATGTGTATAACGATATAAAGCAAGTATTATGTCGCAATGAAAGATCAATAATAGAAATTGATTTCATTGCTTTTTCTTTTGAACGAAAAAGAAAACTATCGTTTAAATAAAACGTAACTTTAACGTTGAAAGTTATACTTATTAGAGAAGGTGTTATATGCCTTCCATAAATTGTGTGAACATATTCATTAGATTTATCATTTTTAACGTGATGCATTCGACGTATCATTAAAAAAAACGTCCTCATTGTTTGATTTTTCTTATTTTCTCTTAATAGATTGCCATTAAAGCTAAATAGGGAAGAATTGACATTATCTTCTGCTGCTTCTTTACTATTTAATGCTCTTTCAATAGAAAATTGTTAACCTGCTGATGCCTTTTGTAATTTAAGTATAGCTAAAGAAAAAAAAATATCATCTCATGCCATATTGAAGTGCAAATTCTCACGTTCTCTTATTGTGTTGTTGATAGAAATGATTGAAGTAAAAAATTGTCGTTTTAATAAGTGACTTTTTTTATTGAGATGTTTGTTTTTAAATATGTGAGAGTAAATTCTTTTCAAATGATAAGACAAATATGTTATTTTATTTTTCGGAACATTCCCCTTGTCTAGATTAATCATAGTTTATTAAATAAACAAAAAAATTGATTTATCTATTTCTCTATTAGCACATTAATAGCAATAATAAAAAAGGCCAGGGAAATAATACAAAAAGAGTTCCCTTTTCTTTTTCTTTCCTCCATTTTTCCTCGTGCTTTTATTACAAGTCTATGAGAGTATCTATACATGTTTTTTTACTCTTTACAGCTTACTGTATATACAACAGATAAATAGATATGCATACATTTTGATTTGAATATGTAGGCGACGAATTACATATTTTTCTCTTTGATTACTTCAAGAATTTAAGTAAAAAAACATGCACCCGAGTGCTTTACATCATATGAAAAGAAGGAAAAACTTCTTATCTCAACTCTCTTTTTTTTTATACTCCTACTTATGATATTCATGTTTTTCGTCTATTTATTTGCGTTTTCATCGAATGTAATATACCACCTTTATGTACAAAAAAATGTTTTACTAGCGGACCATGTCGTTTTAGATCACGTAGTAGTATTGATAGAGAGTAAGCATTACTATTGACAAGAGCACATTAATATCTTGTTTGACGTACAAATAAAATAATCTAGTGGGAAATAGTACATGTTCTTCTTCCTAGTGAAGACGAGAGATAAAGAGTCAAATTAGCTGTATCCATATACATATTTGTGTTTTTCTTCCTTTCAGATATATATATATGTATATGTATGTTGAATAAATATGAATGATATCGAACACACAAATAGACAAATTCATAATACTGGTAATTTCATGGAAGCAACTAATGAAACAAGGTAATCTAGCAAGGTCTTTTTTAGTTTCAAGAAAAACTATTCTGTAAGATCGGGTTCTTTTCTTTTTCATGACATTTGCATTTGATTTATATAATTGTTTCAGCTGATATTTAAATACGCTCAATGAATTGTCTAAGTAATCATCTAATTGCTTATGTGATAAGAAGCAGAATGACCAAGTTTTCTTTAGATATTTTAATTAAAGGATGGTCTCATTTTATTGATGAGTTATTTTGTTACACTGGGAAAAATTTTCCATTAACACCTACTCGGACAGTTTCAAAAGCAAAGATTTCAATTACTAAATAAATCCTTTTTCTTAAATTGACAAACGTATTTTACCCCGTATAATTGTTTTTTTTATTGTGTTTTCATAAAAAATTAATCATTACAAATTTGAACAGAAACACAATCATTCATAATTCTTAAAATAATACAAATAGTACTTAAATGATTCAATTCTTATCATAAAACTCTTCTGTTCTTAAGTGTGTTAGCTTGTAAATATGCCAAAAAACCTTTAAAAAGGTCAATATATTATTGGAGCATAAACAAATCTGTCCTTGATCGCTTCCTACTCTATGACATGAATAAGAATAGTTTTTCTCTTGTCAAAAAAAACAAGAACTTCGTACATTTAATGTTCAATTCGAAAACATTACATTATATCCTTCTCGAACTTCTCTCTTAATATTTATAAATGCAATCATTGAGAACATTCAATAGATTTCGACATGACCTAAACCATAATAAAATTAATATAACGTTTAAGTTATTCTAATCTATTTTTTAAAAGCATGTTTTTACACACTCTTGACCATCAGCGACTAAAATTGGTTCTGTTGTTGTTGCTTCAAGTTCTATTTGTCTCTCCTTGCTTTGCTTTCTTCTATTTATCGTAGTCGATTTTTAACATTGACTGTCTGTGGGCCTGTATTTTTTTTCACGTTTTTCGATGCAAGGCTTTCGTAAAAGTAAATCAGTAGTAAGAGAAAAAACAGAAAAAAAAGACATTGAGTTTGCAAAAAGAGAAAAAAAGAGAAAAATGCAATTTTCATTCCAATAAAATCCTGCGCACGATATATATATTCATAATTATCAGAATATAAAACTGAAATTTGATCATAAAAGTTCATAAAGAAACAAAATATATGTCTAACAGACGCTTCTCAACAGGCACATTGGTGTACAGGTACGTCGAAAATCAATTGAATCTTTCCGTTCCGCCTTATTTATTACATCCTACAATTGGAAAGCGAGAAAAAAATACAGAGTGGCTCCTGGAGATCGTGCATAGACTTGTCAATATAGATTTCTAATAAATGAATAAAAAATAGAGCGCGTGGATATCTTTAATGAGGTCATGAGTCGATTTTTGTGTGCATCTAGGCAAAGGTAGACACGATATGATGATATTAATAATTTGTTTATTTCATCTAGACGATTCCAACGACAATTAACAAATATTAATGCAGAAACACATACTCATACAACCGGTGGTAATCAGTCGACGTCGAGCGATACTCAAAATACAGGATTATCAACTAGTAAACATAGTACAATAGCTGCTCTGACACTATCAACAGCTCCGAAACCTAGTATACTTGTAGCAACACCTGGTGCTGGAAATTCTAATTCATTGCCTGGTCATCAATCGGGTCGAACAAAACACAGCGGTCAATTATTAGATCAACAAGCATTAAACTTATCAGATAGTGTAAAGAGACAGATAGATTCTATTTCACCAAACATCTTATCGTGTCGTTTTCTCTATTTTGTTTTTAGTTCAATACTAGTAGTAATGTAGCTGATCGTAATGCAAATAGTTCGCCACCATCATCCACTTTGTCCCGCAAAAAGAATCTATCAACATCTGATCTTGATCCATTCGAACGTAAAAAACAAGCAGCACTAACAAAAGTTGAAACAAAATTAGATAAAGCGCAACGTCTGCATCAAAAAGCTCAACAAAGTGTTGAACAAGAAATATCTGATTTTCTTCGTGCTACAACAATACCGAATACAAATAATGAAGCAACTTCTTGTCGTACAGCCAATGCTACATTCGATAAACGTATTCGAACGTTACAAGATACAAAAAAAGAACTAGAAAAAAAAATTGCTAATTATCAATCAGATATTTTACGCATTCAAGCGGGTGAAATACCATATAATTACGCGTCGTCAAAAGATATACTAAGTAATATCAAAAGTACAGCAGTTAAAGTTGCTAGTGGAAGTCTAAAAATTCGATCACCACATAATGCTGATCAAACATCAACTATTTCAACATCAAGTGCAAATGAACAAGTACCTAGTTTTTATCATCCAGAATCGGATTACCATAATCCAAACATATCAATAACATTACTAACACCATCTCCACAACCAGCAACACTGCCATCAGCCACTACAAGTGGATCAACGAATAATAATCAAAATTTATCAGTACAAAATCAATTCAGCGGTACATTTGAACCTTCGCATTCGTCTGTATCCAGTTCGGTATCAAATGAAATTGGAAATTCTCAATTTTATATTGATGTAAATTGTAAGTTAACAGAATGCATTTATGTACGGATAGATAGAATGTAATAATGCGCTCTGTTAAAAACAAATTTCTATGAGATTTATCTGCGGAATGTATTTATTATTAAAAACATTTCTCTATAAATTATTAATCATGAATGCAATAGCTTCGGATTTAATGATAATTTAAAGAAAAAAAGATTTACCATGAATAATTTTAAGAGATTTATTTCCGCCGAGGCTATAAATTTATGCAGCTCATGAACTTGATTCGTTCAGATGTAATAGCTTTTGTACTAGGAATAAAATTATTGATCAATTCGTACGAGTAAAACCCCGAAAGAATAATTAGATTTCTTTTATTTAACAATATATATATATACTTTTTATTTATTCCACTTGACCATCTACGAAACAAAACGTTTTAATCCACTCGTTTATGTTTTCATAACGTACACGTTTTAAATGCTTTTTTATCCGACGAAAGCTCTTAATTTCATGTGCTTCATTCGACATTGGCAATTTTAGAAGGTTGCTAAATTCGTTGCAGACATATTTTAAGTGTATTTTGATAGACACATCGATAAGGTAGCTGTCATTTGAAGTTAGTCAATAGCTCTTTTGATGATGTACTTATTCATATCGTGTGTAGTATTATCTAAATTTCAACGAATTCGACAATGCGAGTGTTGATAGTAAAGATTTGTATTTATGACATTGATGAATGTCAACAACAAGCTACTTTCCAATAACATCTGTCATAGTTCTAACATATACTCCACATCGATAACATTTCACTCAGAGACTCATATTGGCAAAGAGCAGAAATTTTTACCTATAGTTAAACTAACGTTTTCATTTCAGTTCAATCTAATTTACGTAGATAAAACTGAAATATAGATTTTCAATTTCGCTTCGGGAAATTCAGACAATAACTTAGTTTTATGTGTTACTCGATATGAAATTCTTTGGTGAAAATACGATCTAAAAGAATTATTGGTATAACGGAGAAATATAGCCTGCTAACAGTTCGTGACGGATAGTCCCTAAAGACAATCATAGAGCGTGCTAGACTTTGTTAATATCCGATCAAAAACTGGTTACCACTGAAAACTAATTAAAATGTGAATTGATATTGCATTGGACTTCTAGAAATCTCTTTCAAAACAAAATAGAATTGAACAATTTTTGTGTATCATGTTTCAAATTTTAATTCCATAGAAATTACACTTAGAACTTCTATTTTAATCCTCACATTTTTTTCTTCTCATTGTTAGATGACCATGTTCATGACAGTGACAAATCAAACCGAAAACATGATACAAACATTCCAGGTAAGACGATTTAAAGATAAAAGTCTACGTGTATAGCATGGTGTATATACCTCAGCTAAAGAGAAATGTAAAGAAATAAATTAAATAATATAGCTAGCTCCTTAGGCCGACAATTGCCTACGATTCATCTAACTTCAAGCATTTGTAAGTAATTAATAATGACTAAATGCTGAAATACAAAAAGAAAATGCTTTTGAATGAGAGATATGTACAAACTTTTAATTGATATTTTTTTTTTCTACTTTTAAGTTTGTTTATTTTAGTCGATGGATCAACTCTACATGACAATGATAAATCCCCTACAAGCAAACGACGTTTTACGTAAAGAATTTTTTTCTTCTTTGAATACTCTTTCTGATATTTATTGCTTTTTATTATTATTATAGCGATGACTCAACCGTTGAAAATAATGATCGAATATCAGATCATTCTGTCGACGATCGTTGTACTAGTACTACATCAAAACGAAATACACCAGTGAATAAGAATTATTTCTCTTGGAAAGAAAATTCTAATAGAATACTTCTGTTTTCATTTTCTTAGACAACAACAACTGTGGAATGCCAACAGTTAAATACTAAACTTGATTCAATGCAAAAACTCATTGAACGATATGAATCAAAACTGAACGAAATGCAAAAACAAATTGATTCATTAGTATCATCAAATGAAGCTCAAGGTGAACAAAACGAACGCTTAAACAATGACCTGACAGATTTAACTGATTTACATCAAATTGAAATGTCATCAATGAAAACAGATTTGAAAAATTTAGAAGATCGACTATTATATAAATTTAATGATTACTGGAATGAATTACTTGACAAATTAGATAAACTTGATACAAGGGTTAGTTGTTGTTGCTTTTTTCTTCAATTAATTAACAGTGCGAAAATCTATTCATTGTAAACGAGATTTAACACACATAGTGTTAAAAATACCTTTTTGATGATGAGTAAAAGTCAGTATACGAATAGTATTTCTTTTTCACAATTACTGTTTGCCATAAAGATCTTTGATCTGGCAAATACATATAAAAAATTTATAATCCTAGAATATCGTCCAATTAAGATTACACCTAGAATTCGTGTTTATCTCATTTCATATCTATGTATTATAATACAATTAACTTCTACTAATCCTTGATAGAAGTTTGTTCTGGAATTCTTTAGGTTTTTCTTTTTTTTTTCAATGTTTTATTTTTCATCAACAACTAGAAACACTAAATATTTATTCTCGACACATGTTTATTGGCATTGATTAGATATCGAGATGACTGATTAAATATTATTTTTTAATCATAATCCTCATAGAAATTATCTTAGTAAGTCTACCTCTAACTTGTTATAAAAAGAAAACAGCATAGTCTACAGTAAGGAACAAAAAACTTGATGATACGACACAGAAACAAGAAAAAAAAATACCATGTTCGAATCAGATATATAGATATGAATAATGATTCGATTCGATAGATGACGATCATAGTTGGATTCTTTGACAAATATCATCGATCAATTTTTGTTGTACTCTATCCACATTTATCAAAACAGAAAAGTATTCAGATGTAATATACCTGTAACAGTGTAAATCTATACTCCTATGATATTTAATTGTGGTCATCTGCCAATACTCGTCTAGCAATATATGTTTGTTTATTTATGTTTCTAATAATAGAATGATATTTAATGTATCCAACGCATAGCTTAAGATTGTTAGTCGTTTTGTTCTCAGCAGGATATTGTGCTGTAAAAATGATATGTCCTTTTAGAATAAATCTGTCTAATTATTTTTGTATAAGATTATTTTTGATTGACTTTCTCATGTTGTTTAGACTGCAAAAGTCGAACAGATCCAAACACATTCACTTGAAACAGAAGAAAATACACATAGAATTATAAGTAAACTTGTCAATATTGTATTGACAGTGTTTGCTATTATTCTCCTGTTGTTATCAACAATAAAAAATCTTGTTCAATCGCGGTAAATTTATATTTAATTAAAATTTTAAATATTCAAAATTTTTTATTCATAGTGTCCATGCCATGACTTTGTTGATTCTCGTCATTGCTTGGATAACATTTCATTATTTGCCGCCAAATTATTTCCAAACATCTTTTTTAAAAAGTACATTGATCTTTGAATTTATGATTTTTGTATTAAATACATTTTTATTTTTATTTTAGACTTTCCAAATTCGTTCAAACGAGCGTCATGAAAAATAACTCCGAGTGATACAAAACGTTTTTTTTTTTGTTCTTGTTCTTTTTTTGCAATCTTTATAATTGAGCTTTGTTTTCTTCTTGTGTACGTATGCGAAAAGGCCTGCTGGTTCGGCTCTTACACTATTCGTGTTAGTTTTAGGTTTATTCTTCATTCTTCTAACGATAAAATTTTCTTATCAGCATAATATTTTCTTTATTTAAGCTGTAATTGTATGTTCATTATTTTTCATTGTACATTTTCTTAAGATCTAGTCGTTTTTTTTTCGTTCTTCAATGCATTTATTATATATATTCGAATCTACATCAAAAATAGGCTCAACATTGCATAAGAATATTTGTGTTAATATATCCAAACATAATACAATTACTACTTTGCCTTTCCTTTGTTTTTGTGTCGTTTATTTTCAAATAATCTTATACCAACCAACTGGATAAATTTCTTTTGTTTAATTTTTTTTAATAATCAACTCTATGTCGCTATAAGTCGGTATTCGCAATGTTCTCTTTTGCTTATTGGTTGCTTCTACCTAAGAATAGTAATCATAAGGCAACAGAAAGAAAGAAAAAAGGAAAAACGAAGTCGTAGACGACAGTTGACTAACCATGGGTTATTATTAACGCAGGAAGAGAGAAAAGAAGTTGCTGTTCAGAAATAAACATTGTTATTGTTGTTAGCTGTCGTCGAGATTATTTTTCTATACTATTGCAAAGGAGGGTATCGAACACATCAGACAGGTTAAGTGTGACAATTAGGACATATACACTCCTCTTTTCTTCGCACACTCGATTTCGTGCTATACACATATATATGTATATATATATATATAACAACATGTTCACATGTCTGATGATACCGCCTTTGCTTTCTGTTGTGTTTCATTCATGGAGAAAGAGAGCTATTAGTTACGCGATTCTTTGCATAACGGAACATAAGACGAAGAAACATTGGAGCTATATATACAAGGTTGTTCTAAGACATTTCATTTTGATTGAGTCTCAATTAAAGAAGAAAAAATTACTTTTTTGTTTTTTTTAGATCATAGTAACTGATTGTTAACGTCATATATTTATTTATTCCTACGAAGTATTGCAATGGTATCCAGTCTACTTGCTCGCTCTATCATGTAAGAATATAAACACTATATATATATTTATAGAGTTCATATTAGCAATTTTTACATAATCTTAGTGTAACAATCGGTACACTTTATCCTGGATATCGATCATATAAATCGCTCATTACTTCAGATTTACGTGAAGTGGTATGAATTGCACATACGAATTTTAATCGTGCCCAAAAAAAAACAGCTTCTTAATTTAATTTGCTAGGTTCATTGGCTTCGATATTGGATTCTTTTTTCAATATTTATTGCATGTGAAACGGTAACCGATGTCTTTCTATCATGGTATAATACAAAATAAATAAATAATAGAATGTTATTTTCTATTGATTTTATTTCTTAGGTTTCCATTTTATTATTGGATTAAAATTGCTCTTGTACTTTGGATGAGTTCTCCAGCGGGTACAACACTTTTATATAAACGTTTTGTACAACCGGTGCTTAAAGAACGTGAACAAGTATGTTCGATATTTTTTCTTGAATGTCACGTCATTATATTTTGACAATTGTAGGAAATCGATGAATTACTCGAACAAACGAAACAAAAAGGCTATTCAACATTACTCGATCTAACTAATAAAGGTGTTCGTTATGCATCAAACATATTTTTAAATACTGCTGTATTAGTAAGAATTTTTGGACTCGTGAAAAATGATTGTACTTTTAAAATTATGAATAATAGGGTCAAGCATATTTAGGGGAACATTTAAAACGTTCCTTAAGTGCAAGTGATATAAATAGTGGACAAGCAAAGAACTTTTTCAATCCATCTGATCCATTATTAGAAGAAGACGAAGACGAGCAAGGTTTGCTATTGATTTTGATAGCTTTGAGCTTCTATGTCTATTTTCTCTAATAGAAGTCCAGCCAAAAGTGAACAAACGTTCAAAAGAAAGTCAAAATCATTTATCAAAAGGCACCAATGGTGCTAATCGACGACTACGCTCAAGTATGTTTAGTTAGCGTTATGAATCTTTTACAGGCAGCTGTTTTTTTTTCTTTCAACCTTGACGAAGCCTAGATTAGTTGTATAGATTCGTTTCTGTCTATCGTCTTAAGAACTGAATTAACCAAATATAATTATCACAGTATATAAGTCAATGCATACACTATGTCTCAGTTATAAACTTGAACTAGAGTCAATATTTCAAGGTTTTCCTCGTTTATCAAAAAAAAAAATAACTGAATTCAAAATGTTCTTTGTAGGAAAAGATCATCTAACTGTTTTGAATTAGTATCAATTTATTTATTTCGTTTATAAAATCAACTTCCTAACGTTTGAATGAAGTAACTATTCTTTTTTCTGAAATTTTTCAATCCCTGACGTTACGAGTTTGTTATTTTAATACAGTAGCTGAAAAACGAAAAAAAACTACTTCAAATAAACTTGAAAATGAATGGAAAACGTCATTCAAACAGCATGAAACTCGACACGCCTGAGGTGGCATAAGCATCACAAAAAAAAACAATATCATTATCAACACATGTCTTGATCAAGGACAGTTCGGTGATAAGTATTTAGATAAGAACTATGACGAGATCGAAGCTCTTATACTAATTTATATACAGATGCATTCTATTGTCTATAATAGCTGCAAGATGTTATAGTAATTCTACGTTATTCTTAAAACATCTATAACCACTCGGTGTTTTTCATTCGTTAAAGCATGGCTTTCAATATTGTGTATTAACATTAATTTCAATTGATTATCTCTAATATAAGATATTATTTAATTAATCAAGATTTAGTTGCTAGTCTGTAACTCAAAGCTGTTAACTAACAGATGATGATAACATAGATTGAGAAATGAGACTAATTTGTTGTAGTTTTTCGAATGAATAGTTGTCTAATATAATTATTTTTATTCTTGATAAAACCTTCAATTTTTTAAGTGATGACAGGTTAATTGTTTTTTCTTTCTTACTGACAGAAATAAGAAGTAATAGAAAAGCAAACAAAAAAAAAGATAGGAAACTTCAATAATTATATAATTATAATAAAATTCCACTTTAGACCAACAAGCAAAATCTAATAATTCATTCGATGATCAAATAGGTGAATTCGAAATGCCAACAAGTAGAACTCGTAAACAACAAAAATCTACAGTGAACAAAACAAGTCCTACAATTTATTCTTCAAATGAAGTAAATATTTTACTTTTCTTTGACTAATTCTCTTACTAATGTATTGTTCTTGTTTCTATGAATTAGAACGGTAAGGTAATTACAAATAAATAATAATAAATTATATATAATCTATTCGTAACTTGTCCTATTGTGTGAAACAGTTCTCCTCTGATGCCTAAACAATATTAAAAGAAAATCATTTGTTTACCATCGAATTGTTTGGTTCACTTTTTTTTCTCCTTTTAGAGTTCTCATCTTGGAACGATCTCAAAACGACAAATGATAAAAACGACAGTGACAACAGCTAGAGCTCCTATTGTTAAATCGAAAGCAATCATTGAACAAGAAACAAATGAAATAGATGATGAAAATGTCCAAAGCACTCTATAATTTTCTTTTGTATTTATTTATTTATTCATCATTTATGCATCGCCGTTTTTCTTGTTTCTGTTTGTTTATCTCTTCTTTTTAAAAGTTATGCATATTATCGATTCAGAAGTTACAATTTGTAAATTTTACTAGAGAATAAACTCCATCTTCTTCTTCTGTTCGTTTTATTTGATTGAACAAGAAAAACAATACATACATATATTTACTCGTTGGTGCTGGTTTCTTCTCCTTTTTTCTCGACGGTCTAAAAGATATTTTCTGTAAAAATTTGTAATTTTTTTTTGTACCTCACAAAATGGTGATTTTTAAAAGACTGAAAAAAATATATATGTTCACGATTGTTGCAGATTACTCTCATTTTATTAATTGATTAATGCAAACGGAAAATAAAAAAAATAATTTGGTAGATACCGATATTGGTGGAACAACAAATCGTCGGTCAAATATTGAATTAATTAATCAGACAACAAATAATCATATCGTCGATAGATATATATGTGGAACAAGAGTGGTACGTGGTCCTGATTGGAAATATGGAAAGCAAGACGGTGGAGAAGGACATTGCGGAACGGTAAAATCATTTGAAAATGAAGAAAACAATGAACAACAAGAAGTGACTGTTGTTTGGGATCATGGTGAAGTTGGTAGGCATTATCGATGTCGAACACATTTCGATTTAAGAGTATTAGATAATAGTGCAACGGGTAACACTTGTTCCATGTAAATCAACTCTAATTTTATATATGATATTGAATAGGTATTTTTCATGATAATTCCGTTTGCTCAGGATGTGGACAAACTCCAGTATATGGTTAGTAAAAGAAAATTGGTGACTAAATCAATAGTTATGAATATTTATTATTTTAGGTATTCGCTGGCATTGTGGTGATTGTCCGAATGTTGATCTTTGTTCTATGTGTTATCATGGTGATCGACATAATACTCGTCATCGATTCTGTCGTATTGCAACTCCACATGGCGAAAAGTAAGTCATATGCATATGTATATGTGTATATATATCGCATCATCTAATTGTTAAATATTGTTATACGTTCGTTACTTACTTCATGCTTTTCGATCGTTTGTTTGATAGATTTTTGCATGGTAAGTTATAATGCTCGTGTCTGCTCTGATTTAATCATGAATGTCAAAATAACTAAACTTTATGCTTTTAGTTTTTTTTTTACTTTAAATATTTTTCTATTTCATTCTGTTTTAGAATTCTAATTGATCCAAGACGAAAATCAAAAAAATTAGCCTATCGTGGACTTTATCCTGGCGCAAAAGTTTTTCGTGGTGTAGATTGGAACTATGGTGATCAAGATTCTGGAGAGAAGAAAAGTGGTAAAATTATTGAAATTCAAGATTGGTCAAAAACACATCCACGTAGTGCAGCTTATGTAGTTTGGGATAATGATCGAGAGAATTTGTATCGCGTAGGATTTGATGGGATGGTAAGGAAAAAATGAATTGATAAACAAAAAAATGAAATATACCATTTCTTCGATTTTAGATTGATTTACGTGTTCTATCACCAGGAAAAGGTGGCTATTATTATCCTGATCATGCTCCATCACTTGGTAAAAATAATTTTTTTCATATTTTTCTCATTGAGTTTTTATTGTTTTTCTTATTAGGTGAAGCATATTATGCTCGAGAAACTTTATCCACTGGATTAACACATGAAATGTATCAACAATTTCAAGTGGGTGACTATGTTAATATTGATTTAGAACTTGAAATCGTTCAATCACTACAGCATGGTCATGGTGGTTGGACCGATAATATGTTTGAATGTTTGGGTACAACAGGTGCAGTTCAAAGTCTTGATGAAGATCATGATGTTGTTGTTGCTTTTCCGAGTGGAAATCGATGGACATTAAATCCAGCTTTGTTAACCCGAGTTGAAATAACGCCCGAACAAGCAACAGCTATGCAGCGACAAAAAACAGCTGCCAATATAGCAAGAACAACAGCTTCTGCAGGACTTACTCAAGCATTGAAAGTCGAAGATATGGTTCAAATTTGTAGTGATTTAGAAAGAATTAAAATATTTCAGCGGGGACATGGTGAATGGGCTGAAGCTATGGTGCCAGTAAGTTTAACATAGGATTGTGATTTTTTTTATCGTTATTTATTAATTTTCATTATAGGCACTTGGAAAAGTTGGTCGAGTTGTTCACGTATATGCTGATGGTGATGTTAAAGTGCAAGTTGGTGGTGGTTGTTGGATTTTCAATCCGCTTGCTGTTACTAAAGCTACAACGTCGTTTGGTCTAGATGATGTTCCTGAAGGTAAATATCAGAAATTATTCTCAAATTTTAATTCAATACTCAAAGGAAAATAATTTCAAGTCATTTTTGCCTCTTGTTGTTCTATGTGCCATCATTTTTGTAATCTTGTTATTTCTTTAGAACGACTTAATGCCATGCTGAAAAAGTTATTCAGTGCACAAATTACCGGTGACGTTCATGAAGAACTAGTCAAAGCAGCAGCCAACGGTAATATAGCAGTTACATTATATGTAAATTATCTTCTTACATTTATGTTCTATTTTTAGGTGATACTAGAAGAGTAGAAGAATTAATCAAACGAACTAACGTTGATGTAATTATTTCTAAAGATTAAAATATATAACTTATATTCTAAATTACCTGCTAATCATTAGGTCAACGGTATTTTTGCTGGTCATACACCGTTACAAGCAGCAGCTCAAAATGGACATTTAGATATTATTCGTTTACTCATTCAACATGATGCTAATTTAGAAATTGAAGTACATAATAATAATTTCATAGAGAAAAATAAATGCGATTGTTTTAAATATGTCATCTAGGATAAAGATGGCGATCGAGCTGTACATCATGCTGCATTTGGTGACGCAGCAGAAGTATTAGAATTACTCGCAAAATCTGGTGCCGATTTGAATTCTCGAAATAAAAAACGACAAACACCATTACATATTGGTAAATTATTCTTTATAATTTCATTAAGAACTTTTTCCCACGAGGCAAAACCATAACAAAAAAAAAGAACTGAAAGAATTTCAGCTTATGATGACCTTGACATCTTCTAAAATAGGGATGCGTCAAAAAAGCAAACCTATAATCTATTATTCTATTAAGATCTATCATAAGTCAACAAGTAGTTGTCCATTGAATTTGAATAAAAATACATCAAGTGTATCATTTTCTTTCTATCGATATTAATGCATGATTTCTATTTTATTCTAGGTGTTTGTAAAGGCCATTTTGATGTATGTAAAATTCTTCTATCAAATAATGTTCATCCTGGCATACAAGATTCAGATGGTGATACACCATTGCATGACGCTATATCAAAACGTCGTGATGATTTAATCATTATTTTACTTGAACACAATGCTGATGTAGCTACATGTAATAACAATGGTTTCAATGCAATTCATCATTCTGCTTTACGTGGCAATTCATCGTGAGTCATTATATCTTATCTTTGTTATTTCTTTTTTTCCGCATTGCTAAGCGAATAAGCGGTCAATCAGCAGGAGAATAGATAGCAGACACACACACACACACACGCACATCTGGACAGCAGTCTTCTTTTCCCATTTAACATAAACGTGTTGATTGACCGATTGAAAAACTAGACAACAAGCTGATTGTCTTTCCACATGTGTATTCTTTTTGCATAAATTTCGTTCGTTTTGATTTTCAGTTCTTTGATATAAGACATTATGAAGAAAACAGTTATTCTTCAATTTTTGTTTCGTGTTATTGTACTTTGTTTTGATGATGCATGAGAAAGCCCTCGGCATACTTCTATTACATTCCATAAGATACCTTTTCGATATGGTCTGTCTTAGAAGTACGAGTTGGAAACTTTCTTTATTCTTACTTACATATCGATAAGCCACTGTGAACGTGTAGAAGAATATGTACTGGAGTAGCGGAGAATAAAAAGAATAAATACCAACGATTATATGTAGAATAATGCATCGCTCTTTTATATATATATGTATATATATACGCATTATTGATGATTCTTTTTTGTATGAGTATTATATGTATATGCAGTCTATTCTCGTACGTTAGAATACGTACTAGCGAATAGAAGAATCAGGATAATATTAATATCGGAGCTAAATTTGGCTAATACAAGAAGAAAAAGATGAGCACACGCTCGCACTTCTTCTGATTGATATATACATATATGCAGCAACAGGAAGTATTTTCGGCTGAAGAAAAAGAGAAAGAGAGAGAAAAAGACAACAGCCATAAAACGATGCCTTCTTTCCTTTTCTGTGATAGATAAGGATAAAAAGAAGATACCAAACAAGAGAGAGCAGCGCGAGAAAGGAAAGAGGAAAGAAAAGAAAATAATGAACAAACGATGATAACTGAACAGAAATAGATGGATGAATATCGTTTCCAAAACGAGAATAGATTGTTTCTAGAATAACATTACTGTTCAGTTTACAATATACATGTATGATGCTGTTTCTAGATTTAGTAGAGATAGAGAACAGAAAAGAAAAGAATCCCCTTGACGAGAGAGACAACAATCAGATCATCCATATGCATTTTCTTTTTATCTTGTATTCTACCAGCTGGTTAGCATCGTGCAAGCTGATCGTCATACCTCATCAATATTGCCAGCATGCGACCTTTCACGCATATATATATATATATAAAGAACAAATAATTCATTATTAATAACATTCTCATCAATGAATAAGAGATATTAACAGTTATGCTGTGGTTTTTCTGAAATAAAAGATAAAAGCATTAATGAATATAATCGAAAATAAAGGCACAACATCATCTACTTTTTCTTGTATGTTCGTTTTCAAACATATACTGACATGAAGAGTGTGAGTGTCTGCGCGCAAACAGAACCGCAATAGATATTTTTCTTTTGCCTCTTCTTGTTTTTGCTATTGATTGAACGAGTATTTGCGTGAGGAAGAGCGAAAAATGCCTTTTTGGCGTTTTTTTTCTGGCTCCTCGTGCCGACTGTAACGAAATTATTCTCATCCTTTTTTTTCTATCGTCGCTGCCAGTTCCCGTTATTCAAACGTTTGCATATAAACTATTTCAGTGTTTCTAACAAACACGTGCTACTTATATCAACTCTATCTTTTTTTCATTTATTCTTGAAGATTAATCAATAGTTTTTCTTACGAGTCTATGTAAGGTAAAAGTTATATATATATATAATATCAAAGAAGATGTGCTCAAGCTGATCTATTTTTTTTTTTGGTTTTTAATAAATTACCTGTCGTTTCTCTGGCATGTAGTTGTTGTTGTTATCTTCTCAGATGAATTAATGGTTATATAGAAAAATATATGGAAATATAGCTAAGTAACAGAATATTTTAATGACTTTTGTTTTCAGTGCGATTGAACTTATACTTGCAAAAATTCAAAATCGGCAATGGCTTGTTGACGAGAAAAAAGATGATGGTTTCACAGCTTTACATTTAGCGGCTCTTAATGATCATTGCTTTGTTGCTGAATTACTTATAACTAAAGGAAATGCATCAATTAATGTACAGAACAGTAGTTTACAAACTGCTCTTCATTTAGCTGTTGGTCGACAACATTTACAAATTGTAAATGTAAGAAGAATTCATTTGAGATTATTTCATTCGAAACAAATATATTTTATTGCATTGCTCATTCGTAGTTATTATGCAGTAAAGCTGCTAATGTAAATTTAACTGACAAAGATGGTGACACATGTCTACACGAAGCTTTAAGACATCATACATTATCACAACTAAAACAGTTACAAGACGCTGGAGATGGTGGAAGAGTTTGTATTCATTTAAAGATAAAAACATTGAAACTAATTTTAATTTTTCCACTAGTTGACAAATATATTTACAAATTCAAATGGCTACGATAAAAGACCAAGTGTAGCTATTGCTTGCACGTTAGTTGCACACGGTGCAGATTTAACTGCAAGAAATAAGAAAAATCAAAAGCCATTTGATCTATGTCCAGATCCACATTTGTGTCGAATGTTAACAGAAAAACACATGTAAATAAAACTATTTGAAATTTGAATATATATATATATATATTTCTTCATGGATTTATTGATGTTTTTGTTTTTAGTGAATATAACCGTGAGAATAATTATGATCAACAAATAAAACAAAATAATACGTTCACTGAATGTCTTGTTTGTTCCGATAATGAACGAGATACATTATTTCAGCCATGCTCACATGTTGTTACATGTCATCTATGCGCTAGTCGAGTTAAGAAATGTTTATTATGTAAAGAAAATATACAATCAAGAATTAAAGTAAAAACAAAATATTTGTTTGTTTTCTTTTTCGAAATCTCGTTTGCTATTTTTACGTTCATAGATTGAACAATGTAAAATGTGTTCTCAACGTAAAGCATCTGTGATGTATAAACCATGTGGGCATCTAATTGCTTGTGAAGGTTAACCTAAATAATATTTAATATAAACATAATTGTTTATTTAAATAATAGAATGTGCTCGCCTAATGGAAAAATGTTTTGTATGTCGAGTGACGATTGATTCAACAGTGTCATTCGTTGAACTTTGTTGTGGAATTAATGATAATACTTCACTAAAGTCCGAAGTACCATCAACAACAACAGCGGCAGCGGCAGCAGCAGCAGCAACACCGATGTCATCAAATGAAGTTAGCGATACATTAGCTTTAGCTCGTTTACAGCAACAATTGCAAGAAATTCGCGAGCAAGTACATTGTCCGATTTGTATGGATCGTTTAAAAAATATGGTCTTTTTATGTGGTCATGGTGTTTGTCAAAATTGTGGTGATCGTGTACAAGAATGTCCCATATGTCGAAAGCCTATTGAAAAATCTATTATTTTGTATACTTAACCAAAAAAAAAGAAATAATTTTGTTTGTCTGTATATGCTCAATATTTTTATTTGTTTTGTGTAGACTTCTGTTGTGCAACAAATATGAAAATCATGTTTTAATGTCAATATGAATGTTTTAATTACTGTATTGGTTAATATATTTTAAAATTATTCAATCTCAATTGATATCATGTCTGTTAGACTACCAATCATTTATTTGATGGTATTGATGTCTAAACCATCAATAATAGAATTCGACTAGTAGCTATATCATTTTTATTAGCTTGTATCAGTCTCGATTAAATAAGATTTTTACTGAATAAATCCACGTAGAATATCTTCTTGTGCCAGAACTCACTCCCTAGTCTGTATTACCGGGGGAAAACTTCACCTGCTGGTTAGGACATACCCACACAATCATGTCTCGGATGGTGCTCTACACCGTGAATATCCTTATAAGATGTAAGCGATGTGATGGTAAATTCTTCATTCATTCATTCATTTATATCAATATACTATAGGTCAATATGTTTTTTATTAGTTAAATGAATATCATAATCATTAGACAAGACAAGTTTTAAAACAACCTTAACACATGAATATAATTGTAAATGTTTCAAATATGTATCTATGTATAACACTATGAACAGATCAAAATGTTAACCATAATTATTAACATTTTCATTCAGCGATATAAATCTACATGAAAATAAATAACCAATAATGATTGATAATGTTAGTACTTATAAAATCGACAATTTTTATTAAAATTTAGGATACAATCTAATATTCAATCACAACTAACCGATGATCAGGCAATTGTGTAGCTATTTTTACCAATATACTGTATGGTTCTAAGATGTCGTTTTAACTGTAGACGATAGAGAATTTTCTTATCTGAGAAAAGCCTCAACATCGAGCACTCACATTGAATTATGTTGCCTGAAAATGCTAATTATAATTTGCACACTAAAATTTTCACAATTTAGGAAAGCAATATAGTTTAGATGATAGTTCTAAATTCGTTGAACATTTCCGTAGTACTCTCTTCTCTCAGTTATCATGCTATTTCTCAAAAAGTTACATACAAGCTGAAAATTCATCAAAATGTTGATAGTAAATCGTATTTATAATTTTACTTTTTCTTACATTACGCTATTTCTTTAAACAATGAAATAATATATAATCCTAAAAGGTAATGTGTGCTTTATAGAGTTAGAAAATTCTCTATCCAATGAGTCTAGAACAAAGTCTTAGAATCTCATCAGCGTGCCCAAGAGCGAGCGAACAATAGTGCGCCATTTAATAATGTGGCTCACTTGTTACTTACTTTGTCAGTGCCATTCCCGACTGAATAGGCACGGCCGTAAACGACCGTATACGAAGCAGAGATGTCCACAGGACAGGGTTACCCTGCCCTGAACAGGAACAGGGTAGGCCAGGGAAATTACAGGATAGGACAGGGTGAGTCCTTATACCCTGCAAAGTGAAAAACCAGTTGTTTAGATTTCCGCTTTGAAGAAATTTTTCCTTTAGTTTGCAAGACTCAAAAATAAGAAAATAGACTCCAGAGAACGACACAAACTGATAATCAGAAGTTTCTCTATCTGACCTGGCCCATATAAGCCACGACCCGTTTCCACTGAAGCTGCTCAATCAGTAGTCGCCGGTTGACTCGCTTTTTACGCTCGATAGGGACAAGCGTTTCATGAGTTTCCACACAAGCCATTTCGAAGTATTTGGTTCTATTCTCGTGATAATAAAATTTTTCTAAGAGCATCCTCATCAAAAATTAACATATTCGTGATTTTTTTTCTGAGACTTATACCTCTTCAAGAAAATGTTCATTTCGCTTGAAGTTTTCAATATAGATCTATCGTTAGTTGAGATACTTTCCCTGAAAATATGAGCTCAAACTGATCGATTATTGATGAGTTGACCTCGAGCACCGGTAACATTGAAAAAATTCTGTTTTTTTGGTATTTTGTGGGTGTGCATTTTCATCTAGTAGATAATACTGGTGAGCTAAAATTTTAACCACAGAGATCTCGTTGACTAAGTCTGATAAAAAGTTTAGCTCTTCTGTTAGTCCTCATCGATTGGAAGCTGTTGTAAAAATGCGATTTTCATCAATATCATGGTGATGGAGAAATCACATTTTTCATGAGGATTCCATACAAAAATTAAACTAGCTGGAGAACTATATTTTTTACCAGACCTAGTCAATGAGATTTCTGTGGTTAAAATGTTAGCTCGCCAGTATTATCTACTGAATGAAAATGTACACCCACAAAATACAAAGAAAACAGAATTTTTTCAATGTTGCTGGTACTCGAGGTCAACTCATCAATAATCGATCAGCTTGAGCTCATATTTTCAGGCATAATACCTCAACTAAAGATAGATCTACATTGAAAATTTCAAGCAAGATAAATATTTTCTTTAAGAAGTATAGGTCTCAGAAAAATCTAATGTCTCAAGAATGGAACAAGATGTTTTGAAACAGTTTTCGCATGAATTCATCAAAGACTTGCATTTATCATCATAAAAGTATCGATTAAATCGACCACCACTGATTAAGAAGGGTCCATCGTGGCTTGTTTGCACTGGCTCTAAAACAAAAAATTGTTCTATGGTACAATGCGAAACATGTCTTTTTATTTTGAAATATATCAAAAAAAAACAACGTAGACACTATTTCAATTCAGCAGGGTACCTTGCCCTGCCCTGCTGAAAACCGACAGGTAGGGCAGGGACAGGGCGCATCTTAAATTTATTCATTTTTTTTTCAACAGGGCAGGGCAGAGCAGACAGGGTGCAAAAAGTTGCCCTGTGGACATCTCTGGTGCATATACGATGTAACACGACAACATAAAAGATCAATTATCGGTCTAGTCAATATTACAAGATTTGCTTTTTTTGTCACTCTTAGGAATGCTTGTGATCTTTACGATCGATTGCATAGCAATCAATCAAAACCATCAAAAGACCACTTTATTTAGTGAGTGGAATGTTAAATTTTACAAATAGAAATGAAATTTATTTGATCTCGATTGCTTACCAATTGTCTAATTATTACGAATAACAAAAATGACTATAAATATCAATGCTTTTTAACGTTAGAAATCATTCCCCATCTTTCTTTCTCTTCTTCTTACATTCATGTATATTTTATTTTTTAACTATTTTAGCTTGCATTCATACTGGCTATTGTTCAATATCACAGGTAAGGATTAATTTTAGTTTTTTTAATTTATTTTTCGTTGTCTCAGCTTTTTATCCCATTTATTTATTTTAATTTTATATGATAATAATAATTGTCTTTCTATTTTCATTTTAGTTTTAATTTTAGTTTTTCTATTTCTATTTTCTATTTTAGTAATACAAAAAAGTGAGTATACTTTGTATATTTGTATATTTTGTTACGTCCTACGGAGGCCTTCCATACATCGGCGTGAAACTGGCCAAGCCTATCTTGATGCCCATAGCACCTACAGGCCGCATATAGTTCTCTCTGTTGTATCTTCTATAAACGTTAGATCTATGTCTGTACGTGAGGAGCCTTGGCTCTCTATGGCACCACCAAAGTAGTTGTTGGTCGCGCGAACAGCTATTAGCTGGTAAGGAAAAACAATTCTCATTCCAATCAAATTCGTTTCGTTTCGTTTCATTTCATCTCGATTTCTTCAACAGCAGAGTAAATATAATTACTTTCACTTATTTTATTCCAAAAAAATAAAATTAATTGTTATTTTTATGTTTTAGTTCCATTCAACAATTCAATTCAATTCAATCAAAACAAAAACAAATGTAAGTATATATTTTTCCATTCTTGTGGTTTATTTTTATTGTAATTTAATTTTTTTTTGATTTTTAAAATAAACGTTATTCAAATAACGCAAATTTTATTTTTTTCATTTAAATGATAAACATTTTTAAAAACACAATTTATTTTTCACTTTAATAATTAATATGTTTTGCGAAAAGAAACAAATTCTTTTATTTAATTCATTTCTTTTCATTTAACAAATAAATAAAAGAAGAAGAAGAAGAAGAAGAAGAAAAGAAACATATGACGTAATTTTATATTTTAGCTTTTTTCTTTTCTTTGAAGCGAAAGAGTAAAAGAAGTTTTCTATTTTTTGTTCATTTATTTCAAAGTATAGAAAAAGAAACGAACAAAGAAAAAACAATTCACAAGTCTTATTCCATAGAAAATCGTTGAACACGATGATTATTCCAATCGGCGACATAGAGATTACCTTGTCGATCGAAAGATAAACCATAGGGGAAGTAAAGCTGATTTGGTCCTGCTCCTGAACCATTTCCACCCGCAACTACAGCGCCTTGTTTCTTGTCTCCTTGAGTCCAACGCATTACACGAGCGTTCCACGAGTCTGCTACATAGAGTGTACCCAACGTATCAACGAAGATTCCTTCAGAATGAGACAATTGTGTCAGAGCACTTCCTGTTCCTTGTCCTCCAGCGACCACAATACCTTCTTTTGCACCTTTATTCCATTTCGTTACACGATGATTCTCTTTGTCTGATACGTAGACATTTTGTTGTCGATCGACAAAGAGATAATGCGGGTAGTTGAGTTGATTAGTATCATTACCTTTGCCATTACCACCAGCTACAAGAGTGTAATTATTCTCACCCAATTGATATCGTCTTACTTCATGTTTTCCACCGCCAGAGACGTAGAGATATCTCTGCTCATCCATTGCTAATCCCCAACACCCGATGTTGTCGATGAGTATTTCTCCTTGTGTTGTACCACTACGACGAGACCATCGTACAACTCGGTGATTCTCTGCATCACAAATAATGAGACTATCCGTCTCTTTGTCAATTAATGCATCAGCTGGCTGATTCAATTGATGTAATCCATCTCCTGCGCCTTTGCCACCAGCAACAACTTGTCCATTCGTTGTATCACCGTTCTTCCAATGCATGATACGATGATTCGAGTAGTCAGCAATAACCACTGTTTGATCATCATCAACAAAGAGACCACGAGGGAAGCTGAGTTGATTAGTGGCATTACCTTTCCCGTGACCTCCAGCAATAGTCACACCGTTCTGCTTCCATTTAGCATTAGCAGGAATATTAACTAGAAGAGAAAACGTTTAAGAATAAAAGGAGATCTCTTTCTCTCTCTCTCGAGTATAGCTAGTATACGAAATAATTTCGAAAGTATCGAGCAAAATTCTTTGAATGGATCATTCTTTTTTTTGGAAATTCCTTAGAATAAGTTTTTTCTATACTGAAAGATTATTCTATAGAATGAATATAGCATATCGTTCTCTCTAATGCTCTTTTTTTTACAATTATATCATAGTGTCTTGTTATGTTTAAAAGTGACAGTAGCGATGGAAAATATTGAAATATTGGACTTCATGTTTATGACGAAGAGATAGAAGCAATTACATCTCTAAATAGTTGAACTAAGAAACGAGAAATAAAATTGGAACAAAATAACATAAATTAATGTTTTTTGAAGAAGTACTGCCGTCGTTCGTTATGAGTGTACAATCTTATCAGTCAGTCTTAGAAGCAATACGGGAAAAAAAGTCTTTTAAGTTTATCGAACGCGTAATGAAAATAAATTGGTGAAATCATCTAATTTGGAAGTAGGAGTTTTCCGAGATCTTTCCACAGGAGAGAAATTAGAGAATGCCACAGAGCATGTAGATGCTAAATTCGAACAGAAAGCTTTCAAAATTTGTCAGAATTACAAAAGATTTCGATTTGAACAACAGAAGAATAGTGTAGGAGTTGATCATTTTATCCTCATATGATCTGATTTCATCTATTACTGGATAGGATTGCAATACTATAGTCCTAACTAGGAAAAGGTTTCCAAAAGTTGAAAGAACTTAATTTTTATGTTTTTCTTAATTTAACAATACTTAATTGTAGTTCTCTTCGAATCTAGAGAAAAGTTGTCTTCAATTCTGAGGCCACGTGATACGAATCATTTTTTTCCCTTTTGTAGACATCTATAAGCTGAAACCTCATTTGAGCTTCTAATGAAAGAAGCTTGTAGTCTTTTGTTTTTATGAATTAGGAAGTTTGTGGTTGTATCGTTCTTCAATTCGTAGATATTTGATCTAATCCCAGCAACTATTTCATTGATGCAGTAGCAATAGAATTCATTAACGCTGGATTATTTTTTTGCGATAAATTGGGGATTTCTTATAATACCTTGCATTTTCGCTTACAAGAGAGTTAAAAAATTTCGAAAAACATTTTCTCATTTTGACAGAAGTCAGCTCGTAACTCATATGACTTATAAAACCGTCAATAACTAAAATGACCTCATCGATGTAGATCATAATCATGTTAAGTTCCCATTGACGTGAACATGCCAATAAAGCAAAGCTAATTTCGATTGTCCCGAGAATAGTTAAATAATACATGAAAATTGAAAAATCTTCAGTTGTTCTTATTCTGACAGTCAAATTACCTATAATATAAAATAACTAAGTTCATCAAGTTAAACTTTAGATATCCACATAGTGACATAGCATAAAAATAGCTACAGGTGTTCGATTCGAAATAAGAATTGAGGATGATTGAGAATAATGATCTAAAAAGGTTACCTCCTTTTTGAATAGTTGTTGTAGTCGTAGTCGTAGTTGTAGTCGTAGTTGTAGTTGTAGTTGTAGTTGTAATTGAAGTGTTATGGTTGTATCGTTCTTCAATTTGTAAATTTTTGATCTAATCCCAGCAACTATTTCATTGATGCAGTAGCAATAGAATTCATTAACGTTGGATTATTTTTTGCGATAAATCGGGGATTTCTTATAATACCTTGCATTTTTGCTTACAAGAGAGTTAAAAAATTTCGAAAAACATTTTCTCATTTTGACGGAAGTCAACTAGTAACTCATATGACTTATAAAACCGTCAGTAACCAAATGATCTCATCGATAGAGATCATAATCATGTTAAGTTCCCATTGACATGAACATGGCAATAAAGCAAAGCTAATTTCGATTGTCCCGAGAATAGTTAAATAATAGATGAAAATTGGAAAATCTTCAGTTGTTCTTATTCTGACAGTCAAATTACTCATAATATAAAATAACTAAGTTTATCAAGTTAAACTTTAGATATCCACATAGTGACATAGCATAAAAATAACTACAGGTGTTCGATTCGAAATAAGAATTGAGGATGATTGAGAATAATGATATAAAAGCTTACCTCCTTTTTGAATAGTTGTTGTACTCGTCGTTGTAGTTGTAGTTGTAGTTGTAGTTGTAGTTGTAGTTGTAGTTGTAGTTGTACCTACAGCGTTGTTTCATCTTCATTATTATAGAGCATTTGTGTAAAATAATGAATTAGTCTGATTTTTGGCATAAAGGGTGTTATAGAGTTTAGTGTTTCCTAAAGTGTGCAGTAATAACTCAATTTTTTTAATTAACGGATCTCTATAAGGAACGGCCAACTTTTGTGTTTTGCCTTTTGGGGATTTGATCATTGCCTTAAGGTCTGATTCTGAGCTTGTCGGACAGAAAATGTATTTCTCTACAAACTATCCACTTTGTCTTTCAGATAGTTTTTTTCTTATCAATGAATGATTTAAAAGATCAACACCTACAAAATCATCCACCGGCACAATGAAACCCAGGAGGTAAGTGATGACTCCCAGGACTCTAGCACCTCAACATCTCAACATCTGTGGGTGCTGTGAGGATCAGAAAGTTAGAGCATAAATATTAATTGAGAAGTTGCTTGGCGGTAGTGTAACACTATTCAAATTCGGGTTCTTCCTGAAGAAAAATACTGATTGATGGTTGACAATGCCATAGCACTTTTCCAATACCTTTCAACACTTCAGGGTGTGGGTGTGGGCGTGGGTGATTGGGTAGCGGAGACTCACACCCACACTCATACTCATATCCTCACTGGCGCCCACACCCTCGTCGTTTCTGCAACACCCTCGTCGTTTCTGTTTTGTTGCTCTTACTTATCGGCGGACAGAATTGTTCATTGAAACTCGGTACCGGATAACAAATAGGATAATCATGACATCGAGAATGATAAATACACACATGCTCGAATTCATTACAAGTATTCTTTAAGCCTTCACATTGAACTAACTCAGAGCAAGACAGCAGAAATTGATTGACACAAATGCTTGAGTTAGAAGAAGCAATCATACGGAAACAGACACACGCAGAATGCGTCGAACATGGAGCATATTCAGTCAAGCCATCACATGATTGACATTTAGCTCGAACTATCAATACACTAATGAATTAAGACCAGGACATAGAATAAAAAAATGAATCGATGTTAAAAGTTTACCTGAATAGTACCAATACGAAATAATGCAGTCCTGTCGATACCATCACACTTTTGTGAAAATGAGGCTCAGTTCTATATCAAATAAATAGTCTCATAACGCATCATGTAGGTGTAACTTGAGTGAAAAGCCATGATTTTAGACATTTTATATATGAGAATTAAAATTGACAAACAAAAACTCTCTTATGATTAAATCTGATATCTCTGACGTGTTAAACAGAAGCTTAGTTGTTTTTACGTGCTAGAACATTGATCTAACCAAGAGGAATAAGCGATTCTTTTATATTGATTATTGCAGAGTTCACATCAGATTTTTGTTTTTCTGTGTCTGTTTGTCGCCATCTGTGTATGCTCGTATGAAATATTTATAATGGAACACGAGTTTATCATCATCGCATACATATCACTGCTTTGAATTTTTTCGAGAAATAAAAGAAACAAACAAAATACACATGTGCAAGAAAATGAACAAAATTCTATATGAGATCGTCGTTGATAGGAGGGATGATGATGATCAGAACAACACATAACAACAATACGGAAATTTTGTTTTTTGTACAAGTAAAAAAAAACAAAACGAAAACGCATTGGCCTAAAGAAAGAATTCTTTTTTATCGACCCATAAAACTTACTATTTCGTCGGAAGCACTTGCACCAACACTAGTACTTCGATAACCATGAACAATTTGTCCTCGCTGAAAAACAAACAGCCATCATAACATCATAAATATCAAATATGATTTGAAATTATTTACTGGAATATCCCAAATATAAATCGCTTTATCAAATGAATCAGCTGCTAATAAACGATCATCTGGACTGAAAGCAACTGAATAAACAGGTTCTGAATGTTTTACAGTATATTTTGACAAACACCACGTTCAACATCCCATAAACGTACAGTTGAATCAAATGATGCACTATATACGTAAAATTTAAAGATATGAAAAAAGGAATTTTTCATTAAATAGTTGCATTTGGATTCATTGTTCCTCAACCAGTTGGACTCCATTTAGTTGTATAAATTTCTTTATTATGTGCTTGAAATTATGAACATGTGTGTCTTTTGACATACTTCAGATCTAAATAAAAATAACAAATACAGTCGAGGCATGATTACTTTCATTGCTATTTACTTTTAATGTCATACCATCAGAACATTATGCAAATGTTGTTTACAATTATCAGAATTTGCGCCCCAAATGATCGTTGTACGATCAACATCAGCCTATAGAATAAAATTTTCTTTTTTATTTCATTTTAATGCAACTATGGGTCCTTTATGTTGACCAAGTGTACTGATTAAATTTTCATCAGACGACCATATACGATCATGACCATCATAACTATCTGTAGCTAATTGTGTCCCAGATGACTGAAATAAATAGCATAGATGGATTTTTTTTCTTTGGTAAATAACTTACATTCCAATCTAAACTTGTAACATCTTTACATAAAATATGTTTTAGAACAATTTCAAGTTTACATGTACCTTGTAAATTCCATATACGAGCAGTTGAATCACCTGAACCAGATGCCAATAGATCATGCGTTGTATCCATGCACAAATAAATACTTCTGATTCATGACCATATAAAACAGTAACACGATGGACAGAAAGAGAATTGTATACTGAATTATACAACCGCTTCCATTCATCAATTAAATTCAATACTATAATTTAATGCATCTATTAAAAATCATTTCATAAATAGAATGACTGTGCGAAAGATCTATCTAGTGTCTGAGTATATTTTTAATTGAGAATGTCTATCCTGGCATCTTTCGTCTATACAATTAAAATCTAAAAACTAATTACATTGTACATCACGCATAGAAGTAGGTAACAATAAATTCATACACTGTAAAGTCAAGTGTGTTTAGAAAAATACAAGAAAAAAACCAAAATCATTTGCGATCAGTTATTAGTACTAATTTTCCAAGCTTTGGTTTTGTAGAGAAAAGGCACGGCACAGATCGGCACTCTATACGGTATACTTTATATTGATGTATCCATCTTAATCAAAAATGACTAGACTTTGAGCGCTATCGCGAAGTAGAATCGCGATTGCTATTAATAATTAATGATAATGAATCTAAAAATAAACAAAATTTTCAATCTGTATGAAGAACTGTTTGAGTCAAACATTGGTAAATATCTGCACGTTGTTCGTTACCGTCGTGTTTCCTGCATGGATCTGTTTCTTCGTTAACATTTACACATATTCATCTATGCTGTTTTGTCTAGTAATCGAGTTCACCTTCAATCTAATGGAATTAGCACACAGTCATCTGGCAACAATGCTCAAAATCAACAATTATAAGTTGTCGTGATAGTCATTTGTTGCAGTATGCTGTTTACATGTTTTGTTTCTTCTGTGTAGGTTGAAGTCCACTCTGCACAATTTTAGTCATTCCATCATTTCAAAGTTTCGAAACAGGGGTGTATTATATTTTTGTAATTTGGGCACAGGTATATCCTTTGTACTTGACAATCAAGAGTTAAGACAGTATTTAAATAGCAAGATTCAAAAAAATTACATGAAATATTACATTGAATTTACTGAAATGACTGTAACTCAGTATGAATATTTCTATCGTTTTCCACTATCTTTATACCGATTTCTTGTGAATGAGAAAATGATTTCGTTCTTATCATTCACAATAAACCATAAAAAAGCAAGATTATTATCATAGGATTATCTTCATGAAGGAAAGAAATAAGAATTAATTGTTCAATGATAATACTGTTCGTTGACAGTTGTTGGATAATTGTCTATTTCTCGTCACCTTGATGATATGAAGTCTCTGTTATCTCTCTCTCTCTCTCTCTCTCTCTCTCTCTATGCTTATGTATTATTCATCACATGTTGCTCTTCAATAAATGCTCTACTACTGTTATGTTTAAACATATGCATTACGATGCAAAAAGATTGAAAGAAACTATTGACGTTATTTATTGTATTCTTTATGATTTGAAAATCATCTTAACCGATCGATTTAGCTTGCTAATATCTGCATTAAGGAGATGGGGGAGTCACATAAATCTCGCCTTTACACTTACACTCACCATTCTCTTCGAAAATAAATGTGAGCTTTACAAAACTGATAGATATAAAAATACTTTTTTATATTCAAGAAATGAAGGTGTTTTTGAATGTTTGAGTTAAATAATTTCTATCATACACTTGTTTTTCGATTTTTGTTTTCGAAAGCGGTACAACATGTGCGTAATTGATCCAATATATATATATATATATAGTCTGTTTCTCATTCTTTCTTTTCTTTTCAAATGATCGACCGCATGTGAATATATTTCGTTTACGTATATGCTTTTATCATATATATATATATATGCGCGAAGTTGAACTATTATAATTTATTACTCCATTTCATAACAAACTGTATGTTAAACTTTAGAATCTACATTAACACGATTGTTATTGTTATTTTACTGTTTCTTTCACTAAATACGGTTTAAATTTTAACTACGACGACTATTACAATGAATCTGTTGGACCTCACATGATAAAAAAAGAATGCCTCTTTACTGAAAAAAAGTTTGTTGATCTTGTCAATAATATTTTAGTAAAAGAAATTTTTGAAAGCGGTTGAATTCATTCAGCGAAATATTAGCCAAACTATGAAGTTAACAATGCTGCGATTTTATTAATATCTTTATTTGTTAAATTATATTGTTACGAATTGCAAAACTGTGTGCTAGAATAAATGAAGTAAAACCAACCACATAATGATTGATTTCGAAAAGGCAGTGGTAAACGAATTTTTACACAGAGTTGATAAAGATTAAAAAAATTCTTCGAAATATCTAATAATTTTTTCAGTTTCACAAGTATTCAACATCATGTTAAAGTGAGTGTTTGTGTCTATTGGATAAATACGATATCATCGTCAATTCTTCTTTTTTTCTGTATAGTAGCTGCACTTGAATAGAACTATAGACAAAACTTTCGGACAGTTTTGAACAAAAATTGCTTATATATGTTACATTTCTTCAATCAACCAAGCTAGATTAGCATTTGACTATGTGAATAACTTGCATCCCTCACAACTCAATTGAATATCTCCACTACGTTGAAAAGAATTATATAGGAAGAAGTTCTATACGATAATGAAATAGTTCTATTATTTGATTAAAACTGTAACATGTACTACGCAATAACTTCCCACTTCGTGCGTACGAATAACACTGCAGAAGGATGGCATAATTGTTTTACTTCAAACATTCAATATCAGTATTGTGATCTCTTCATTAGTCATTTGCAAGTGTAAAGTAAATTAAATCCTTCATTTTTGGCCATTCTATTAAACTCAGACCTATTAAGTAAGATAGAGAATTCCTATTACAATTCAAAATGTGTTAGAATCAAAATATTTTTTTTACTTTTTTTGACTTGCTATTACTTTTGTAAGTGTTCAACGTATATTTCCCACTAAAAGGTATTCTCTTTGCATATCTTACTAATTTTTTATAATCTCTAATTTCACCTGTTAGAACTTCTTGAAATGTACCAGCCGATGCTTTGATATCTACACACTTATATTAATGTTGGTAATGCCTGTTATTTTATCATTTTCATATGTTTATAGATTATAATTATAGTCATGCTTGAGAGAAAATATCGGAAAAATTGACTATTGCCTATATCATTCGATCAGACCGCCTAGGCCAGGATTTTGATTGGCTACTATTTAGTTAGTCAGCAAATCAAACTTGTATGATATATATATCGATATTTGGTATTTAAATGTAGTTCGAAAAAATAAGTGTATGTTAAACTATAGTGTCATTATTACAGCATATTGATTCGATTCACGATTTAATACCGGCAATACTACACTGTTATATACTCAGGTCGAACATTCCGGCTACCGGATCCTGTAGGATACTCCAGGAAATATGCGGGAAAATCACCATACCCTGCAGGAAAACACGGGAAATCGCTGGAACATGGAAGCAGTATTCCGATTAAAAATACGACCGAACTTTTCCTGGGGTCTCCTGCCAAGTTCCGGTGCTTTCCAGCAGGAATTGATCGGAAATCACCGGAAAAAAATCCGAAAATTTTCCAACCGGGAATGCTGCTTTGACAAAATCAACGGAACTACCCGGAACCGGCCGTTTCCAGGCCGGACTGTTCGATGCAACAACTATATTAGATTAATAAAACAAAAATAATAAAATGCACGATTCGCTCAAAGAAGAGATAATCAACGATTTATTTATATGCCTCTCAATCGAGTACACCAACTTTGACATAATTTAGTGATGTATTCTTGAATAAATTCAAAAAAAGAATTCAGAACATGCAGAAACAAAAAAATTATGAATTATAAATAATTTTATCTTTGCTCATACCTCGATGTTCCTTTTTTTTATTTCTATCAAAATTCCAGAATAATTGCTATCACTTTTTATTTTTCATGTAAAAACATATTTTCGTTACAAGACACCTAGTTTACGTAAGAGAATAGCCATGCTCCTTGATTAGTGCTAATTATGTAGCTGAATTCCCCTTGAGAGACATTTTTCTATCTAAAAACATGATATTTTTTTTTTGAAATATTTATGAATGTACAAATATCCTACAGATAACTGCTTACTCTACTAACGCCTCGATTTAGGCCGACACTTTTGATAAGCTTAAAGGAATCATATTACAATTTCCGATTATGAATTCCTTCAAGTTGTGCCTTCTTTCTTTATATAGAATTTGGCATTAAAACAACAGTCTTTTTTCTGACCATAGGCCATCACAAGTAGCACCTTAAAATGAACATTTATATATTGTTAGTTTACTTATTGAACATAGTGTTGAAGTATGTCATAATAATTTCATGCAGAAAAATATCTTATAGAGAATAAAGATATTGATACAAGTCTTTAATAACCTTGATATCTTCTAAAATATAGATGGGTCAAGCAAACAACCCTATTATCTATATACTATTAAGATCTGTCATAAGTCAACAAGTAGTTGCCTATTGAATTTGAATAAAAATCAAGGGGGGAAAAGCGCCACTTCCGTATTTCGAAGTAGAATGGGAGTACAAGGGAGTACAAGTGAAGTACAGGGAAGTGTGAGTGAAGTACAAGGGAGCATGAGTGAAGTACGGAAGTCGCGCGGGGGGGGGGGGGGGGGCGGGGGGGGGGGGGGGGGGGGGGGGGGGGGCCCCCCCCCCCCCCCCCTTGATAAAAGTACATCAAGTGTATCATTTTCTTTCTATCGATATTAATGCATGATTTCTATTTATTCTAGGTGTTTGTAAAGGCCATTGTGATGTATGTAAAATTCTGTTGAAATAAGCATGCTAGTTGACTGATTGAAAGACAATAAAAGAAACTGATTATCTTTCCATATATGTTGTTTTTGTGCACAAAAATTGTTTCAATTTTCATGTTTTTAACTGCCATTTCGCCTGCTTTAATATTCTTTAATGACGATAGAAAAAGCCCCCTGCATACTTCTATTACATTCCATAAGATTACATTTCGATACGGTGTGCTGTAGAAGTACGAGTTGGAAACTTTCTTCGTTAATAATTACATATCGATAAGCCATTTTGAGCATGTACAAGAATATATGCGGGAATAACCGAGAATAAGAAGAATAATACCAACGATAATGTGTAGAGAATAATGCATCGCTCTTGTATATATATATATACATATATGTACCATTGACGATTCTTTTTTGTACGAGTATTATACGTATATGGACAGTCTATTCTTGTACGAGACATATACAGTAACGAATAGAAGAATCAGAATAGTCGTAGTGTCTGAGCTAAATTTGGCTAACGTAAAAAGAAAAAAAGCGCGTAAAGGTTCGCGCTTCTTCTGATTAATATATATTTATACATCTACACATAGAGCAACAGCAGGAAGTATTTTCGGTTGAAAGAAAAGAAAAAAAAAGAGACAAGCGATAAAAATAATGACTTCTTGTCTTTTCTCTCATCGATAGGGACCAGGCCTTCCGGTCAGGAAGATGATGGTAGAAATTTCCTTCTTGTAAAGCGATGATAACTGAGCAGGAATAGATGCATACATGCATGAATACCATTTCCAAAAGGAGAATAGATTATTTCTAGAATAGCATTGCTGTTCAGTTTACAACATACATGTATGATGCTGTTTCTAGGTTTGGTAGAGATAGAGAACAGAAAAGAAAAGAATCCCCTTGACGAGAAACAACAATCAGATCATCCATCTGCATTTTCTTTTTATCTTGTATTCTATCAGCTGGTTAGCATCATGCAAGCTGATCGTCATACCTCACCAGTGTTGGCAGCATGCTACCTTTCCCAGTCATATGTATCTTCCTAATCAGTAATTCATTTTTTTTATAGCAGCCTGATCAATGAATAAGAACAGAGTGTGAATGTCTACATGCAAATAGATCGTTGATGATTTTTTTTTCTACTATCTGCTATTTTTTATGGATGATTGTATTTTCAGTGCAATGAAAGATCAAATGTAGCTATTGTTGTAGATTTATTTGTACAAAATAAATAAAAAATGATTTGACCTCACTGTTAATAATTTCATTCTATTTTTTCGAAACTTCATTTGGTATTTTCTCTTGATTGAGTGAACAATTCAGAAGATACTCTCAGCATAAAGCATCCATTTTACTATATAATCTATGTGCGCATCTAATTGCTTGTGAAGGTAAACCTCAATAATATTTAATGTAAACATAGTTGTTTATTTAAATGATAGAATGGCTTGGTCTAATGGGAAAATATTTTGTTTGCCGAGTGATGATTGAGTCGGTAGTATCATTCCATGAACTTTGTTGTAGAATAAATGATAATATTTCAATAAAATCTTAGATAACACTAAGAAACAACTAAAAGACAATCCTGTAAAAGTTTATTTTGTGACTTAGTTAGATGCGTAAAAGAATATCGACTATGTCTATTTTTATATACTCAGCAAAAACAATATCATCTGCTTATCTGTACATGTTTAACATGATTTTTTATTTATTTTTATTGTACAGTAAACGATAAAAAAAAAGATGATGTGTGTGTTTAAATGTCGCGGCAAACTTTTAGTTGATGCGTTGTCTAATTTAATTATTATTTGTAGTTGCCGGGTTACTGGTAAGCTCGTCGATGATGTTTTGAAGTTGTTCCTCGGTTAGCATCGTGGATGTCTAAATTATGAATAGAAAAACTGCATCAATTATTAAAAAAAATATTTTACTCAAAGTCCAGAGAGTCATTCAGTCTTAACTAACCAATTCTGTGCTGAGTGTGCAACTAAAAAAGTAGAGAATCATGTTCTTTGCATGTTAATAGTATCAACTGACAAACGCAAAAGCTCACTAGTTTAATTTCTGATCGATCGAACAAATCTATCTTCATTTTACTATTAGACTCTCATGAAAATTATGAATAGTAGGAATAAATGTGTTATCGTCATCGAAACTCATTTGAAAAAGATCAGCTACAATCAAATAACTTATTGACGATTCTATTTTGTTCCTAAAATTATTTACTTGGAAGAAAACAAGCGAGATTCATTTTCTATTTTATATATAAAGTAAACATACTTGGCAGATATGCCGAGAAGCTGTCACTTCTCAGGTTTATTTTAATTTCGATTCAGGTTAGCACAATATTATCTTACGAGCAGCAACGACAAATTGGGTGCACTGCACAGTATATAAAAAAAAGCGCAAAAAATATCATACGCTGTTTATAAAAGAGTCCAATTATTATTTCTTTTTCATCTCATTTCACAACCTATAGAGAATTATTATTCTCTACCTGAATTGGTGGGATTTGTTGTTGAACAAAGCTTGTAGCTTTTCCATTTGAATTTTCATTCGATAGATGACAATTATTCGTTCGATTCACAACAGTTCGAGGTAAAGTGTCAGGAGCATTTGTTGTAGGAATCTGAAATTGCTGTGGTGGTTGAATTAATCGTGGTGATGGTGATAGATTTGCATTATTTGGTAGGTAATGAATTACGGAAGATCCCGGCAGTCGTTGTGGATCCTGATATCGTACCGGTGCGCTTTGTTGTTGCATTGGTTGTGGAAACGACATTCGTAGTTCTTGTTGATTTTGATAAATGTGCGGCTGTTGCTGATGATATAATGGCTGATTTTGAGGCTGCTGTAATGGTATTTGTAGTGATGGCCGTTGTTGTAAGACACCAATCGAATTTGATGGTTGATATGGAAACGATTGTGTTTGATATTGTATTGGGGGTTGTTGTGGAATTTGTTGTGATACGCTCGTTGGAGCAGCCACATTGTAAATACCACATCGACGCATAAATTCTTCGGCAATATTTGGTTGAGTACGAATAATATTTATTAAAGCTTCTTGATCATTTACATATGAATATGGTTGTGGTTGTGGTTGTAGTTGTGATTGTAGTTGTGGCTGTAGTGGTGGCTGTGGCTGTGACTGTGACTGTGACTGTAGCTGCTGTTGTATGCGATCGGATGATGAACAAACATGTTGTGGTGCTGCAACGTTATTGTTTTGACTATCATATGGTATAGTCGTATAATCATGAACACTATTGGAATCAGAACTCTAAAGATAAGTTATTAAAATATATTTCAAAATTAAGTATGCATATATTTCTACTTGTTCATTGTCGAATATAAGTGATGGCGTCATTGGAAGAAACGATGAAAATGAGTCTGAAACGAAAACTAATTGAATATGATGACATTTCTATTGAATGGTTTACTTGGACTGAATGGAAATAAATCATTAGAAGTTTGACTTTGGATGTCAGAAATATCTTCATCCACATTTCCATCATTAGCACTAATATTAAATAAAGAAAATTAATATCACCTTAACGAATTCTACTTGCTTATCAACAAGATCTGTAACTGGTTTATATTTTTCATCATTTTTTAATATTTGTTGTAACCGCTCGTCTAATATCAATATTTTATTATTATTATTATTATCATTAAATGATATTGATTTAGTTTTATTAAACTTACGATAGTATTTTGAAAATTCACCAAATGATAAAAAGGTTTTACCATTTTCTCTATCATTGAAATTCGATAAGACGTGTATCCGATTGGCACTCTCCGTATGAGTTGAGAGTACAAATTTGCTAATATCAGCTGCTAGTATACCAGTATCAAATGTACGATTTTGTAACTTTTTTGTACGATCTAAAATAGAAAAATCTTTTAAACAGGAATAGAATTATTTAAAACAAACCATTGTAGATATCAACACGAACAGCGCACGGAGAAGGTTTGACTGATTTGATACCGGTTGAAGATGTTGCCACAACATTATAATCGACTCGAATCGAATTCAAACGAAGTGCAATTACCGGTGAACTGGCAATACCTGATTGAACAATGGCTTCAGCTGCTCGTTCACTGTTACATATACCAAGAAAAAGACTAAACATTAGCAAACAAAAATTAATAAATTTCCATCATTTATCTTTACAATTAGACATTTACCCATCGGCATGAAACATAGAAAGAATTGGGTGTTTACCCATGAATTCAACTTGATGTACAAAATGAACGAGAAAATCCTAAAAATGAAATAATCATTATTAACTCTAAGATAAGTTCTAGAAAAATGCAGAGATATGAGAAAAAGAATAGAAGAAATCTTCATTTTTTAAATGAACTGTACTCGTAAGAAAAATTTCCATAGAGCAACATACCCAGTAAACATCTTCTATGGATTGAAAGTTAACTCTTTGGTCTAAACAACAATATAAGCATTTATTTCTGAAAATATCTCCAAAAATATTAAAAATCACTTGTCGCTTTGATTAATTCTTGTTCTAGAAAAATATTAACACACTCATTAGGTCGAACACCTGTGCGATGAATAAAATAACGTTGCATATATTTTAGCATAGTTTTAACATCAATTAATTGAGCCTAAATATTCAAATCAGATTTTTCAATACTTTGTTAAAATTTACTTTTGAAATTCGTTGAATATCATCAATTATAACACGTGCTAATAATTGTGGAATTTGATTGTTATGAGCGCCAATACCGAACCGTACTGATTCCAATGGGATTTGAAATACTAGTGGCATTTTACTATCAGCCAAATTAAGCTGTAATAAATCAGATGTAGATTAGTATTTTTTTCTAAATGAATTTACTTGAACTTTGACTGCAAATTTAAATGAATGTAATAATTGAGCAAATCGAACGCGTGTATCAGTTTTTAATGCCTGTTCGATAGTAATAGCCGATAATTCAGCATACAGAAATGTTCGAGATTTACCACCAGGTGCTGTTTGTACTTGGCATGTTTTCCATGAAAGTGATCGAGGTTCTTCAAGTTTATAATGAGCAGATGAAGGATACAAACTAGGTTCTAAATATAGAAAGCAAGAAAAAAGAGACAGTATGAAAATTAATATTGAATATCACATACCAATATCGAATAGTTCTAATAAATTTGGATGCGTTTGCATAAAGTCATATAATAGTGATATGATAGTAACTGATATTTTAGCTGTATATTCACCGGGAGCTTTTCGTTCGTAGATAGTGACAGGAGTTGTGCCAGAATGAGGCTGATCAACAATAAAAAATGAGCTAAAATATGAACATAAATTTAATTATTTTCTTGATTTTGCAGCTTAAAAAAATATATTATAATTACGTGCGGAGTATTTTGTCCAGTTCATTTGAATATGTCTGACGAGATTTTGGATCACGCAACATTTGATCCATGATATATGTTAAATGTTCTGTGGTTCTGAAAAGAAAAAAATATCAATTGTACCAATGAAAAACTGGATTTGAAATTTCGAAGTCCGAAATCGGGAACATACCTATTTTGTAAATATACCAGATTCGGAGGTTGCTTGATTTCATCGTGGCTATAATAGAAAAGACGTCGGTTTTCTTGAGCAAATTTTCTTGAATTAAATTCGTGTTCACGTGCGCGAAAATTCTAAACAGATAAATATAGATGATATGCATTCCAGAAACAAAAGCGTAAATTTACATAAGCACTCGAAACAGTTTGATGATCTGCCATCTTTAGTTGCATGTCAAGTCGTATGTCAGATATAATCGATGTAAAACGTGTTTCATTCTTTATAATAGAAAAAAAAAACAGTCAAATCAGGAATATATGAAAAAAGAAATGATAACAATTACCTCTTTAATAAAGCTTATCAATCGACTTAGTATTAAGCACTTTTCAACGGATGCATCAATGATAGGTAAACTGGAAAGTTTCTCTTCCAATATTGCAACAAAATTAGTTGTTTGCCTTGAATTACGTAGAAAAGAAGAATTTTTTTTTTCATTTGATTTAGTCTTCTTTTTTTCATTTTACCCTTGCCGATTGCGTTTTTCACTGTCATCAATAATATCAGAAAAATTTATATCACCAACGGATTTTCGTGTTAAAAATGCTTGTATGCCAATTGTTCTATCCGAGTATTCATGGGGTGCTAAGAATTCGTAACAATCCAGAAGACTATATAGTACATTCTAAATTTATTTCAGGTATGTTCTTTTTCGAATTCCAATTAGTGAAAATAGCTTACTGATTGAGTGGTTGTGATTGGCACATCTGAAAAAGAAGATTTAAATTCACAGATTCAGTTTTCAATAATACTTACGGTTTGGTGCTTGTCGTTTTCTTTTTGCATTAGTGGCACTCATTATGTATGAAAGAAAAAAAAAGAAGATTTTTATCTGAAATTATATATCAAATTCGGGTCGTAAAATTCTAAGAATTTAAGAAGAAAATAAAATAGTTCGAAATTTCCTTCTGATAGAAAATGGCTCAATTGCCTTTTTTAAAATATTAATTTTTTATTGTATATATGATGTAATTATTAAACTGGTAAGATGGATTGTTTGGGAAACTTTATTTATTTTATGATGCGTCCAATAGCAATTGACATGTGATTTGAATAAGTATTGTTTTGATAAACAATAGATGATGATTATCATTATTCGGTAATAAGTAGAAGATTCTATCTTTTTTTCAAATGATCATGATGTACTGATAAATACGAATAGTTGCAAGAACTCAGATATATCTACATCATGAATTATACCATTCCGACACGTGAGTTTACCATGGATGTTGTTGTGAATTTTAATGTTTAAAAGCCATTGCTGTATTATTTAAGTTTATCCAATTTTTGAATCTATGATCATTGTTGTCCATTGATTGTCTTCAAATTTGTCAATCAAGGAAAAGTAAAATGAGCTTTTTAATATATGCTGCATACATCAGTGAAGAAACCTGTAAAAAAATCATAATAAAAATACATTTGAATGGCGGCATTTGAAGGTAAACTAAGCTATAAGTCAGTATTTTTGATATTCAATGTAACTTCATTGATAACGTAGTCAAGACTGTTTTATTATGTCAAAATTTTTCTGAAAGCTTTGTGGGGCATTATTTTTAAATCTTTTCTGGATTCATTATCGATTTTTATCATAACGAACTAAAAGATAGTAATATCATACCTGAACTCATTTTGATGTTAGTTTAGTCAGTACTACCTGTTATCATTTTAGACAGAATATAAATATTATTGATTCATAAAAATTTTCAAATTTTGTTCATAGTAATATTCCACCAATAATTATAGTTTTATTCTCACGAGTAGTCATCCGGACTGAATGTAGCAATCATGAGCAAATCATTGTATAATAATAATACACTTGAACACACCAGAATGTATATTACTTTTAAGAATAAATGAAAACAAATCAAGTAGCATAACATGTTTTGTGTCTCGTTCCATTTGTCGCATGGCATGTTGCAATATTTTTCTCAATTGTCATACTCACTACTCAGGTGAATCGGAAAATAATGAAGCGATTCTAGGCCATATTTGTTTCCGCTCTGTGTAATAATTTATGTAGTTAATTTAAAAAGAAAATACTGAAAAAGAATATTCTACCATTAACGTCGACAGCGAGTGGAGGCATCATTTCATCTGTATTCACGTCTCACTCAGGTCTACTCACTTTTTGTAACTTAAAAAAACATTGAAACCATTTTCATTCACACTCACACATGTTCATAAATAAGTATTACTTCGTAGTTGCTTGCTTGAATGACTTTTAGTTTGTCGAAGGCATGATTTAGCTACGTCATATACTTCTGCTTTATTCTCACGTTAAAGCGTTCTTTTTATAGTGACGTTATAAACTGCAAGGTTAAATAAAGCAAATAAATAGAAAAAAAAATGAAGAATGGTGACTTCAATAGAAGCAAAAGCCCGCCGGGTTCGGTACTTCGTAAGAAAAAGCGAACAGAAAAAAAACTTATACGACATTGACTGTCGCGTTCTAAAATAAATAGACAAAAAACCTTTCATCATCCACAATATTTCCAAGAAAGGTAAAATAAATTATGATGCATTGTGGACATTTGACGATTGCATCGAACATAACGATATTTCTGAGAAAAGATTGGTCTGCTTTAAAAGATTTTTCTTGCCTATTAAAGCATACGCTATAGCTATTCTCAATCCTTATCATTTGAAAGTGGTACTTCATTGATATAAATCCTATTTTAATTTTCTATGTTAATGCAAAATATTTCTTCATTTGCTGATAGTTTATCAAAAGTTATTTCAAATGAATATTTATCCTATGTAGATGTTCTATTTTTCATGGATTTTTAATATTTATAACAAATAAAAATTTTATTTAACATTATTCAATAGTTTTACCGCGCCAACAACGATTTTTGCGTAGATGAGTGTTAGTAGAAGAATGTCTCGATTTTTTTAAAATCATATCACGCCAAAAGGAATTCCTTAATTTTTCATATCGATATACAGGTGGTTGCCGAATTTTTTTTACAGCTATTTCATGTAATTTATTTCGAAGAAATTGTTCGTTTATGTCATTCAAATCATTAATAATTATAATTGGTAAATCTGCATATAATGAATCAATTGTTGAATGCCAAACAATTGGAACAGCATCTAGATAGAGAGCTTCCCATGTTCGATGGCAATCAATTCCATTGCCACGAGGTGATAACCATAATGGATATTGACGATTTCGTTCGTAAATACTTCGTAAAGTAGTCTTATCATCTACGCCTTCTAACGACTTACCAAAACATGTAGCAAATGAATAATTTTCAAGTTGACAAAAATGATTCCATACTTCTATACGTAATCCAGTTGAATCTGTATTCGGATGAAAATTGAGCAATAGTAATTTGTCAGAAACATTATTTTTAGTATTTAAAACTTTTTGTGTAATATCAAATGGTTGTACATAATAATCCTTAATACTTTGATTGAATAACGATGGTAGAGTATAATTGGAATATTGTTGATGAACACTTCGGATAGTTTCTGCCATTTCAAAACAATTGAGACCTATGATTCGGAACCAAACGAATACATTATTTCAATTATAATTATTTAAAGATTAAATTCGATCAATTAAAATTTTTTTGTTTCTGCTTTGTGTATAAATAAAGGATCAATACTAAACAATCAAGTGACAAACATAAACAGTGCACCCTTTTTGTTATTCTTATTACAGTATTATATCGACGAGAAAATCATTATGTTAATCCTATCAAGCAAACAAGTATAAAATCAAACAGATTAGATTTTAGGATTTTTACAACACAGTTACTAGATCAAATCTATAGCTCGCCGACTCGAAAAATATGCAGAATTTTTGTTAAAAAAAGTAAACATATGATAAAATAAATTCTATGTCATATTCTTACCGATTGGTATATGAGTGAAACGTTTACTTTCCGATGCACTGATATCTCCATTTTGTCCAAACCAATGAATAACTTTTGAATCGGATCTTTCAAGATATCTAAGATATTTATTCGGTACTGATATATCACTTTGTCCAGTAATTAATACAAATTCATTCTGTAAATACGGATAAATTCTTTGAAAAAAGCTTGAAATAACATCAGGTTTAATATAGATGATACTGCCATGCGGGAGATTAGGTACAGTCACATAACTACTATTCATGGTACTGTCCATGTGCTCATTAAATAAATCTTCAGGCCAACCATAAACCCAATCCGCTAAATTGCGAAAATTTTGTGGACAAACGAATTCAGGATAGTGATGAATAAAATACGATGCATTATTGAAAACAATACGGTTATTAGTGATAATAGATAAATAGTTGCATAAGGGAAAGTAATATTTACTAATTTGAATAGACACTCTATGATGAACAATATTTTGATAAATGAAAACGATGGTGGGAATGCCAATACATATTATACATATACTCCTTAAACGTACAGGATAATGTTTCGCGTTGTCATTCATTTCTAGACACATTTAAAGTATATAAACATATAGCAATATAAAAATCATTAAATAAATCTAAGCGCATCATTATTTCGTAAGTATTTTAAAAAATAATTTTCTATGTAAATATAGTGTTGAAAAATGGTACAAGAAAAATTCTTTGAATATAGTCATGTTAGAAGATTGCTATTATCATTTTGTCGACGTGTGTGGTTATTAAAGTGGAAAAGACGTGTACGCGTTGACTTAGTAATGATGTAAAGAAAATTTTCAACGCTAAAATAACAGCTGGATAGTAAACACGATGCACTGAATAATTATGGATAACTAGAGAGATTCATATATTTTCTATTGTATCGTACGCGAACTTTCAGAATATTTCCTTTTTAATATTTTCAAAGTTTGATGATGTCCTAATCGACACAAATCAAAACTCAGGAATAGTACACAAATGATAAATTGGATCATTCTCAATAGGACTCCTCGTAACAATGAGACATTTGCAATGAGCAAATGTAATATTGTGAACTACTTTTAGTTCAATTGATCTTTCTTCGAATTAGCATCTTAATGAACAGAAAATAAAACGAGGAAAGTGCACATTGTAACGATATAGACCCTGTTAGGTTCATATGTACTGGCATACTGGATAGAAGTAGCTAACCGCTACTCTTCACAATGATGTTTATTTGCTAGTTCATTCTACCCAGAGTGTAGAAACTTCATACATAACACAAGTATATATATATACGAGATAGAAATAGAGCGAGATGAATATCATGTATTCATGCAGTGGGCACAGAAAACATACAGAGCAGAAAGGAAAATCAGCGAGCGTATCATCAATGTCAGTAGACGCACGTGGAGAAGAGAGCAATCAAAGTTCTATACTAGGGGATTGTGGAGCAGATGAAAAATAGCGCGAGGAGAAGATCAACTATATACATTAGCATTACAATATTTAGTTAACATAATCAGGTTTGTCATGCAACTTAAATATTTACAGTATGGTTGTTTCTACAGAATTTATTGGATGGGGCTCATGTAGGAATAGAAATGGCTTTACTGGAAAGTTCCAATGCACCTCAATAAAATAAGCTCTGGTAACTGCTGTATACATTAGGATAAAATTCACAAATACAGTGCAAATCTATTACTTTTAATTGCAATAGAAGAGCCAATCTTTTGTGGTATCAAATAAAAACATTTCGTCTTCTTTCGTTTTAACACCAAGATTATTTCAATGTTTTCTTATGGAGTTTGTATCAACATAATTGTGTGCTTCCGTTTAAATACATTTGTCTTCATATTTTAATGTAAAACGTATTTGGACAATATGAATTCTAATGATTGTCTAACTAATAAGATCAATTCATTGTTGTCAATACAAAAATATATTACTCGTCAATTTAATAGGAACTTCTCAATTTCACAGTCCGTGCAACTGATATCATGAACGTTCCTGCTATGGCGACTTATGTAATCAAATGAATACAGACGACGGTGTAAAGTTTATTTGATAAAAAACTACATGAAATCAAAGTATTCAAAGAAGAAGCCTATAAACGTGTTTTTATTAAAATATCGAATAAGACTAAGTTTGTGAAGGTTCTCCTTATGAATAAAAAGTAAAATCCTATTGTGTGCTCGCAATAATGTCACGACCTAAATCAATCTTCTATTGATTCTATTTTACACGCCCTAATGTCATGAGCGGTAGTAGCTGCTTATACTGACACTGTTACAAATAGTAGAATACAAAAACGTTCTCAGGGATTTATGAAAGTTTTTTACATACAGTAGAAACGATTTATCATAAGTAGTACTCTCAAAGGCTTTTCGCGGGTTTATTGTTCCACCTTTTTTTCTTACAGTACACTCTGTCTTCTATTTAACTTTTCCTTTCTCGTATATATAAGTCCGTGTTCAGTGTGACCGAGTGACAACTGGAATGATGGAGTCTTGACGTAAACATTTTTACCGAGCATGTTGGCATTGTTGCCTCTCCGATTTGCAGTAGTGTTGAACTTGAAAGTTGAATTCAACTGACGCTTAAACTTTCCGGTTTCAACCTTCAACTTTTCTTGACACTCACACTTGAGATATTATGTATATGTTACAGTTAACATGAGAATTTAGTTGAGATTGGAATAATAGAGTGCATGCACCTAATAAAAACGGGGATTTTTTATGTTCATGTTTCGACTATAATATCTCTGTGAAATAGTGAGCAAATGAGCTGAAATTTTGCATCGAAGTAGAAAAAATTCTTTTCTATCTATTGGCGAAAGAATTTTTGAAAAAAGTTGAGAAATGATCGAGTTATGAGCGGTAGTTTGCAGTCACCTGATGCCATTCTAAATAAAAGCACTATCCTCAATAAGAACGCTAATGCAAAAGTTGTCCCTAATTAGAACGCACCAGCAAAAATACATTGAATAACGGGTACCATTCGAAAATCATGTCATATCTGCTTAGAAACTTTAAAATCGAACTCAACCTCCGCTAGACAACTTATTCATTACACATTTCTNCAATAGATAGAAAAGAATTTTTTCTACTTCGATGCAAAATTTCAGCTCATTTGCTCACTATTTCACAGAGATATTATAGTCGAAACATGAACATAAAAAATCCCCGTTTTTATTAGGTGCACACCCTCAAGATTTAATTAAGGAGACCCCCCCCTCAGAAGTCAAGTTTTTGTTAGAAAATTCGATTTTTCAAAAAATACATTATCTTGTAGCTCTGAGTGTCCTCTTTCAGAATATATATAAATTATATGAAAATAATAAGTTACATATTTAGGCTTTTTTTGGCGCGTTTACTCGAAGTCATTATAGAAATAGTCTAATTTTAGTGAGTTTTTTCTTAGTTACCGTGAATTGATATCGTTCAAATTTTGGTTCGAGCATTAGAAAACCATCCTGATATCAAATAACATGTTTCTAAGCGGTCTGAGCGGCTGTAAGAAGATTTTGGTAGGTGTTCTTATGCAACGAAAACCTTGTGTGTGTAAGCGACAGCTATTATTTCAGCTTTATCTCCGAATGTAGGGATGTAACACTAGCAGTGCACTACTAGAGTAACGACACAGATTGTTATTGATCTATATTAGTACTAGATAGTACTTGAGCTGACCAGTATACTGACCAGCACCAATACTGACCAGTACCAATAAAGAACAGTGGCGATGTTGCAGTACTATTACGATATATTCGCATGGTTACGTAGATGATGAAAATCAGATCATAGCATAGCAGTTTTATTTTGACACAAAAAAATGAATGGTACTTTGCGATCTAATAAAACAGAAAAAAAGGATAATCATTATATAGCAGAAAGATCGATAAAGCACATATATTTCTTTTTCTTTCATTCACTGTGCTATGTGTTCGCTATGACAGTTATCACATCTGACCAGTAACCATCAAAAGAGCACAATTTTCCAAAAAGAGGCGCTACAATAAATTTGAATTTCCAAATCTGCTTTAATTTTTCTCGAAAATGCCATGAACTGATAGATCTTTTACGAGCTTTCCAATGATATATAATATGTTACAAATATTTACGCAGAAACACCATGAACTACTCCCCAATGTTGTAAGTCATTTTTCTCAGCTTCACTTTTTTCTTGTTTTCTGATCACTACGGAACATTTTCCGGGTCTATCGCTCAATGCACACTACTGATTTTTTTTCATTCGAAAGATCAAATATTTCTCTATAAATTGTACGGACAGATTTTTAAGATATATTTCGGTTAACTATTTTCTAATTGATCATAATTTAAATTTCTTTTTTAAATTGGTGACCAAAACAAAAAAATTTTTTATTTCTGATTTTTCATTTATCTCAACGCGCTCTCATCTCGCTTGTATGAGTCGCACAGTAATTAATGTATCTTGCTGAACTGATGCTTTAATATTGAAAGGAAATAAAATACTTCGTTGATTATAACATTACTGTTACATCATTAAATAAATACTTATTTATCCGAGTTTTACACTATAAAAATTTAGTAGAATCTATTAATATCTAAATTTTTTGTCAACAGTTCCTTATTAATTTAAGCTTTTATAATTGATAATCGTCACTATGAAACAGACAATGATTAAACATAAATTACGAAGTTTCTTTTATATTAGCTTATTTATTTTTAACGAAGAACGATTGTAGCTAATAACACATCAAATGGAGTACTCATATAAGAAACTTCTTTATTAATTTCATGAAAAATTTTTAAAAAAATTTACTTTCCTGCCATATCATTCGATATAAAATCTTTTTCCATTCCCATCCCACCTGCTCGAGACCCGTACTTCGAAATAACGATAGCGAAACTCTCTTTCTGTCTTTTCTTCGAATGCATAACGAAGGAGAAAAATCAATGTCCCGCGTATTAAAACAAACATCTTTTCAGAATCTTTCTCATTTCTCTCTCTTCAATCATGAAAGATTGACACGATTAATCTTGGAAACAAAAACATGTTTTTTGAATCTACATAATCAATCAAACTATCTCATATCACTCACTAATAAAATTATATTTCTATGAGTCACTCTCTCATAACATTTATAGAATAATGAACAATTCCAATCTCAACTCGGTTCTAAACTCTACTGCCACATATACGTGTAGACGTCGTTTTCAACCTTTCGTGACACACACAGTTGTATCTATGTGATGAGTTACCGATTTTTTTCGAAAAGGCTCTCCGAAGCGGTTGCCTTGTTGTTTTGAGACACTTACTTAAAAGGTCTTTTTGAAAGTTTCAGTCTAGCTGAAGTTACAAATATTGCATGCATGGTTAGTTGTTTCAGGCGCGATAACTGGGGATTTAATGTAAGTGCGCTGAATCTGGATTATTGAGTACCAAAATCGAAATTTTAACAGAAAAATCGGCGCTCTGCAGCATAGTACCTCTACGTTAAGCTTTCATAAAATACGTCGAAACTATGAGTATGACAATGTCTCGCCAATGCGTGTTCCAGAAATAAATTTCAGACGTATGGTGTTATCCAATGAGGACATTTGAACTGACAAATGTTAGCAAAATAGTGAATTTTCCGTGCATTGGTGCGATACATAGAATGTCAAGAGTTCAATTGTTGAAGCTGAAATTGATTGAGAGTATGGACCTTAGTGGTATGTCATTTTGCAGAAAAATTCAGCGGAATTGAATGAATCCTCTTTGAGATATTGCGTATCCAAAACCGCATTTCGTGAAATCGAAACTTGTAAGTTGAAGTTTCAGTTGAATTTAAGCTTCAAGTTCGACATATATGCTTTCATCATAGCACGCAAGAAAACATGTTCTATTTTTAACTGTTGAAGATTACTTTCATCCTGCCATATAATTACAAGTAATGATTTTTATAGTCTTATGAAATTATTGTTTCTATGAATATATCAGCGAAGTTTAATTGACATAAAGTATTCTTTTCAATGAAACTATTGTCACTCTAAGTTTTTGATTTTTAACAAATATTTTCAAGACATGATTCATGTTCTTATTGACTGACATTTTATAATTTTCGAAGAGTAGAATTCAAATATCATTTGAAATCAGTATGATATTTGTGTTCCCATATAAAAAAATAGGGATACAATCAGATTAAAATCGATTACTGTTTTGATTAAAAATCGATTATAATCGGAGAAAGCAATTATTTCGCTGTACTAATCTATTATTATTGATTAAAACTGATTGTACTCAATTCCTATTCAATTAGTAATCGATTAAAAGGTATATGATTATAAGCGATTTTAATTAGCTAAAATCGGCTATAATCGATGTAACAGCGGTTTCCCAATACTACCGCTCACACAAATTTCAGTTGATTTTTATCTGTTTTAAATCAATCACAAATCAACTAACAGCTGATTCAAAGTAGTTGTGATGGTTTGAGATCGACATCAGGCACACAATAACATCTCATCAATTACTTCCAGTAACGCTGATTTACAATTAGCAAGATTAGACTTATTTTTACTTTCCTGAAAGTACTTTCTCAAGAATTCATCAGTATTTTCTGAATTAAATTATTCAGAATTTTTACTTTCGTAACAAAATATATTTCCACTTCTTTATTTTCTGCTCAACGAACTGGTGATACTCCTCTTCGAGAAAAAGGAAGAAAACAATGAAAACAATCGCTATCGTTTTGAAGCGCAAGGAAAAAATAACGAAAAAAACAACTCAGTTTTATATTAAAAGGAAACTCGTATTATAACTCAGGAATGTGAAGGTTTTGTGCAATCAATTCTTTTTTTTTGGGAAGTACTGTAAAGAGTGCTATAGTTTTTTCTTTGAAAAGGCTTTGATATTTCTGACTATCGTGTATTACATAAGATTTTCGATACGGTATTCGAGATAATTGAATCGTTGTTCTATATTCAAGTCAGGGCATATACGTTGAAATCGCGTTTTTCATATGCATAAAGAAATCGAGCTCAGTATCTAAGGTTGTCTTGTTCTTACATATATGGAGTCTCAATAGGTTGTTTCATCATTTTTGTGGAACCCACATATATATTTTCGAAGAAAATGGTGAGTGTAAATTTAAAAGCGAGATTTTTTGCGGTTCCCCATCCCATTACAGACATTAATGAGTTGAAAGTTGTGCTAATTAGGAGCTTGACTGATTAGGTTGCTATTTCTTCCTCTTTTAATTCCAGATTACATGAAAAAGCAATGCTTGCCCATTACAGACCATAGAAGCTAGTCTCTGTCATTGTTAAATATACGAGCTAAAAATTAATACTTTATTACAGACATAAGCAAATAGGCAATGACCTAATTATAGGTTTTGTAAATCAGGGTAGAATTTTCAGGTGAACTAATTTGAATTATTTCAGTAAACCGAATGGATATATGTGAGTTTCACATGTTAACCCCAAACGGGTTGCGCTAACAAGCTTTTGGAATAATCAGGGACAGCGCGAACGAGGGGGGGTTGGGGGTTCCCTCCCCCCAACTTTGGAAATTTTCGTTTCAATTTTACTCCGATTTGAAGAAAATAGAAGAGATTTTTATTGATTTTCTCCGATTTTTGCAAAGAAACCTCCCCTTTTCAAGTAACCCCCCTATACTTTTATTACTTCGCGCCGTCCCTGGGAATAATAAAGGTGATAGTTACTGATGTAGTATTACTTATGCATGCCATTAATTATCAAGTACTGAAGTATTACTCTATCTTTCTAAATCTTCCAGATATCATATTTTTAAGATTTAAACGGTAATTTATTTTACATTGCTGAAATGAACGATCTTTAAATTACTATGATGGCTTTAATCTTAACTTTAACTTTTATAACGCAACATAATCATAAAAAAATCATTACAAATGATTTTTTTCAAACGTTTTCTTAGTAATTACGAAAAATCAATAAAGAAGTGACTTCTGATTGTGGAAGTTCTCAAAACATGTTTTTTTCAGCCTCCGATCAGTTTCCCTTGATTTTCGTAAACTATTCTGTTGAAAAAATTGAATAACTCCTAATTGGGTTTTCAATTTAGCTATTTTTACCTGCATAAAACTCAGTTCGCTATAATGCATTCGAAAGCAAAATTGATTCTAATATATTATTAGTAGTAGGAGTTTATTTTAAACGAATTTAAATCTCAATGATTATAATCGATTCGAGAAACGTATCAATTTTTGTGGATTTTAAGCGAGAAGAAAATAATAAAATACTGATGAAAATCAATTATTACTTAAAATCGATTCTAGCTGATTAATAAAAATCGTAGACAATCGATTATAGCCGCTTTAATCGATTTTATGGCATTAAAGTAAAAAAATCGATTAAAATCTTCAATTCAATCAGAAAAAATCATAATTGCTAGATTTTCATCAATTATTTGTAGTGCGAATCGATTATAATCAAGAATATGTTGATTTTTCGCGTGAATGTTTTTACATGGGATTCAGACACTTACATCTATTGAACGCTATATGATTCTAAGAGAGCATTGCATCATTTTTTTTTATGCCTCACGATAATCTCCAATGAAAAACGTTGAGTTGTGAGAAAATGAAAAGTAAACTGATAAAACATAATCAGGATTCCATTCTGATTTTCAGTCTTATAAATCTACACTACAACATCGTTCATCAATGGCTAATTTATTCTGTTTTCATTTTTCTTTATTTGCCAAAAATGAAACAATCATTTACCTTTGACAAACAGAGATATAGGATTCATTGATCTCTATCCTTTATTATAAAGGAAATAAAAGATAAAGTATCATCCCTATCAACGGCAACAAACCTATGAAAACAATGGTAATAACTGTTTGAGCACGTTTATATGCCTCCAAGCATATTGACACTTTGATTACTAACCAAAAGCGAATGTATTAGAAGACCTACTTTCAGACCTGTAATAGAAACAAGTAAATTTTCAGTACTGATTTAATTTTGATTATACTGCATAAGCATTATTTGACATGAGTCCATCGAAACTACGAATTGAAATATTGATCTTATATTTAATCTTACGAGTTGATTATTTATTAAAATGCCAGAAAAATTTTTATTTTGGTTAGAAACACAGGATGAAACCAAATTATTTGCATATCTTAAAACAAATAAAACTTTCTGCGAGCATTATCTCTGGTCAAACGAAAACAAAACAAAAAATGCCATTTCTAAAATAATCATGATTCATGTTTTTTCATTGCGTGCGAATAACGATCCAGCGGTGGAAAACTGTATTTCGAAATGATCTATCTACTGATTTCTCAACCTATTTCGGAAAGAACTTTCGATGTTTGTCGAATAGCCACTTTAAGAACATCACTGGTGTCCATAAAATGTAAAAAATTAACGTACTAGTTACAATACTATAAGTTTGTAGATGTGTGGGAATTTAACCCTGGATTTTACTTCAATGATAGTCTCAATTGAATCATTTAACGAACAGCAAAATTTCACTATTAATTTTTTACTTGTTGTAAGTACAACTTTGTTGACAAGATGTGCATGTTTAATTGCTTATTACTATCGATTGTTGTCTTAGAAATTTAAGACAAATTTAATGGTTATATGCTTGTAAATTATTTATTTTATTAAAAATCTGTTAGTACTTTTAGTGTGAGTTAACTAACACAGATCATCTGCTTTTCTTGTTTTAAAATAAAATATGTCAATTGATTTTTGTTCGTTTTATTTGTTTTTTCTTCTGTTAAACATTATTCATAGCCATGTGAGGTTTTTTAGTAGCCGACATCTTTTCAGTATTATTAGTGCCAGTTGATCCATTCAAATTTATCTTTCCAATATCATTCGCTAACAAATCATTATCATTATGATCCCCATTTGTGGCCGTTAAATCTGCTCCCTCATGTTTACCAAATATTTCTGTAAATAATGTATCAAAACGTGATATTAATGCCGATCCTAAGCAAATATATTGCAAAGAAGTTGCCAATTCCACCCGTTTAACTGATATTGCCCATGTATTCATGTCAATAACAAAATTACTTGAACCAATAAGCCATCTATCTTCGTTCCAATCGACATAAGCGATTTCTTCTACAACGCGGCCATCAGGCATAAAACGATATAAAGTAAATTGATAATTTTTATCAGTTGCTGTTGCTTCTAATGTAACTGTGAAAAGTTCTTTACTAAATTTAACGATACCCCAATCACCTGAATGATCTTTAATAATGAGTGCTTCTTCATTTTCCGGATTTAATGTGATAATAGATATATCATGTTTATCCGATACATTAGTAGGTAATGGTAATTGGGACCAGTTAAGTGTATGACATGAAGCAAATATAGCACTATTAAGTGTTGCTGTAAATATATCAATATCATTAAGAACAGTATGACGAATATTAAGTAAGATTGGATCATCTTGATGTACTGGTCGAATAATATGTAATGCTTGTTGAACTCGAACATCTTCGAGATTAAATAAAAATGATGTACCTAATTGAGCTAGATAGTTTTTGTCAAGTGTTACTTCTTCATATTCGACAGGATCATATCGAACAATAATTGTATTTATATCAACAGCTGGAACACCAACAATCAAACTATTAACAGATGAAAAATATGATGTTCTTTTTTAATCAAACTGTTTAATTAATTAAATTTATAAATTTATTTCTCTCTCTCTCTCTTTCTCAATGAACAGAAATGCTTATAATCCCTATACTAAATATCCTAAGATCTGTATATTGTCAAATATTAATTATATAAATGATTCGTTCATGACAACCGGTTTAAATCAAAACAATATTCGATATATATATATATATGATACCTGTTTGCAGTGGATAAAAGTTTTCGAAGAGGCGAATCAGCTGTAATAACAGTTTCAAATATATGATAAAGTGCAGTTGGATCATCTTCAGCTGTTGAACTATTAGCTGCTTGAACAGGTTGCTGGAATTGAGTGATGGGAAGAAGTCTTTCCGGTGGCATTACAAATTCTGCAAGTGAACTAAAATAAATCATGGGCCAAAAACCAGCTTTCTGCTGAATTTTAAGCGTAAGGTTTTCTCTAAAATCACCTGGATCAGCATCAAAATGCGCCTCAATATGTCCTGATGAACCACGAGCAAAAATTTCCTGATCGGAATTATTAAATTGTGCAAAAAATTGTTCACGTAACGGTTCATTAGGCGTGCGATCATGAAGCGATACAACTGTACTGGCTCTGTCGTCAACATATTTTTTTTCATTACCCGTTGCCAGATTAGTATTTTCGATTAATTGTACATATAATGAATATCGTTGACATTCAAGAAGAAAGTTGTAATCAGTAACAAATTGATAGAAGCCTCGTGATGTTTTTCCTCGATACATGCAGCCACTTTTTGCTAGGCGATCACCATATAAATCAAACCATTTACGACGTGTTTCACTATCTGATGTTGATAATTTCGATTTTGCTGAACGATCCTGTGTTGTATCATCATGATGAAGAACATGCTGAAGATTTGCCATCATATCCCGACGATAGGCTTCGGGAAACAGTTGATGTGTATGCCAAATAACATCAATATCATACATTGGTACCACAAATAATTGTGGATGGAGACGTTTCAAAAAAATGAATTTTTTATAACGATTTAATGCTTCTTCGAGAAACTCAGGATCTTTATAATGGCCAAATGCAACATTATAATAAAAATCTGCTTGTCTTTCAACAGCATGACTTAAAGCATATTTTATTTTACTTGTATATGGTGGAATAATTTGTATGTTTGTTTTATAATCTAAATGATATGGCATATGACGACTATATTTTTTGGTCCATAATTGTTCACTAAGTTTAACTATCTGTGGTGAACGCGCACGTACACGATTCGACAAAATACGTCCATATAAACGTTCACAATCACTTGCATATGATGTCGGTGCTAACATATGCGAATGCCAAACAAAAAGTACATCAAGAGGTGGAACAATCTCTAAATCGCCAACTTCTGCTAGAAATGGAAGCCAAAACATTTCATAACGATACACAGCGTATTCACACGCTTGTTTTTGAACATATTCAGGATGATCATAATATTCTTTTAGATAAGCCAGATGATCAATAGCAGCTTGCTTAAGATCTTCACTAACTACTATGTGAGATGGATGAGTTATAGACGAATTATTCGGGGATGGATTTGTTACATGTGATACTGAAGCCATGGTTGTTAGTCGGTGAATGAAAAAGTGTAAAAAGGAAAAAAGTACGCTCACGCACGCTTATTCAAGAAAAAAAGCGAATAAAAAACGTCATATAGTCACGCCTGATTAAACATTATCAACGAACATCACTCAATAGATGCATAAGATATGATATCATTTATTTACAGGGACTGTCAGGCGTTTTCTGCACGGAGGCATAAGTGAAAAGATAAGCTCTATCATATTGTTCAAAAAGCTATACCTCAAAAAAATTTCCTCGGGTTAATAATGCTATTTTATCGAACAACAGAATTTCAATACGAATACAATCGACCAGCGACATCTACTTTCATTTGACTTATTTTTATGAATATAGATTATTTAAACGTTATTTTACTCTATTTGGATCAATTCAACGTTCAAATAAATATTTCATATTTTAATTACTCTATTTAATAATTCCAGGGTTTTCATTTTCTGGAATGTCAACGAAGACATACTTATTGATTCCGTGCGAGTCGCAGAATTAAGATTTTCTGCATGCAATTCAATTGAAAATAAACTGTTAAATAGAAAAGATTTCATTTATTGCGTCAATAAAAAAAGCGATTTCTCTCATGACGACTGATAAATCTCAAAGAGATTGGTGGCACCATTCAGTTGTTTATCAAATATATCCGCGTTCATTTTTCGACTCGAATGATGATGGTATTGGTGATATCAATGGTATAATAAAGAAACTTGATTATCTTAAAAGATTAGGCATCGATATTGTTTGGTTGAGGTTAGCAAAATAGTTCTCGTTCATAAATAAAGAGTAGGTTTTCCTATTATAATTTTCTAGTCCAGTTTATGATTCTCCAAATCATGATAATGGTTATGATATTCGTGATTATACAAAAATCATGACTGAATTCGGTACCATGGAGGATTTTGATCTTCTATTAAGAGAAATGAAAAAACGTGAATTAAAATTAGTTATGGATCTTGTTGTCAATCATACTAGTGATGAACATCCGTGGTTCATCGAATCGAAAAAAGGCAAAGACAATCCCTATAGACATTTTTATCATTGGCAACCTAGTAAAGATGGACATCCACCAAATAAATGGGGTGCTTGTTTTGGAGGTTTATGTTGGGTAAAAAAAGAAGTTTTCTCTATGCTCAAATTGACTTCATTCTTTTTTTTCTTATTTTAAGACATATGATGGTCTCACCTGTGAATATTACTTGCATACATTTACAGAAAAGCAACCCGATTTGAATTGGACGAATCCTCTAGTACGCGAAGAAATTTATAAAATGATGCGTTGGTGGCTTGACAAAGGTGTTGATGGATTTCGCATGGATGTAATTAATTTTATTTCTAAAACAGATAGTTATCCTGAAGGTGCACCTATTGGTGATGGTTATCATACAAACGGTTCGCCATACTTTATAAATGGACCACATGTACATGAATACATTCAAGAAATGAATGAAAAAGTCTTAAGACATTATAATATCGTAACTGTTGGGGAATGTCCAGGTGCTCATTTGAGAGAAGCAGAATTATTTACTTCTCCGGATCGAAATGAATTAGATATGATATTTACATTTGAACATATGAATTTAGATGGTAGTAAATGGGCACCAAAATTACTTGATTTAAGACTTTTGAAGGATCATTTTACAGTATGGCAACAGCAATTATATGGAAGAGGATGGAATAGTTTATATTGGAATAATCATGATCAGCCAAGAATTGTTTCACGATGGGGAAATGATTCTGCACAATATCGAGTTCTATCTGCAAAAATGTTAGCAACATGTTTACATTTTCTTCGCGGAACACCTTATATTTATCAGGGAGAGGAAATAGGTAAATCAATTCAAATACACTTTTTGTGAACTCTGGCAAAGAATAAAATTAAAACTCTGAACCCATTTACACGAGAAACAACTCACAGCTTCCTATGAATGATATCATTTAGTCCATAGTCATTTTTTGCACTAATAAATGCCAACTGTATTTCTTCAGGTATGACCAATGTTCGCTTTCCAACATTAACCGACTATCGTGATATAGAAACAATAAATTTTCATCGGGATGCACTTGAATCAGGTCTCACGTTAGAAAAAATAATGGCAGGTATATATGCAAAATCACGTGATAATGCTCGTACCCCAATGCAATGGTCCGGAAATTTACCTCATGGTGGTTTTACTAATGGTCAAACTGATATAACACCATGGATAAAAATCAATCCAAATTATACAGATATTAATGTTGAACAGGCATTAAATGATCCACAATCAACATTTTATTATTATCAAAAACTTATTGAATTACGTCGACAAATGACAATTATTGTTCATGGAAAATATGATATATTTCATAAAGATAATCAACATATATTTATATATAAACGTTATAATGATGAAGGTCATGAATTAATTATTGCATGTAATTTTAGTATGGAACCAACTAAAATTGCTGATAGTCAACTTTCGGAAAGATTAAAGAATCATAAACGATTAGTAATTAGTAATTACGAACAAGATAATAAATCCGATTGGCTTGATTTTCGTCCTTATGAAGCTTGGGCACTTGAAATTTCATAAGACTCAGTGGCAAGATTACTTTTTAGCTTCAAAATTTAATCTTACACTTATCAAGCAACGTTTAAAATTGGAACAGTGTATTTTTCTTTTTGTAATATTTTTGATTTTATAGACTGAAGCGAAGTCATAATATTATTTTGTTGATTCAACGAATGAAATCAGAACAATCATTATACTGAGTTTTTCTTGGATAGACTTCGATTATTATTATTATTATTATTATTTTATTCTATACTTTTATCTGCAAAAAAAAAGACATCAGTTCTCAAGATTAATGTCACGTCGTTCACATCGAAGACCTTGCCAACCTCGACGGCAAGTGCACTGATAAAAGCCTGTACATCGTCCTCCGTTTAAACATGGAAGTGGGCAAAATGCTAGAAAACAAACGATCAATGATATTAATTCTTTTTGATTTTATAATAATAAAAAACGAATTCGTACCATTTTGACATTGATTTGTACATACACATGTTCCATCTAAACATATTTCATTTGATTTACATGAATTATTACATTGATCACATGAACTTGTTTTACAAACACACATGCCATTGATACAATCTTCATGTGGACGACAACCCCCGCGTTTTCTACCACACATACATATATCTAATTGACAAAGTTCGCCTTTACCACATTTTCCTTCAGAGCCACAGCTACATGATAGATTATAACAACGTTCTCCCACATCACAAATTTCATAACACGGACGATTGTCTTCACATAAACCTAAAAGAAAAATAAATACATCACAAAAGTAAAATCGATTTTTAGGAAAGTATCGAACTAACCTTTAAAACAGCCACATCGGCCATCGACACATACTTGTCCAGGCCGACAGATTACTGGGCAATATGGTGTTAAAGAAGATTCACATTGTCGATTGACACATTGTGTTCCAAATGGACATGGTGGATTACATTGATAATCATTTTTTTCGTCATCTATATTCGACCAACTACATTGTCCATCGATACATACTTCATCCTCGTCACACGGAGGATCACAAACAAGAGGATTTAATTTAGCTTGTTGTCGTAAACAGATACCTGTTTTTTTCTCACAAAGTTCACATTCCGATGAACATGGATTATCTAATATAAATTCTATTCGTAATGCATTAAAATCAACAGTATAGCTCTTACATTTACAAATCGGCGGTAATGGATACCATTCTGATGGTACCATACAAAATGCTCGACTAGCACCAATCATTTCATAACCATAGTTACATTCATATTCAACCGATGAACCAACTTCATAATCGAATACACGATAAAGTCCACCTGATATGGATGCTGGCTCCGAACAGCCTAATTCATATTTATCTATTTATAATATATCAATAGAAAAACAATAGTCTCAGTTTACCTGAACAAAACGATGAACTTTTCAATTTCGACGTATCAATTGTTATTTCATTTGATACTTTTGACCAAGAAAAAATATCTCCATTTTGTTTTCGACAATCCCGGTAGCTGACCAGTAATTGTTGTTCCGATATAATTTGTTTCCAAATTTCTACACGTGTTATACGACCATTAAATAATCGATCAAATAGAATTAAGTTTGTCATATCTAGTTGAATAAATAAAAGTCGAAATGATCATTTATACATGCCTTTCTTTTAGGCTTACTTGCTTTCGAAATCGAGGCTCATTACTCCGAAATCGATCGATTGTTGACGTGCACCATCAATATATAAGTTTGATTGTTGATTTCTATTTGAATATGTCCAAGTAAAATGTATCCATTTATCAATGGGAATATTCACGTAGGTTGTTGTTGTAGAATTTGTTTGATTTCGTCGTGAATGATAAACAGCTAGTCTGTTGAAGTTGACAATGAAAGGCATGATGATAAAAATGTTTTTAGATTTGAAAACAGAAATGATCTTACCTGCCTTGTTGAATATTTAATTCAAATAGAGCACTATCATTATTTTGTTTCAATGAAATTATATTAGCTTTCGTATTGTTTTCCAAATAAAACCAAACGATAATTGTAAATTCAGTTGAATTAAAAGATGTTAAAGTAACTCCAGTATGGCTATTATTAATATGTAAAGCATAGTTTGAATAATCTATTAGAAATAAAAACAATGGAAATGAAAAATTTAAATTCAAATTTTCCTACCTAAATATTTTGGCGTAGTTGCCAAATCAGGCGTTGATGTTGTACTTGACATAACAAGTGATGTTGTTTCAGCACCGACTGAAAATAAATGATAGATGTTTTTCCTTATATATCAAAATGCACTTACTAATACAAAACTGTTCATAACCTGTCCATCGACCCATGACTGCACATTCTCGAATGCGTGGACCAACCAATCGATAGCCTGTTTCGTTACATTTTGCTCGACATTTAGTGCCGAACTTGTATTTTGTATTATTTTGTTGAGGCAAACACTCTTGTATAACTCGAGGATGAATTTTCAATGTGGGACAACGAATTTCTAGAACGATACAAGTATTGTCAATTTTGCGTTTCTCTAGTTATCTTACCCTCACATTGTGGTTCTCGCCCACTCCAGGTTTCATCTTGACGGCATTCACGAAAACTATCACCATTTACAAGACGATATCCAGTTAAACATCCAAGACCACACAATGATCCTGGCACTTGTTTACAGTAGCCCGAAAAGAAAAATCCATGTTTAGGTAATTCCAAAACAGGACACTGTTTTGTCTAATGTGTCGAATAATGAAAAGTCAGAATGAGAAATAAAACACGATAAATAATTAAAACATACTCGTGCACAATCAATATTGACAATATTAAGCGTAAACAAGATGAAAGAAAAAATAATCATATATCGACTTCGATACTTTGATTTTGACCACCAGGGAATAGAAAAGTATTGTCGACGATGGAACATTAATTTGTGCCAACAAGGAAACAAATAGAAAAGCATTACACATATACGATATTTATTATGTTAAATGATGGAAATGCCTGTTTATTGTCGCTCATTGAACATCTGGTGTTGAGAGAATATACAAGCATGAGAAATTGCGCGATTGGCATCACAAGGAAAGAACAAGAGCATACTTAATTAATGGTCGTTTATAATGTAGAAAAGATTAGTTGTTCATATAAACAAAGCATTGGTCTGAAAATGAGGAATATGATGCAGAAATTATTAGATTATACAGGCGATCGTATCTTGCGGTCAATGTCATTTCATCTGAATCGAGTCAAAGAGTTCCCATCGGCAAATAAACACTTTGTTTTCTTTATTGTCATTGATTGATTCTTTTATCATTTGTTTTCTTGTTCGAACGATTCAATAGGAAATCTTTTTAGATAGATGAAAATGGTTTTCGATGGTGATTTTAATTGTTTTTGGAATTATTAAATTAATAAGTCGACTGATTTTTAAGGTAAGTCATCATAATTGTTTTTATTTTGCTAAGATTTAGTATAAAATTCAATCAGAAATATAAGTAATGAGTTTAATGGAAATGGTTTTCTTTTTCGCACAACTATTAGACGAATGCTTAGCGATTAATCAACTTTAAGCAGACATAAAGCAGTCAATTAGTGTTTTTTTTCTTGAATTCTTCCAAATATTTCATTCATCAATCCAGGTTATAATTAACTATTTTTCCTGATTCATTCAGTGAAGGATTTATACTCTACTAGAATCTTAACAGATCTAAAACAAATTTTAGTATTGAGTGTTTGTCAAGCTTTAACTATGAGAAAAAAACCATAATATCTAACGTGTTACGCAAAAATTCACCAATCATAAATCATAGTCTACGGAAAAATAAAATCTCTGAATTATTTTAATACTAGAAAAAGCTTTAAAATCGATCAATCATAATAAAAAATACTCCATTCTTCGGTAACATTAGACGATTATTATTTGTTTGTACGGTCACTATTTGACCAAAGAAATATTTTGTCAATCGATTAGCAAACGTAGTACGGATTTATTTTCTCGATGAATCTATCAATGAAGAATACCGAAAGATAATCATGAGTTTTAAATTGACTATAATTTCTGTTAAATTTATTTATTAATCATTTAAGCTCAGTGAAACATTCAAAGGAATAATAAGCTCGAAAACACAGCAAGCAATGATATAAGCTCTATAATCACTGTTATTTATACAAAAAAAAGCTCGCTGCTAACATTAGATTTCAATTGGTTTTGGATTTGGTTTTCGAATATGACGCATATTAGCACCGGGCTCACTAAACATAAGAAAAAACAAGATTAGTTTTGTTGTTCTATGAACAGTCGTATCTCTCTGACCTCGGTTTAAATGGTGCATGTGAACCATACGGTCTGGCTACTTGAATATCTGCATCATCATTCGGAGCATAAGCTTGTGGACGTGGTTCGGCTTGTGTAATTATGCCGCCTGGCAATAGGAAGTGCTCGGTTTCGCGTTCTTTCTATAAGAAAAATAGACGAAGATAAACTTCTAAAAAAACAAAAGATTCTTATCGACTAAAACGAACCTCTTCTCGAATTTTACGTTCACTTTTACGTTTTTGTTCGATTTCATTCGAACGTTGCCATTCACGTTCAAGTTCTTCACTCGGAGGTTCTCCCTTAAAAAATAATAAGGAACAAAGAAAACAATAAGCGTGTTATTTAATTGAAACAAAGCAATCTCAACGAACTTGTTCCATTCGTTCATAACATTGTTGTATTTCAACTTCTTTGATGTTTTTGTCTTGTTGAAGTTTTAATGCATCTGATTGATAGATTGTTAATTCTGATAAAGTTGCCATCATTTTGCGTGTTATATCTTTGATTTTATTTTGTAAATCATTAACTTTTTTTGCCAATGATAATGTATCATCTTTTCCGACATCAACTTTTGTTGATAAACGTTCTATTAGACGATTCACTTGTTCAAGAATAAGGTCTTTCTCCAGTGATTGTTCTTCTTTGGTTGATAAGCGTTGTTCAAGCTATAGGAAGTTTTTTTTAACTAAATATTTTTACAATGAATTCATTACTTGTTCAAGTTTTCTCATGATCATTTCTGGTGAGTCATCCGTACCATCGAGAAAACGAACTCGTGCTGGATCATTGGGATTTTCAAGAATTTTTTCAAGTTCAATCAAGCGATCTTGACATGATTCAAGCTAGAAAAATAATACATAGAATAAGAATAGATATTGAGTTTTTCTCTAAATTGATTTTGTAAACAAAAATATGAAGTTTTATTTTAGTGTTCTATGTTCAAGTAAGTTTTCAGTATTGATTTCGAATCAGAATTTTTTGCTTCTATCACTTATTATACTATATTAAGATTCTAACACAAAAAAAAAATAATTACTAATACTTTCGATAGAAAACATGCGTTTTGTTAGATACAAGTACAATAATTATTTTCGTTAGCTTACACATATTCGATATAATTCGAGTTCTTGATCTAATGCTCGTTTGACAGGTAATTTCTTTCTCGATAAAGCAATTTCTCGCTTTTCTTCTTGAATTTGTAATTCTAATAATCGAATTTCATCATCACGGCTCCTCAATTCAATATAGGCATTTTTTAATTTTGCATCTTGAACATTGACTTTTTCCTAAATAAATATTTCAATTAGCACAACAAAACTCATTGGCATTGAAGCAAAAATACAAACTTGAAAGACAACTTCTTCATTGTATCGTTCAACAAGTTGTACACTTCGTTCGTTTCTATCCAAAACAGCTGTATCATAATCTTTTCTCAAGCGAACTAATTCTTTTTCAGCAAATGCAATTAAATTATTATAATTTCGATTTTCTAATGTTTGCTGTTGATCTTGTACATTAAGTTCTCGTAGATAAGTACGTTGTTTTTCAACTTTATGTTTTTCTCTATCGCGTTCAACAACCGACGCTAATACAAGTAAGTTCTTCTTTTGTAGATCTTTTTCTAGAATACTTAATTTAGTGCGTAAAATTTCGATTTCATTTTGAAGTAATTTTAATTTTTCTTTCATTTCATTGGATTTTTGATTATTGATTTGTATGGAATTAACACATTTATTACGTTCATTTTTAATGATATCATACATCACCGCAAATTCTTTTAATTTTACATCTAAATCGGCGATGCGTTTATCATGTTCATGAATTTCACCTCTCTTTCGTTGAAGATCTTCTTGTACAGCTTGTAAACGATTTTTAGCTTTCATTTTTTCTCGACATTTTTGTTCACGTTCATTCGATACAACAGATGCAAAATGTGCCATCGATACAGCATCACGACGATAATCGCTCTGTTTCAATAGAACTTCTTCGTGTTCTTTTTGCGCTGTTATTAACATACTTTGCTTAACAATAATTTCTTTTTCCTAAATTTTAACGAGCAATCGTAGTAGACGTGATAGAGAAAACAACAAGAATATAAACCTGTTTCTCATGTGTTTTTGCTAGATTGTCGATATCGTCTTTTAAATCGACTTGATGACCATATATGTCAGTATCATCCGTTGGTATTGCTGCTCGCTAAAAAATAAAACGAAGAAAAAAATTCAAGATTCAATTCGCATCAAAGAGATCGGCATGGCAATCAAAAACACAGCTAAGCAGTTTGTCTCATATTCAAATGTTTTTCAAATTTACTTTCAGTTGTAGCTTTTCTATTGTCATATTTGCGCTTGATAATTCATCTTTTGCATGTCGTAATCTAGTTTCCGAACGTTTTAGCTCTCTTAATATTCTTTCTTTTTGTTTTTGTATTTTTGAATGTTGTTCATGAATTTGTTTACCCATTTGTATTGTACTTTTAACTGCTTCATTTGATTGACGTCTGAATAGAAATATAAAATTCTTAATTAAAATGATAATTTCGTTTTTACTCGTCTATTTGTCCTTTCGCTAGTTTAGCTTCTTCGAATGCAATTAAATTTAGCACATTTCTTATTTCTTCATTTAATTTTTCATTATCTTGATTATCTTGATCATTTAATCGCATTTCTTTTGATGTTAAAGCTTTTAATTTCTCAACATCTTCTTGAAGTTGTCTTGTTGAATTTTCTTGTTCTTTTACACGAGCATCCATTTCTTCGATTTCTTGTTCGGTTTGACTAAAATATAATAAGAAAAACAGAATACGGATTAATTCATATTTTTAATTCTTCTTGTTTTCATTCAATTAAATCTTTCAATAGCAGCAAATCAGCAAGCTTATACAGACGCTTAGGATTTTAAGTAAAAATTTTCTAAAAATCTGTAAGAATAGATAAATTTTCTCATTATTTAAAACAAAATCTTACTCTCGTTGAAGTGACAGACTATCTGTTTGTTTAAGTAATTCAGCTGGTTTTAGTTTCAGTTGTAGATATTCCGCCTTGAATTTAAAGTAAATAATTAATAGACAAAAAAGTAAACATTTTTGTTACTTCAAGATTTTCAATTGAATGTGTAAGTTCATCAAATTGTTTAGTTGTAGTCGTATATTTCTTTCTTTTATCGCCCAATAAAAGATTTTGATCAGTAATCTCAGATTTTTTTTGTGCTATTTGTCGTTTTAGTTCATCACATTCTTTGCGTAGATTTTTTATTTTTTCATCAATATCATGTTGATTTGGTATTCGAGCCTTTTCTTTTTCTAAAGAACGTTTATCTTCTTCCAAACTAAACAATAATGAATACTGGTGATGAATCTACTAAAGAAAGAACACTTTTCATATTGTTTCTACGTACGCTTTTATTTTATATTCAAGATCAAATAAACGTTCATTAGTACATGCTAAATCATTACTATATTTAAGTAGATCTTTTCGGCGTTGTTGAACTTCAGTTGTAATTTTATCTGGAAATGATTCACCTTCTTCTAATATACGTTTTTGTTTTTCAATTTGAGCTAAATATGTATGTTCTTCTTGGCGTAATCGAGCTTCAGCTTGACGTGATCTTAAAAGAAGAAATAATCATTCAGAAAAATTAAAAAATATTTTGATTTTGTTACAATGTTAAAGCATTTTGTAATTCCATATATTTCGATTTGAGTAAGGCCATTTGCGTACCAGTAAGTGTTCCTTCTTTAAATAACTTTAACGAGAGAAGAAGAGAAATACAATAAACAAGGGGATATCTTTTGTATCATACGTCTTCAAGGGTGCGAAAAGCAGGCGTACCAGATTGTTGTCGTTCTTGTTCGTCAGCATCGATTTCATTTGGAGGTTGAGCCTCAATAGGTTCTATTTCTTCGAATTCACCTGTTTGTTGTTGATTTGATAGTTCGACATCTGCATCATCGGTGAGAAAAGCATTTTGTCGTTGGTTATTGGGATCTTCTTCTACTTGTTGATCTGTGTCATAATCTTGATCATCTTGAGAATGATCATCGTCATCATCATCACTGTGGGCACTCATTTTTTTTAAAGAATTAAGCTAAACAAAAGAAAATAAACATATATGATACATATTGTATGTATATGGGATACAATTTATTTGAAAAGCTAAATGTTTAGTTGAAAAATGTCATAAATGAAACAACCATTTTTTATGTTTGTTGATATGGGAACAGGCCACATACTATAACTATTGAATATTAATTAAACAAAAGATAAGTATAGTTCTAAAAAGTTAAACATATTAAAAAGAATTAGTATTTAATTTTAAACAGATTCATAAAAAAATATGATGATGTCGCTAATAGTTGGTGTAACATATTTTAACACGTGAACTATATTCTTCGGTTGTGTTTTGTTCTATTTAGGATTTATCCAGAACACAATCAAACTGCACATTAATTTGTTTCATATATGATATCAAATTATTAAATCTAGGATCGATCCATATTGTTGTTTTCTTGCAGATATGAAAACAAACCCATCTGTAAAAATTATCCTATCATCCTATCCTCAATATATTGTCTACTGGGATGCATTAAGAATACCAATAACAGATTGTATTATAGAGAGCTGATTCACAATATTCCAATAAATCGAAGACATAATTCGTAAGATCAGTCATATAAATATATCTAAGTAGAATTCCAATTGTTATTTTTCTTTAGTCGTTAAAATGCGCCTTGTGTCAGATTTTAAAAATTAGAAAGCAATTTATTGCCATAAGATAAATAAGTTACAATAGTGGGATAAAAAAAGGACATTTTAACGATAGAAGAGAATTTTCAAAAGTCTGATTGTCCATATGTTGCATAATTAATTGGTTCAGGATTTGTGGGTTCACCAGTGAATTCCAAATGACGAAATGCTGTCGGTGGTACAAACGATCTTTCATCAACTCCTTGATCATTATTGTTATTGCCATATTCTTGCTTCGCGGTTTTACTTTCGAGATGACGAAATGAATCTGGTTTAACATAAGATTTAGTATCAATGCATGGACCAGCCGATGAATGTACAGAAGTTTGAGGTGGTCCCGCCTCGCTCATACCTTCGAGATATTTAAATGCGTTTGGATTAACAAAAGATCGTTCATCTACACCACTTTCAGTTGTATCATATTTTCTATTTGATGATGTACGTTCAAGATGAGCAAGAGCACCCGGATTTCGATCAAGTATAAAACTACGTGTATCGATTTCTGGTTCACATACGTCGGTCTTCTTCATCGGAGGAGGTCGATCAATATATTGCAAAGCATTTGGATTAATATAAGAACGTTCGTCCACTTCAGGTCCATCATCAACACGAGGCTTTGGTTCTTTTCGTTCAATCCATTTAAATGCTTGTGGATTCACGATAGGTCGATAATCAATTGTTGATTCAGTAATGGCCAATTTTGATGTTTCTTTGTTTTCAAGATATTTAAATGCATTCGGATCAACAATTGATTTTGTATCGACACCTGACTCGATGTCACGATGCAATGGTGGGCCACGTTGTTCAAGATAACGAAAAGCTTCGGGATTCACAATCGGTTTAGTATCAATACCACCTTCATCATAGGTTTTAACTGAATTATCTCTTCGTTTTTCCAAATATTTGAATGCATCAGGATTGATTATTGGCCGTGTATCAATAATTGATTCATTCAATACATTCGATGTTTTCTGTTGACGTCTTGTTTCCAAATCTCTTTAACAATTTCGTAAAAGTTTAGCTTCTTGTACTGACAATGAAAAACTTACTTGATTGCATCAAAATTGGTAATTGGTCTTTCATCGATTCCACCACCAGTGCCTTGACCTTGTTGTTCATTATCTTTCTTCTTATATGCCTTTGCTTCGATATGGCGAAATGCATTTATATCGACGATAGGTCTTCCATCGATACCTGATCCTGAACCATCATCACCACGTAATCGATTATTTTTTTCGATCTGTTGTTGACGACGTTTTTCTAATTGCGTAACTGCATCGAAATTAACAATGGGTCGTGCATCAATGCCACTTTCATTTGCTGCTGAGATCGGTTTCTGTTGAGCTTTTCTATTATCCAAATTTAAATATTGAAATGCACGCGGATCAATTATGGGCGAATCATCAATTTCACTGCGTATATCTTTTTTAATCAAAACATTTTCTCGACTATTTATAGCATATTGAGATAATGCTTTTGGTGGCGATGGTGGTGGTAGTGGAGATGGATTCACTTTCAATGCTGAATTTACATTTCGTGATGGTGTACCAGGATTTTTCTGATGATACATGCTTGATCCTTGAGCTTGTATAGCACGAGCATTGTTATAACCAAGACTTGAATTAGTTGGTTCAATATATTGTGGTTGATTATATTGTCCAACGGGCGCAGGATTGCTTGCACGTCGTTCGACATAGAGAGATGGTGGGATTGAATAATCTTGAACATTTGTACTGTAATATTGTGATCGGTTGGTTGGATTAGTTAACGCTGGATTTATTGGCCGTCGGTCAACATAATGAGACGATGATATTGAATAATCTTGGTTGCGTTGATTGTTACCATAGTTCATCGGTTGATTATACGGTCTAGCTGATCCTTGTGGATATTGGTAACTAGGAACACCACTATACATTGAAGACATTGTTTTAATACGTGTAGAAATGGCAATAGACAAAAAACAACAGAACAGCCATGTATTATTACGCTAGATCTATAGAAGGAAATTATTGATGTATCATTCCATTTTCCCCTGCTCCTGTCTCTCTCTCTCTGTCGTTTTATGTATAATCAACGTTTTCCTTTTTCTTTTCTTTTCTGTTGATTGCCGATCTATATCTATATGTACGTATGGCACTACGCGCCAAATCAGGCTTTCCGAAGAGGCCAAAAGGAGTTAACCAACTGTTAGGTTGATTTGTGCATGTTGGTGCAATGTTTTGGTCCTAAAAGAGTATTAAAGGAAATAGAAGTCATGCATATTTTTTCTTCTTGTTACGATATATGAAAGGATCATTTTGTCGCGTTCTATATATGCATGATATTCGATCGAGATTGTTGTTGTTGTTGTTGATGTTGTTGATATTGTTGATGAGATGTCAAGGATAATAGCTAAAATTTTGCCTATTGACAAGTACCTTGGATATTCTTTTTGCTTGTAATTAGAATAATGCCCTATAGATTCACAATATCTAATGTGTTAATCATTTACTAGGAGACTCTAGCCATTATACGTATATGTAACTTTGCATTTTATTTAATGATCTGGAAATCACTCTAGATAATTATCTAGAGAAGGAAAAGAATATTTCCTAACATTTGACCTAATCGAACAAATTACATAACACTATGAGTAGTGTTCACTATTTTTTGAAGTGATATATGAACGAATTTATTAGACGAAATGATATATATATATAGACTATTTTGTACATATGAATTTAGAAAATAAATATGGAATGTTTGATTTCTGACGATATCAGAAATGTAAATACAGTCATTTGATACTGGTACAATGATGGGACTCTCTATATGCCCAGTAAATCATAAATGAAAGCATACTGTTATTTGACAACAATGAGTCAAAGAGATGATGCATTGCGATATAATCAACGAGATATTATAACTGCGCATAGACTTATCTACGACTAATAATCACTGTGCTCGATATTGTTATAAATGTACATCTTTCGCGAGATAAAGCACGCACAAAGGATAATCTAATGATGCACATGAATATTGAGTATAAGGTCTTTTTTTTAAAGATAGATTGTTTAATCTAATCTTTGCAATTTTAAATCGTTCGATATGATATACTTCTCTTGGCGTGACTGATGAAGACTATATTATTCAATCGAGTTATATAATTGTGAATATACAAAAGAGAATAATGTTTTACTTCTATGGAAATCTTTATAAAAGTAGCAAGAAAACGACTCACTAAAATGAACGGATGACTATGTTTCGAAATCAAAAACGTTGAATATCACCTGCATTACCAAATGAGTATTAGCCTTTGACAATAAATCATTTATTCGAGGTTAGAATCTTCTTATGTTTAAGAAAGTCTATTTTCTACATAAATGTCTAATCCTATTTTATAATACATTTGAATATCGTGTTCTTTATTTTTCTATTCAACTTATATTTATCCTTTTGTAGCAACAATATCATGTCATATTATATAACATTATTCTTCATTTGCATTTATACTTGTTTGGGTCAAGATTTAATTAATAATCGAGTATTACCATTTATTGAAGCGAGTATTGCAACTGAATCTGTTAGAACTGATCCTGATGATCCAGCGATATGGATTCATCCAAATCAACCTGAACTGAGTCTTATTATTGGTACAGATAAAAAAACTGGTACCGGTGGTTTATATGTTTTTAATCTTGATGGTAAAATTATACAACATATTGATAATATTGATCGACCCAATAATGTCGATGTTGAATATGGTTTTAAAATAAATGAAACCTATTTTATCGATTTAGTTGTTTTTACTGAACGCTTACAAAGTCGTTTACGTATTTTTTCAATTAATATAAACATTCGTCAATTATATGAAATAACTGGCCGCAATACAAATGTATTTATTGACAGTATTGGCAAGGCTGCAGCTCCTATGGGTCTTGCTTTATATAAACGACCTAGTGACAAGAAATTTTATGCTATTGTAAGTCGGAAATCAGGTCCTAATTATAATTATCTCGGTCAATATGAATTGGTTTGGAATCAAGGATTGGTTGATTTGAAATTTATTCGTTATTTTGGTGATTGCCGTGGAAGAGAAATTGAATCAATTGTAGTTGATGATCAACTTGGGCATGTTTATTATTGCGATGAATCTTATGGTATTCGAAAATATAATGTTGATCCAAGTACAAATCAAACTGAACAAATCGGCTTTATAAATACAACGAATTTATGGCAAGGTGATTCAGAAGGACTTGCTATATATACAACATCCGATAGAAATGGTTATTTGATAACAACTGACCAAATAAGTCGTGGAACAATATTTCATATTTTTGAACGTCAAGGAACAAATTCTTATATAAAATCAATAAAAACTCGAGCTGATCGTACAGATGGTATAGAAGTAACAAGTAAATTTTTAAATGAAAATTTCCCTCGTGGTTTATTAATTGCAATGAATGAAGTTGATAGAAATTTTCTTCTTTATGATTGGCGTACTATGAACAATGAATTAGTTTCTGTTAAAAATCATGTTTATTACAATCAATTGAATTTTATATATTTTGTATTAGAATTTGGTATCTGTTACGTCTTTTCGTTTTTTTGAATGGCCCGGTTTAACTTGTGGTGGTGGTGGTGCTTCTTCTTCTTCATTTTCATATTCGACAAATGATCGTGCTCTCATCTCTTTAATATCTTGTTTTGGAACTTCTGGACTGACTTTTTTCGGCTTATGATTTTGTGAAGATTTAACATCAGATTTTTCTTGTCGTGCAGCAACAAATGATATAGTCTAAATAAAAACGATTTAAAAACTTATTAAAGTCTAAAGAAAAAGTTTACTTTTCGCCCATCATCATAAGCACGTTCAATAAATAAAAGAGCTTTTGAAACATCGATATCAACAAGACTATAATTTCCTGCTTGAATTAAATAATCACCTTCTTTGAGAACACCTAAAAATCAAAAAAGAAAAAATCGATTCAACTAGTAATTGATATCAAACAATATTTCTATGGTAGTCGGAGATGCTTCGACTTAGGAACTGTGAGACTAACTTTAGAATTTAGTATACTTCAATTTTCTACATAAGTAAGTGAATAACTAATTTTTCTCTTTTTTCTGGGATTCGTTAATACTTAGATACAGCTTTGACTCTTGGCAATATTTTCATGATCTCACTGTACTAGATATTGATGGAAACAAGAGACTCATTGCTTTCACCTGATCGGTCCGGAGTATACTAAAACTTTCTTCTAGAGTTCTCTATCTCAGATATTGATCCATTTCTGTCAGTATAACATGTTTGCATTTACCATGCGTATCAATCATGCCGTGTGGCAAGATTTCATCGATAAATACCCAACTTTCACCTTCAATCTGACCAACGACAAGACCCAACTGTGCTTCCTAAACAATTAAAAACAAAAAAATACAATGAACGAAAAAACGTTAACGATCACACTTTTTCAATTTCAACTGGTATCAATTGATATTGACCATAGTTATACTAGAATATATAAAAATGAGACAAGAAAAATAACAATCAAGTTATTAGATACTGTAGCAAGTGCTTTGGTTGGTTCGATCAATTCTAGTTGTTCAATTACTGAAATAATTAAGTTAATATAGAATTTCTAAAAATTAATTAGCAAAAATTACTTACATGAAGTGCGTTGTAAATATGAATCGCGATCTATATATGAAGTTCGAGTTGATTCGCCCAACGGTATATCATGATAACCATTACTAAATTTTCAAGTCATATATTTTATTTTTTCAATAGATTCTAAATAGAACCATTTACCCTTTATGGTTGTTGGGCGAGACTTGCGCCTATAAATAAAAGTAAAATAATGTACATGTGAATGATTGAAAGATAATTTGTACATACTCTTCTAGTAGGACTTGGTTCCGGTTTATAATGGGCTTTTGTTGACATGTTATTTTTAACAAGCTTGATACTACTTTCTTGTTGTTCGTCAAAAGAATTATATAAACTATTCGCAGGTTATCTTATATCCTTATCATTTCTATTAGTATCACCTGACTCTAGATGTTGACTTCTTTTTTTTTATGAAGGTTTTTTTTTTATATAATTTACTCTAAATTTATGCAATTCATCTTAGTTTTCTTGCACATTTTACAATGATATGACAGATGATCTTCAACTAAACAATATAAAAGAAAAATAATGTCACTTTTGAAGAATGGCATATAGGCTTTTATTATCTTACATATTACTCATTTCTCTATTTTCATACTATCGTATAAATAGAAATTTTTGTTTCCTTACTTTTTTTAAATTTATTCGTGCAACTTAGTTCTGGAATATTTTTCTTAAAATGACGTAAATTTTTGAGTTTCAGAAATCATCTAAGAAAAATAATTTCTCCATTTTTTTCACTTATTAAACTTAAAACTGGTCGAACAAAGAAATGCTTGCTGTTAATTGCTTCTAGTAATCTCACATTGCATCTGTTACCAAACTCATAGATTCCCATATGGATGAAATCAATACTGTTACGAACGTAAATTGACAAAAAAATGTAGTTCAGTTCTAGTTGACCTCAACTAATGTGAATTCATTCAGCTGGTGTTTTCAATCGATTACATCATCCTGGAATCAATTAGTGATACAGTTAGAGCAAGAGTAGTGCAATGGCAGTTCGAAGAAAAATCTTCCTAAACCAAAACATACTGGCTGTTTCTCTTATTTAGTATTAAAAAATATCTTTCAGACTCAGAATTATTTTTCAAACCGTTTACAGCACAGCAAATTGTAAAGTGTTTTATGATTAAGAATATTTTCCAGAAAGGAAAATTACTTCCGTCCCAGTTAGAATCAAGAGATTATCTAGCTTAGAGAAACTCAATTTTCTGCAGTGTTAGAATCAAATCAACTATTTAAGTGAGTCTTTTTTCTGCATTCTTATCTTTCATAAGATTCGCCAAGTATTACATGAAGTATAATTCAAGAAAAATTAAACGTATTAATCATGCATATCAATCAATCGAAAATGTTTCAATTATCGGTAAAATAATCTATATGATTTTGTTTCATTTTATTTTCATATGGTTTTTATGAGAACTACACACATAAGCGGCAGTGACATAAATCAAAAAAATGATGCAATATCATTGATACAATGATAATGCAATATACAACACACAACAAAGCAAAAAGAAAACAATTTGACATGTGAAGATCTATACAAATGTTTAATTCTCTAAGTTGATCTTCATTAACTAACGAATAATGACAAGAACAGAAAAAGAAACACACACTAGGTATTGATAACGAAAAATGAGAGCGGTAATTTTTTGTTATTCGATTTGTTTTATTTTCTTATGCAACTGCTTTAGTTGTTGCTTGAGGTAAACCACCTTGAACTGGTGTTTTCTTTCCGATGAGTGACTAAAATAAACATGCGAAACGGTAAAACTCCGTAAAAAATCATTTGAACAATAAAAACAACCTTATGAATATGTGGAATAACACCACCACCAGCAATTGTAGCCTTAATTAATGTATCCAACTCTTCATCACCACGAATAGCCAATTGTAAATGACGTGGATTGATACGCTTTACTTTAAGATCCTTTGATGCATTGCCTAGATGAACAAGTAAAGCAGAGTGGAACCATGATTGGTTCATAAACTCCTACCAGCAAGTTCGAGAACTTCAGCTGTTAAATATTCAAGAATAGCAGCAGTATAAACAGCAGCAGTTGCACCAACACGACCGTGTGATGTTGTACGAGATTTCAAATGACGATGAATACGGCCTATGCCAAATAGAACACGTGAATATCGAAGTTGAATTAAAACAAGAATAAAACTCACCAACAGGAAATTGAAGACCAGCTCGGGCACTTCGCGAAACAGCTTTAGCTTTAGCTTTACCATGATCTTTTCCTAAATACAATTCATCATAAGGAAAACGTTATTGTTAGCAGAAAAAACGTTTTTATTTTACTAACCAGCTTTACCACCTGGCATTGTAATCAATAATATTAATTAATAGAGAGAGAAAGAGAGAGAGAGAGAAAAAAATCACGAGTCTAAAAAAAAAAAAATTATTCTTGTACTATATTTCGGTTTCAGCGTTCACTGCATTGTGAATGGCATTCATATGATGGAGAATAGACACCATCTCAATCACATATTTATCATCATAAACCGATCGACTATATTTTCTTATCGAGACAACGTGTACATTACATTCAAAAGTGAAGAAAATGATTGTGAACATTGCAACAGTCAATATTCTACCAGTCAAATAAAGAACGTGAGTCACGTGCAGACAATGACGGCGCAACATTTTCTCTTTTCTCCAAGCAGTCAATCGGTCGGTCTAATGTAATGTGGGTTAATGGGTTTTTTTTTGTAGCGCGAAGGGCAAGAAGAAAAAGAGAAAAAAATATGAACCCTCAAACATACGCTCGTTGTCTACTACGATATGAAATAAAATGCTCTGTCGCGACTTACTGTACTCTCCATCGGTCAAAACCTATTTGAACTTAAAAAAAAAAGAGTAGAAGCTGTCGAGACTGAAAGAGAAAAAAATGAAATGCAAGTAATAATTGAAATTTTTATGCAGAAAAATTGGACAACTATGATTTCTTATCGAGGCTCAAAGAGCCAATACAAATATTAAGATTATCGTTATTTTAAGAGAGTAAAACTCCACGAGACAATCTCTTTCGTATTAATGCCATAATTGTTCAAAGACGAAAACTAGCGGCGATGATTACGCCTCGTATTAGCGCTGCTCATCTCTTCACAGTTTATGTAATTCTTATTCTGAGTGTTAGCCAACAAGAACTATGCAACTAGTAAATCAATTATAACGAGCGAGAACAGTCGATTTGAGTCACTCAATAAGAGTCTTATCGAATCGAGTAGAGAATCGGAAATATTCAACGTCCGTAAGTTTTATTCAAATGGTTATTCACTATAAAATATAAACCTGTTCAAATGATGAATATATCGATCTACTACTTTGTTTCTGTTTTGTGACTATTAAAAATACCCGGTTGATTAATTAAGCCTTTTCGTAAATCGGCAACGTGCAATGTTGTAAAAAATCCTTTATTCTGAACCAAAGGTTTTTTTATCTTGTATAAAAATAATCTTTATACTCAGTAATATATTTCGGTCTTGATAGATGTCGTCGTATATCAATCAGCTATCAATATTAAAAGTTTTTCATAGTGAATACGATATAGTTAATTAGTGACAAGCAACTTCTATCGCAAGTGATCCAACGTGTTAGATATTGATTTTAGGTAATATTGAACAACAATCACTCTGGTCTATAAATTTAACAAATGAAATTTTTGCGGTTTTCCTATCTTCAATACCAAAAGAAAGCGCTATAACCAAGTAATTGGATACTTTGATCTTAAACATAAAAACATCGAAAATTCGGGTCAACCATAGATCGTCCTAGAAGAGATGCATTATTTCATTTATATCAAGTTCAATCTTGCTTATATGTATATTACAACGAGAAAGTGAATGCCGATTTCCGTTTTCCTACGTGAAACATTGCACAATTTGACTAAATGTCTATCGTCAATTGTTGGATGCTCTTTAGAATTGTAAAAATTGTAGTAGCTTCAATTCTTTCATTTAAACTGCATATTTTATTCTTTCTTTTTTACTACTATTTAAATGTTTCACCTTTCATATGTAAAGGTCAAGGCTTTCTATTCGAATCACATATAGATAAGAACTTAATAATTATTATTTATTGATGGAATAATATTTGAAATAGCAAGAAGTGCGCTGATAATCTTATTACAAATAAAAAAAAAAAAACGAAAATGTATATATAAAAAGATGAGCTTCAATTATACACGAGAGACAAGAAAAACGGATACAGATAAAGTGTTTTCTAAAAAATAATAATAATAGCGTGAGATAGTTTAGCATTATTTCCATTGCATTTAACCTGTATGCAAAAATCTAGCTATCTGATACTTATTCTCAAATGATCATTAGGATAAATCTGTGTAAGAAGAAGGTGCATATGCAGCATAGAGCCGAAACAAAGAAAAACAAATGCTAAAGAGAATATTTATTTCTTTTTATTGCCTTTTTTTATGGTTCCCACGTTTGTACGTTTTCGTTGTTCAAAAAAATTGATTTCTTGTTCAAGTATTCGCCATTTCTCGTCACACTTATCTTTTTGGTCTTTATATTGTTTTTTAATGTTAGTTAATTCTTCATTGATCTTAAGTAATAAGAAGAAAATTGAATAATTTTTGACAATAAGAAAGACTACAATCGATTTCTTACTTGTTTCTCGGCGTCTTTTAATTCGATTTCTTTATCTTTTACTTTTTGAATGAATGCTTCTTTGAGTTGTTGTTCGCGTTTTTCAAGTTCTTTACGAAGATCGTTGTGTTTCATTTCGAGTGTATCACTAATTGAAAATTGTTTACCATCAATGCTATCAGTAAGACCAAGTTCCGCTAAACGAGTTCGTCGAAAAATTTCATAATGTTTTGAATGTGTCGTTTCAATGAGATCAAGCATATTTTTTTCAATGACACTTTCACGTAATTTTTTAAAATCACAATGATTTTCATTTTCAACTAGAAGTAAAAAAATGTTAGAGTTGAATTTTGAGAAGATTCATCTCGATACAAACTTTTAGAAGTAATCTATAGTATTTATCGAAGTAAAACTTGATTTCCGTTAAGTGTCGATTTTTTATTTTTGATAAAGAGACCGGAAATGATCATCTATAGTTTAAGGTCTTATGTCATTGTACTCAACTCGATTATTTTTAGTCTAAGAATGATCAATAGAGATTTACGCATAGAACATTTGTCGTCACAAACATGTGTGAGAGTCGATTAACAAATGAGATAATAGACCAGTCGCGTGAAAAATGAGACATGAATACTAAGATGTTATTGTGACACTAAGTCGTAAGTTTGTTTTATTAGAGTTGTTTTTTTGTTCGGTACGAAAAAACATTCGGTTTCGGTATAAACAATACATATATACATTAATAATGTATGAAAACATTGTCAAACTTCGACGTCTAGTTTTATGTTTCATATAACTCAAAAAAAATCATACTCATTCTTTTTCTTTTCAATCACTAAAGATTGTAGTTCTAAACATCATCCTTTTGTAAAACGGCTTCTGAAGTATTTTGTTCTCTCGTACAATAGGATACTCCTAATCCCTTACCTTGAACAACACCCCATGGATATTGTCTAGCTCGTACATATTGAGTTCCAACTTTAACTGTTTCATTACTTCCAACAACAGCTAACGGAAGAAGATTCTAGATAAAGATTACAACAAGAAGAAATAAAAATAAAGCTCTTTTTCTTTCACAAAAAAATTGATATTTACATTAGCTTTAAGATTATCTTCGGCTAATGTTTCATCATCGGTTGGGAAACGATAGATTTTAACACCAGCTACATTAAGCTCATTAAGAATATTTTGTTTAAATCGTTGTAATTCATTTTTTGATATTGTATCAGATTTTGCTATAATTGGTATTATATTAACTTTACTATCTAAATGTTTCATAGTAACTAAATCAAGTGCTTTCAATGAATGACCAGTCGGATTTATAAAATATAAACAAACATGAATACGTGTATCATGATAACTCGATAGATTTCGTTTTATTTTAAGTTCTTCATCTAAATAGGCTTGAAATTGTTCATCAATAAAATCTCCGATTATTTTAAATGAATCATCTTTATTGATTTGATCGCCGAAGCCAGCTGTTTCAACAACAGTTAATTTTAAACGTATTTCACGTTCAAATAAATCATAAGTACTTTTACGTAAATAAACTCGTGCATTTTCATGTGTTGCTGGTGTTGAATCTAATCGTGTATTAAATAGACTATCGAGTAATGATGATTTACCACAAGCTGTTTCGCCAACACAAAGAATATTGAAAACAAAACCATCGGATATAGCTTTTGCCATGATTTGATTTGGTAAATTGTTGATACCACATTCTTCTTTTAATTCAAATGTACGAATCGATGGAGTCTAAATGAAATAGAATTGAGTGAATAAAAAATTTTGACGTCGATTAATTTTTTACTTGAGAGTTTAATTGCGAAGGTTGTTCTGTTGGACGAGGACCGTCTTTCATTTTGTTTAATGCTTCGAAATCAACAATCTAGATCGAACGTGAACAGTTAAAAAGGAAGGAATGATCGATTAATGATTGATCGAACAATTTGACATTTAGTAAATGCAAAAAAAAGCGAATGACCAATCGAAAAATAAAAGAACAAATTTCTTCCTTCTCTTTCGTTTCGTTATCTATTGAAAAATGATCATCATTCGGCACCATACGACATCTGGAATTTTCATTTCATATATCTTTCTGATCGTCTTCAAAAGAAATATTCCCTGGTTTACGAAATTCAATGCTATTAATGTTTATCAAACTTATTCAAGTATTAAATTATCATCCGATAGATGAGTAAATTTATCGATCAATTTTGTTTTTCAAATAAAATCCATCCATATTCAACTTACATTCGCCGATATTCCACTCATCGAAAAGTTCATGATAACATTTCACGTCAATGAGTATTGCTATACTGCATAATTCTTTCCTTAGTGATCGAGAATTACTCATCATAATTGTAATGTATAATGTTGGTTTATCTTTTATCATGGTTAGATCATACGCAAATTCTCGTTTTCATTATCCGAACACCCTTCGTTACATGGGTATGTTTTGTACCGAACAAGAAACGAGCTTTACTTAATCATAAAAGTAATCCTCATAAAAAATGTTGTATTGTGAAAGCATTTGTCTTATTTAATTGTAATTTCTTTTCTTGAACAGAGAGCCGATTTTTCATTTAAACAAAAAAAAGTTCTTTTTATATTAAAAATGACTCAGAATTATTTATGAAATTATTTTATAAATTATTCATAAGAAATAAAACAAATGAAATTTTATAATTGAATAGAAGCATTTAATGCCATATGATTGTCATTTATTATTCAAAAGAAAACAAAATCTATTTTTGTTAAGATCAATTTAAAAACGACAATAATCATTGAACACTTGTTACATGCCTTCGTTCATCTGACGTTAGGAAGTATTAAAGATACTAATATGAAATAGCGGGAAAACGACTTCCGACAGTTCAATACCGCAATGCCGACCTATAAATCAACATATGACGATGATAATAATAATAGATTCACTGGAAATAAAAATCAAGTAGATTTATTTGATTAATTTGTTTTCTGCCATAATCAAATGAATATACTGTCAATTCATATATAATATGCCTAGGACCGTCTACTACATTAATAATAGAAAATAAAGAAAAATTATTTCGGAAAGAACACCAGAAATTCTAATCTTAGTTTTATTTGAAAAATAGTTGAATAATTTAAGACAAAAAGAAGAATATATCATTCATAGTTCATCTATCAAAGATCTCAAATGACGTTCAACAAAAGAGAAAAGACGATGATGTTTATGTAAAATCTATCATTGAATAATCGATCGATTATTTTCTTCTCCTTTTTCTTAATGTGCGTGCTAAATATCAAATTGATTTATTATCTTCTAAAGGTTATTATCAATAATAGTTATCTATGTCAATTATTATTCAGCTTTCTTTTTTTGTTGTTCGAAATTTTATTCTCGTCAACAAAAAGACGCTCAAGTGCAGAGAGAATCAATCTTTTCTTTGTTGACCACAAAAGTATTAGGTATGTTAAAAAAAAAAGAAAACTCATTAACATACTTCCGCTTCTGTACAGTGTCATTTCTTTACAGTTATATATATATATATATTTGTTTGCATGTGGTGAAATGATAGAAATTTCCGGATTGTTTGCTAACTATCATCACGTAATCAAAGCTGAAATGATTTATCTATCTATTATCCTAGACAAGTCGGATTACAGGTGTTTTTAGTCGACAAAGAATGCCATGTGTATGTGTATGTATAGCTATATATTCATTTTTCATTCTCCAATTCAACTGTCGGAAATCACTATCGAAAAAAAAGATAAGAGAATAATGTTGAATTGATAATGCGAGACAGAACGATGAACATATATATATATATATATATACATATAGTCGCGACGTTTAAATAGAAAATTGATTGTTATAAAACTCTTCAAGCTTTCATTCTGTCTGTTCATTTTACGATGATTACGCATTTAGAAAGACTCTCTCGCTTGAATAAGTTATATATGAGCTAATCCATATATGTGTAAAAAAAAGAAAGAAAGACAAAGGAAAATCATGTTTTGAACTAGAGAAGAAAAAGAAACGATAAATTACAGATGTTGTTTATCTTATTTCCCTTTGGAATGTTACTCATTTGTATGATTGTTATCGGAAAAAATATAAGAAGACATGTATATTGTGTAAACTTATCATTTGATGTCCTACACACTGGTTGAACAGGCATTCAAAATACACAGGTAGATATAGGACTACCAAGACAAAGACAAGTTTAATCCAACAATAATTAACGTTTGTATGGAGTTGAACATGGATGAGGTTTCATCATTAGAATTAATTTGTCACTGACAAAGAAACAATGTTAAATCTGCTCGGCAAGGTCTTCTTAGAACATATTATTTATATTAAAGACAAATATGAGCAAGAGTGATGTGCTTGAGTAGACATTTTTCTCTAGTGCCATGCAATAGAACGAATAATGGAAAATTTCTTTGTTTTTCTAGAACGACATTTATCTTTGTCATCGTATGTTATTTTAATTTAATAATCAAAAAAAGAAAACCCGAGTACCCGACGTTTTCTTCTCTTCAACACATATAACAACAATCGAGAAATAAAACGACGGAGCGAGGCAAATAATAGATGATGAATGCAAGCAAAAGGAACAGGAGAAAGAAGAGAGACATAAAGTGGAAAAGAAAACGAAGTTTCTTTATAGAATATGAAAGTGAACACATCATTGTAAGATTCTAATGAATCGATACTCTTGAAATAACTCTACTCTGTATTCTCTATTAATTTTCGATTATCACAATTGGTCTTACAAGTAATTTTTTTACAATCATGTATTCACACATAGAAAAGAAGAGAGGAGAGAAAAAAAGATGGTCAATTTTCTTTTCTTCCTTCCTCTCATTCTCTACTCACTGGACACTTCTTCTCTTGTTCATCACTTTCGCCTTCTTGCTCGCATTCATATACACAAACACATACATATACATGGTCTTAGCACATCATCACATCACACGGTTAGTTCCGAACAACAAAAAAAGGTCTTTCTTTACAGTTAAGAGTATCATTCTATTCTATCGAAGTCGATTGCATCATCTATACAATACACACACACACATATAGACGATAATGATGACGGCAATTTGCTGCTCTCGTTTGCTCTTTTCTTTGAGTTGTTCTTCTTCTTGACCACTTTTTTTTTCTAAATTGAAGATTGTTGAATTGAATTTATTTATATATACACATTCGACACATGTTCTACCTACCGATCATTCTGATCTGTTTTAATCACCACCTGCTGTTGCATACAACATCGGCATCATCATTATTATTTGCACTTGATAATGTACGATATTCGTTATCTGATCGTGTATTAACAATACCGAAATTAGGTGCTCTTCGCGGCATTTATATTGATTATGAAAACGAATATAATAAAAAATATAATCTTGTTAATGTTGAAGCGTTTCTTGGTGTACAATATGGTTTATATCATGGAAGATTTGAACCATCGAAAGAACGTTTTGAATTGCATCCAACAACAAAAGTTAATAAACACATCGATTTTGGACCGGCATGTGCACAACACATATGGACAAATCACAGTGAATTAGCACGTATACGTACAGGAAAATTTGCTCGAGATTATTATCCAAAATTATTAAAATATATTCAAAAACAAAATGAACAACAATGTCTCTATATGAATATTTATCAACCACAAATCAAAAATCTAAAAGGTAAAATTTTGATTGATGATCATTTATTTGTTTTGTATACAAATCGTGTCATTTCTGAGATAAGCAGTCAAAGTAAAGTAGAAGAAGAAAACAAGATGAATGTCCTTCTTATTACTACTATTGTTGTTTCTCTGTACTAGACGATGATCATTGTCTATAAAGCCACCGCATGTCCATCGACATTATTGATGTGAGGTGAATTGATGATCGATGATCCCCGGCGTTATGGTCGACTAGTGAAAAACGTACCACTAACTACTAGCCAGATGCGCTAAAAGAGATGACATTGTTGATGCACGTTTGATCTTTTCTATGCATACAAATAGATACAGTTCCATTAGATGAAATATCTCATTCTCGAATACATACATACATATTGAAGACGGTGTTGACGTGAAAGAAAGATCACACTAATCCCATAAGACATTCAACTGCGCAAAATAAATTACAATAGAAACGACATTCAATCTCTGTTTTTGACAATATTTGATAGAAAAATGACGACTCATGAGAATGTCTATTCAATTTTTTCTTTTTTTTTCTTATCTATTTAGAACAACTTCCAGTGCTTCTCTTTATACATGGTGATGGTTATGACATGGGCACTGGTGCAGCTTTTGATGGAGCAATATTTGCTAGTTATACGAAATCAATTGTTGTTACGATCAACTATCGTCTTGGCCCATTTGGTAAGTGAAATATGAGAATGAAGAGTGAGAGTGTGTGTGTGTAAGAGGCAAAGAAATTCAACGGGAAGAAAATCAACGCCGTACGCGTTTATTTGCTGATCATCATCTTTTTTTTCCATTTTCTACTCGAATGAACAACAATTCAGCATAACCATAGTTGTTGTAAGCTTGATCAAGGTTCTATTATTTCCTGTATACTCTACGCCATTGGTGATTGCCAGTCGTTAGGGTATTTCCGCTGTGCGCTCTTCTCGCAAACTAGACTAGTTTCTTATTGCCGGGTGGCAATTATTGTTGATTAACTAGCATTTGTCCCTCGCCAAACAAACTCTCGTTATATATTAGTCTATTAAAGACAGTCATTCAACTGCATGAATGAACATGTCTATAGCTGCTTTTCTATGATATATTTGAATATATATGTAAGAAAAAAAGAAAATAAGTAAATCATAAAATCAAATGTAAATGATGAATGAATATATTTATATGCATAGACATTTCTACACGTGCCAAAAACTGATGACATAGGTTCTCATAAACATCAAATCATCATTTGCTAATTTTTTTCTGTTGTTATGCAGAAATAAAAACAAGTCGAAAAAGCCATAGGGTGATTTATTTATTTTAATAATAGTTGAGATCGAAGCAACTTTAATTGGACATAGAGGCGAGAACGAATGTATGATGTAACTTCGACTATGTCTCATCACAATCTTTTCTGTCCGGGTGCCATTTAATGTTTATACACGCATATATACATATACAAAGTCACAAGAGATTAATGAAGAGGGATAGTCGAGTGTAAGCTTACGGCAAAAATATTCATTAATCAAACGTCTTCAATCGATTTGCTTCTTCTAGTTTTCTTCTTTTTTTTTTTTTGGTTGAGAAGCCTAGACAAGGTATGTGTGTTGCTTAATATTGTCGTATGAGAAACACAATTGATAAAATAACATTGATCATATATATATATATATAGATGTAGAAGAAAAGTGTGTCGCATACACTTGAAGTCAAACAATAGAGCAGTCAGTCGGTTAGCCAGTTTGATTGTTTGAAAAGAAAAATGAATTACCCAAGGTGTTCGTTGACTCTTGTCTAGAACAACATTCAATTACGGGCAAAATGTGACGTCACTAAATTCAATTAGATATATTTTTTATTATTACGACTGTCGAACAATATCTAGTTAATATAGCGTGACTTAACACTCGGAGAGTAAAATAACCTTGACAAAAGGAGATATTTTTCTCTTTACCCTTCTATTCTAAACATGCGATCAAGATAGTAATCATCATGCATCTATCAATCTACGTCGAGACATCGATTATTACTACTTTTAGATCCATATGATAAAATAGAAGATTCAACCGTAGTTGTTGTTTTCTATGTCATTGCCATGCTATTCAATAAGCATGTGTTCATAAGAATAGACAGGAGTAATGTTTACATGCCCGTAATCAGTAGTCTGATCTTGATCTGTTAAATGCTCGCAGGAGCAGTTGTTCAACAGTACAAAAGAGAAAAGAACAATATGGCTTTTGAAAAGTGTTTGTTTGATGTTCAACCGACGACTGTGCCTTCTATGTTTATAAAAGTTGTTTAAAGAAAATTCATCGAGTTGTTTTTCTCATGAGAGTTACACAATTTTTTTTTCGTACTTTTTTTTGCTTTATTTTAAATACCTTGTGTGACGGATGATTATAGTATGTATGTGAAATTCATCTTAAGCTTATATTACAATTAATAGGATATACAAGGTTATCTTTACTTTGTTAGGCTTCCTTTATCTGTCACGTGAGAATAAAGGTGATTATGCATTACACGATATCTATACAGCTTTGCATTGGCTAAAAAATTATGTGACAAATTTTGATGGCGATCCGGATCGAATTACGCTGTATGGTACCGAATCGGGAGCTGTATTGGCGAGTCTTGTTGTTATGCTTGAAACTGTTAATGGTTTGTAAATTTGAAACGTTTTTTCTTTTTAATAAACGTTCAAATAATAATTTCTGTAATTTTTATATATCTAGGTGGTACAGGAACAATTAAACGACGTAAATCATTAGTTCATCGTCTTATATTAAATGATCAAACATTTCTTTCTCCACACATGACATCGATAGTAAACGAAATATCATCCTATCAAAAAGATATTCTATCTCAGTTATCATGTTCAACATTAGTATGTCTACGTAATCAAACATTAGTAAAAACAAAAGATTTAGTAGAATTAAATACATACTCAAAAGCTAATGGTTATATTAATTATCTTAGTCCATTAGAAAATCCATTTCCATTTTTTAATACTCATATTGATACACGAAATGATCGTGTAAATCCATTACGCATGAAATTTTATCATCAATCAAATACACTTTTACCAGAAAATCTTCATGTATTATTGACAATTTCATCGTCAATTCATCATTCATTATTTCACAATATTAATTTTAATAATAGAAGTAATTTGATTCAAGATCTAATTAATTATGCATATACAAAATGGAATACGAAAACAAATGAATATTATTTTGATAAAGATTTATTTAATTATCATCAACAAATTCTTGGACCATTACTTAAATATGCAAAATATGTTTCAAATGATCGAAATATTCATATATTAGAAAAATATTCAAATAAATATCAATCAGAATTACCCTATACATTCGGATATGTTTTAGCACCGTCGATGAGTGTTTACAATGATACATATTTAAATGCTGATGAGAATGACAAAATTGAAAGTATAAAAATAATGAATTTATTTGCTAATTTAATACATCATGGGTAAAAACTTTTATCAGACTTTTTCCCCACATCGTAATTATTGTGCCTATTGTTTCTTGTTGTAGAGATATAAATATACAATCACCTTATTGTCAAAATATGCAATGTGAATCAAATGAAAAATGGAATCCGATTTTTCCAGACTTTAATTTTTTAATTCTTAAAGGTAAGTTTAAGTTTGATAAGGGTAGTATGACTTCAAGAACCCGATCATTCCTGAGCATAATAGTTCTTTGATAAAGAAGTATAGTAATTTGCACAATTTGAAAGAAAATTGTATTAAAAAAAAGGAATGCAACTGATAAATTGAATCTGAAAATAGACGCTCATGAGTTCGCCAAATATCAAGGACAATCATCTTGACTGTGACAGGAAAAAACGGCGTATTGCTAAATTAAATTCTATTGTATTTCGCCGTAAGTTATCATCATTTTTTCTTACGAACAATTATTAAGTAAACATCGTTTCTCCGATGATTTGCATTGTTTTATAAGATTAGGAGACAATGACGAATTACAAGCAAGCGATGACTGTCGTAATTTCTTTTATAAATCTATCTATTTTGAATGAAAGACTACGAGACGATTATTGATTTGTTCCATCATTTACATTACATCAATCGATTTCATTTCGATGAAAAAAGAAGAATCCTTGATGTTTATTTATATTTTATATTTAGATGGTAATTTAAGTCAAGTTCGTGGTTATCAAACAAACGTTCATAACCTTTTCAATAATATCATAGCAAATAATAGCGAAAATCAAATGGATATTAATTTACTAAATGCATGGAAAACTCTCTTTGAAGTATCAAATAAAATGAATGTGTCAACGAATACTCGTGCAACATTGTTAATAAAAAAATTTTCACCATTATTTGATTCAAATAATAATAATCAAAAATATATATTAATTCTTTGTTCAAGTATTTTCGTATTATTAATTATTAATTTTTCGATCTGTATTGTTTTATCAAAACGTGGACAAGGTTGTAGAAAACGTGAATATAATTGTCTTGATAATCATAAACAATTGACTCTAGTTAATCAAGCGGAACAACATCCACAACGACATGGTGGTTCATCGCCGTCGAGTACAAATAGTAATGGTACAATAACCATCGATTCAACGCAACAATTAATTGTTAATACAAATCCAAATGAACATGAACATCATTCGTCACCCTTATCATCATTATTATGTACAACAACAAATAGCAGTATTAATAGTACACCACCTGTTGATGTATTGCATCCAATCAATATAACGAAAAAAAATGGAATATTAAAATGTTCATCGATAAAAAAAACTAATGTACTTGCAACATCATCTTTACCTGAAGCCATTGTATAATTATATATGTATTTTCATTCTTTCTTTTCGTTTTTTATTCCTTGGATAAATAAAACTGTTTGGAACAGTGTGTGTGTATAAATAGACAAAGAAAACAGTTATTTGCATCAAATTGAATATAAGCTTTTGTTAAGTAGTTTTGATGGTTGCATATCTTGAGGGGGTTATTCTATTTCTTCGTTGTATCTACACGAACATTTGCGAAAATGTTGTCCTAGACTTTTACATCGTTAGAATTGCGCTTGATTGAAGAATCATTCTCATTTGAGAAATCATCATTCTATTGAATACGCTAAATTATATGATGATGCATTGAGTTGATTGGTTGATGTTATTTTTAGAGATGGGCGGACAAGAGATAAAATTAGTAACTATAATCTCCTTAAGCGATATATTGTTTTTGTACTGTACGGTTTTGCCAATAGCTACTGTACCAAGCTGAAATATAATAAAGTATATGTTTAGATGAAAATATTAATCTCATCGAAATAATAATTATATTCATTTTCTTGATAGCGATTTATACTTTTATTTTTCTAATAGTTTCTTGAGCAAAAATTAAATTGTAACACTTCTATTTTCAAAGCTGTTTAGAAAGTAAAAGCGTGGACGATGAGTCATTTTTCTGTTTTTGCTTCAAATATGAATAAAATCAATATTTACCTTTTACAAAAAAATTTTCGTATGTATTAAAATGCATTGTACATCACTCTTCCTGTTAGGCATTTGTTAGAAGTCATGAGTTAAGATCAAAATGATAGAGATTACCAACATGGATGAGTACAGTATAATAAGCACATAAGAGACAATGAGAACGAGAGTGACGTCTGATCACTTTGATATAGAACAAGTACAGTAAAGGAATTTGAGCAGCTTACGAATTTTATTAACATATTCTCATTGAAAAGATCAAATGATTTGCATAATTATGAATCATAAATTTACAATCTTAATATTCACTGATATTTCGTCCCTCAAGTATCTTGTCTACAGATTCGTACTTATATTTATATGTCTTTTTTTATTTTGTCTCAGAACGATTTAAAATTATTTGTTGCAACTTTATTATTCATCAGAATTTTGTTTATTTCTCATTACAAACTTGTTGCTTCATGTATTCTTTTTCACGTAGCAATCAAAGGAAAAGAAAAAACATTTGATGTTGATTTTAGTTTTTTTTTGGTTTGCTTCAGAGCAAAGTTTGAAAATATATTTTATTAAATACCTTCATATTCTCATACGGATATTTTGATTATGCTTATTTCGGTAAGAACATTGAATATGATATTTAATTCCTTTTTCTTTCGTTTAGATTTAATTCTTACAAAAATATGAATTATAACGATGAAAAACCGCCACCATTGTACAGTAAGCTTCAACGTAGCAAAAATGAAGAAATAAAATGTTTATCATTTTTTCTATAGCGGACGTAGTAGAAAATCCCAATTATTATCTTTCTAATAGTCGAGCAGCAGCGTATGTAGTGCCAATATCACGAGAAGCTGGAAATGTCAAATATACAGCACCGAATACAACAAATTCGAATACTAATGAAATACGATTTCAACCGTCACTTGCGTTAGGTCAAACGTCAGTTGAATGCACGTGTACGAATTGTCATTCGTTAGTTAAAACTCGTGTTAAACATACGTCTGGATTATTGGTTTGGTTTTTAGTCTGCATTTTATTTTTACTTGGCTGTGTATGTGGTTGTTGTTTGATACCATTCTGTATGCCTGGCATAAAAAATGTTCAACACTATTGTCCGAGGTGTAAAGTATTACTCGGTGAATATCGACGTTTCTAGTTTTTTACATATTGATATTGAATAAATAAATAAATAAATAAATAAATAAATATATGTATGAACAATTTCAATATTGGGTAGCGTTGATTAACAGTTGACTGTCTTGTTTAACCGGATGAAATATTTGTGCGCCTTTAGCAAGTGAGTCCTATAACATCAATAGACATATTTGAATGATCGTAAATAAGCATTGTTAAATTAAACATATGACCAACAGTTGGAATAAAAATTCTTGATAATAATAATTAGGATCAATTTGAGTTGCATTTTTTCGATCTTTCTCAATCAATAATTGCCTTGTGTAATATTGATGAGCATCTATGAATCGACGCGATATGCATGAAAGCATATTTAATGAACCCGACCATTTGTTTTCAGGTAATATATTGATGAATGTTGTCGGCCACTATATCCATCTTAATAGATATACAACAATAATAGGTAAAAAAAAACAGCGATTTTTTAAATTTTTCGTGTAACATTTTTGATGAATTTTCTGCATTTCGAGATAGATCACAGAATTCAATTATGATGATGGTAAAAGGACGATGAGCTTTATATTAGACTTATGCATATAATTGAGTGAAAAGGAAGCTGATGTTGTTGATGTTGAAGTTGTCTAAGTTAAGAAACAATATAAACACTTTAATGCATTCATCCCTTATTCCATCCGAAGCTGCACACTACTAGCGAGTCGCTAGGAGTCAGAGTCCATTATAAATTAATTGTTAAAAACTCTTTATCGGATAGTTGCAAGAGCGTGTAAGATGAACTACTTACATGGCAAAAAAGGACAGAAGTATGCCGTGTCTTTGGAACGATTACCAGATTCAATTAGAAAATTTGATTACAAGTTTAAGAGTATGTTTTGTTCCAGATCTATTTTTGATTAATAAACTAGGTATTTGTCCAGAATGCCAGCTTAACTTTACTTTCAAGTTGAAAAAAGCATGATTAAAATTTGCATTCCAAAGAGTTAAAGTTCAAATAGATTCTTTCATTGAAAGAAATTTTCTGTTCAGAACTATTTGTGTTTCATCAAAAAATAATTTTAACAAAAAAAAGATTTTCAGAAAATATTTTTTAAATTTTGATTTTTTAAAAAGTTAAACTTAAAGATATGCTTGTTTCAGCTTTAAATTAAAAGATTAAAGTTGAGGTACGCTAAACCTCCTCCCACAATAGAAACCCGTCCTAAGAAACTACTCTGTTTCCTATAAGAACACCATTTTTCAAACTTCTGGTAGTTTTTGCGTGATACAATTTGGTTGATCTACTAATATGGTAGGGGCAGTGGCGGAGCCAGGATTTTGGGCTAGCAGGGGGGGGGGNCCCCCCCCCCCCCCCCCCCCCCGAGCCTCCGAAAAAAAAATTTCGTGAATTGTTTGAGAATTTGAAAGTCATTTTGGATTTTTTTTGGGAATTTTGACAATTTTTCTGGGGTTTTTCGAATTTTGAACGCTTTTTTTAGATTTTTGGAGAGTTTTGAAATTTTTTTGAAGATTTTTGTTTTTTTTGAAGGCTTTTCTGAAAATTTTCAAGATTTTCTGGATTTTTTGGGAGATCTTGAAAATTTTCCTTGATTCTTGCGGGAGTTTTTCAGTTTCATAGCGGGCAACGCCAGCTAAAACATGAAATTACAAACATTACTACATATTTATATAAAAAAATTCATTTTCTAAAATCTCGCTAGGGGGCTCAACACTGTCTATTGGGGGGGGGGGGGGGGGGGGGTGGGGCCCCCCGACCCCCCCCCCGGGGGGGCCCCNCCCCCCCCCCCCCCCCCCCCCCCCCCCCCCCCCCCCCCCCCCCGGCGCGAGCCCCCCCTTCCCAGCCCTCCTGGGTCCGCCACTGGGTAGGGGGCTTACTTCAATTTGAATAATTCTATCAGAGTAGTTTCAAAGTTTTAGTGTCACCACTAGTATGAATTCAAACGCTTTTGATGTACGGGATCCGGGTCCGTAGTCCAAAAATTCTTGGCCCCGATGGGTTCTACTTTGAGTATAACAGATTAATAAAAAAGTTGATTGTTTTTTTTCTTTATATAATACTTTTTTCATTTGTTATCAAAAGATGAACAGCGCTTTACTGACTTTCAATGCTTGAAATAAAGAATGTGCTGTATGAGAATAAAAAAAGATAATGTATGCTTGTATCCGAATCAAGACTAATAAATACTTTACCTATTAGTACAGATGATACAAACAGAGAAAAAATAGAAGTATTGAATTTTTATAATGGATTTCAAATAAATAGGAAATCATTTTACAAGATTTCATGGGATTCCACTTGAATCAGCTTGAATTCACCTGAATCCAGATGAATCCAGGTGAAGCCACGTGAATCCACTTGAATCCAAGGGACTAGATTCTGCTGTTCCCCCTTGGAGATATGACTCAAATGCTGAAAGCCCCAAAAGTCCAAAAAGTGACCCTTTCAAAAATTCACTTTTTTGTTAACCAAAATATATCCCAATACTAAAGCAACATTCGTTTTCTATGAAACTTTTAGGAAAGAGATATTTCCATGTAGGCTTTAGTTTCTGATGGACAAACATGATATTGTAATTGTCATTCATCCGATTATTTGCTGAACGATATGCAGTCATATTTTCATCGTACAAGAGCGGTATGACATTGGCTTGAAAGTTACATAGATAGATAGAGAGTGTGGGCGCGAGTCTGGGCGTATTCGGCTATAAGGTTAAATGAAGTGAAAACAACACCCATACCCACACCATCCATCAGCCTGCTGAGATGGAAACTCCTAAGCCGCATTGCACGACAGGATGTTATACCAAACTCCATTCTACCTTGTATTTTCTACAACTATAGCTGTTAAGAAACAGAGGATTTGCATCAATCTATATCTTAAGGTCGACACGCCTCAATAATAGTTAGAGTAGTGTAGATCGAACTGGTTTCTATGAGAACACTTTGTATGCTAGCTATTATTTCTCGCTTAAAATTGAAAACAAATAAGTTGCTAAAATTTTGCGAGATCTTTGTTTCTTTTATTTATTTTCAACTTGAGTACAATTCAATGGATCATATCAATTCTCAAAGCTGTACTATTTTGTCATCCCGAAAAGAATGTTTTGTTTCTATCTATCTCTGAAAATTTTTTTATGTGTCAACGAAATTCAACCGAACGAAATCCAATAGATTTATTCCTGTTTGCTATAGTCAGTTTCAACGATGAGAAAAGCATTCCAAAGCATGATTTTTTTCTACGGTGTGGATGTGACTATGGCTTCAGAGTAGAACCACACCTACACTCACACCCTCATAATAATTAAGTTTCACGCCAAAGAAGGACTTCGAGCTGATTTTGATTCTTGTCAACAACAACAGCATAAAAGAAGAAACAAGAAAAAGAAAGATGAAGTACAGGTTTGCGAGAAAATGACGCAGAGAAAGAGAAAGAGGAAAAATTGTGATCGTGATGTCGCTGCTTCTCTTTGGTATGCTTATTTTTTCCAACCTCTCTCATTTTTTTTTATGAAGTTTATGATAGGAGCAGAACGGAAGTAATATAGTTGCATGTGTATCCAAACAGTGTGAGAGAAAACACCAACAAGAAAAGAAATAACTATTTCATATTAAATACTGTGTCATTTATTCGTACACTGAAAATGGCTGATAGCCAATTGAATTTCGTCGATTTTGATGCGCAAGTATCAACAAAAGATCTGAGTTGCGACTCAGCTTCATTCCTCTGGCTTGCTCTACTCAAAGATGTACTCATTGAACTTCCTCATTATGAACACCATATAACCAATGAACATAACGAGGCATCAGCGAAACAAGAAATGGTTAATCAACTACGTCTGTTTCATGCCAATAACTCAGTACAGTTAAAAAAAAGTCGACGAATTTGAAGAATTCTATGATTGTAAAGAAATGGCTGTTTATCTATATTCAAAAGATGCCTGCATTCATCAGCCGATCAATATTGCTTTACGAACAAAGGATGTTGATGCATTAGTCAGTTATCGCTACTTTATTTCTCATCTCTGCTCGGATTTGACTGATAGGTAAATATACACAAGAATGTCTTTTTCGAAAGTAAATGTAGATTTACAAAATATGAGTAAAAGCACCTATCAAGTGAAACAGTGTTGGAAATAGATATCACAGGTGTAAGTTGAAAAGAAAAGAGAAATAAGTCAATAAGTAACTGATTATAAAGTAGTGCTTGCTGTCCGATGTCGAGCAAAGTTATATTTGGATTCAATACTAGAACTTGATTCACGTAGAAGAAGATTAAGTGATTTTATCACCTATGGATTACCTTGGCATCAGTCACTCTCTACCGAGGGCATTCATTACAACGCATATCTGTGTGTTCAATGGGCAGAATAAACGAAAAATAATATCCTTAGGCACCTATCACCTCTGTATTACGAACACGCTGGGCCTAAAGCCATTTCATTGAGCTCATAACGTTTCTGGTTCATGGGGCTAGCTGTGTTCGCACATCGAGACTGTTCTGTCCCAAAAACATCTCATCTGAGTTAAATATAAACTAGCCAGTACATGTGAGTTCCATGTTGGTAAACACACTGTTGGTCATTTCTTGTGCAAATTAATCACACTGATCATCTCCGAAAATGTTCGCTCGCTATTTTCAACTTCAAGAATTTATCTTTACTTTTTCAAGCGCTGATTGTAGTTAAATAAACTTAGTTTCTTGGGTCCAAAGTTCGCCACATAATACCTAGATTTTATGAACTGACATGCTGGTCACTGGTCAATTCTTCTGACAGCTCTATATCGACTCTACATTGCGTTGCAACTCGGAACATTTTCTTAAAATGTTGTGGGCTTATGGAAACTTATTTATAAACTTGCCAAATCAGTCGTTAGAAGCCAGCTCGAGTTTACTGGGACCGGACTGGAAACTAGGGCTTGCTACTAACTACGTAAAAGTTTTCAATGCAAAAGTCAGATTTTCATTATCCCAAATGAGCTTCTTACCAAATTTGAACTGATATATACATGCCAGACAATGACAGAGATATGGCTTTCACAACATCACGATAGCGTTGAACTCCTGTGGATATCAACTGATTAAGAACCGGAAGGTACTTAAGATAAAGATCCACTGAGCTTCATATGTATCCAAACGATCAGCCCAAAGTCATAAAAAATGAAGCTAATTCAGAGGTGTGGATCGGTTAATTTTGTCCAGAACAGTATCAGAACCATATGATGATGCACTGAGAAAGAATCATGATCATTTATTCATCTAGAGAATCTGATGAATATCGACGATTACATTTCAAATTATAGAACGTCAGTGGAAAGGGCTACATTTTTGCTAATATCGACGTTAAGCAGCATTGCTTTCATAATCAAGTACTTTTCAACATATTTCAATATACGAAGAAGATATATGCTTTTCATATCGAGAATTACACAATTTTATTTTTCGCCTACAAATTTTCTTGATATAAACGATAAAAATATTGAAAAAGAAATATTTTACGAGCAGCCGTGTTAGATAAACAGAATTCCTTACTGAACAATTTAGTCTAATGATGAGAGGAAAGAAATCACAAGTCTCAGAATTTGATAGTCCTATGATTTTCGGTATTTGTTTAAACTTTGTTAACAATGTTGAATACTTGTTCAAATAATGTCTAATCGAACTGCTGAAAAAGCATTGAATGAATCAGCATAGTCTCAATAACCTGACAATGAAAAGCTTGAATGAAAACATACACGTCTGTCGTATTTAGGTGCACCAAGTACCATCAAGACCATCCACACTCATCTGCATTTCATGTTTACCGTGGTCAAATACTATCTGCAAAGGAAATCGATCGACTGCGAACTAATATTAATAATCTCATCGCAATGAATGGTTTTTGTGCAACGAGTCGCGACAAAACAATGGCTGTTAAATTTGCTCGAAATGTTCTATTTGACATTAAAGTTGATCTTGAGAAACATCCAGCGCTGATCTTTGCAGATATTGCTCACCACAGTCAATTCGAGGAAGAAAAAGAAGTGCTATTTGACCTTTCAACAGTATTTCGTATTGAGAAGGTGAGCAAGAGCACCAAAGAATGAAACACAGAACTGTGAACTACAGTATCATCGCGGTCGAATATTGCATTTGTCTAGTTGAATGTTATCTAGTTTTGTGGAACGCGATAGTCCATCAATGTTGAAGAATATAGCGAGTAAATGGGATCTATCTCAACGCCCCACAGAAGAATCGTGACAGACATTTCAGCATGCTGTTTTTATAAATCAGTCACGACCTGTAATACATACAGTACATTTTCTCAGCAATATTACAACGACTCAATCATGTTTTACATTTGAATCATACAGAGATTATGTTTTAAATTCTTTCACTAACGAAAAATACTCGATATTGGTTTTGTCTATTTCAGGTTGTCGACGAAAATGACTCATTGACGTGCATTTACTTATCAGCCAGCAGCGAAGGTCGCGAACTTGTCGATATATACTTGACATTACAACGTGCTGAGATGCCTGAATTCAATTTGGTCATGATGTTCGGCCGCCTTCTCTGCTTTATGGGAGATTACGCCAAAGCCCATAAGTATTTTACATATTTTCTTGAGAATAGTGGGGAAGATAAGCCAAGTTTACATCACAATCTTGCTTTTGTTCATGACAAACAGCAGAACTTTGACGAAGCTCTTCAACATTACGAAGAAGCATGTTCTCTGTTGCAACAAGCCGATCCACCAAGAGTCCAGGAGTTGGCTGTAACACTCAACAATATGGCAGCTGTCTTTTCACAGGTAAGATATAGAATGATGTGAAACGAGTCTACTAGTGATCAAGACAAAGTTGATGAACATGATCAATGATACCATTTTGTTTTATAGCGTGGTGAACACGAACAAGCTTTACACTATTTAGTCGATTCATTGGCAATCCTAAAGGAATTTCATACTGCCGATCATATTGGCATTGCTGGTGCCTACAATAATTTGGGTAATGTTTATCGTGATCTTGGTGAATTCGAAACATCTTTAGAGAATCATCGACTGGCTCATGAGATGTATAAACGAGTTGGTCTGCCGGCCATTCATCCAGATATGGCTGATTGTATTCAAAACCTGGCCATGGCTCATCATAACCTGGGTGAATTCGACGTAGCACGAACGCTGTACGAGGAAGCATTAGCAATACGACGACAATGTCAGTTGGGAACTCACCCAGACATTGCTTCGAATCTCAACGATATCGGATATCTTTTATGTGATGCAGGACAAACCGATGAAGGTTTCACATATTTCGAAAAAGCATACGAATTACGCACAGCCAATCAAGGTACTAGTCGAGTCGATCTTGCCGATAGTTTCAATAATATGGGCGTTGTCAATCGTCATCGAGACAATCTAGCCAGTGCTATTGAGTTTTACATACGAGCTTTGACTATCTATGAGGCGGCATTGCCGCCCGATCACGAGATTATTGCAAACACGCGAAACAATCTTGAACTGGCAAAAGGTTTAGAATTATCAATGAAGTCGAATAACCAACCGCAGTAATATATGAATGCGATCAATTAATGCTCGAAAATAATTTATAGGTCCTTCGTGCGTTTTACTTCACCATAATGAACATGTTTTCAATAACAATTTTATTTCGACTTTGAAATCTATATTCAGCTGGGGCGTGATGTATCTACTTTTAGACGCTGTCATCGAACTACAATGCAGCTCAATTGAATTTCGAGTTTCCTCCTTTTATTTTTTCTTTTTCTTTAATAGACAAAAACTGATTCTGATTTGTCGTTGAAAATAAAGAAACGATTGCCTTTCGGCGGGTATTCGTTCACTTGATCTTTCTATATACGAATAGTATTTAGATCGTATACGACGACATACGGTCGTAATTCTAGGGTCATGTATACGACTGCATTTTTTCGATCTGGGAGCGTAGCGAACATGTACAAGCTTTGCACCATTTGCTTGATTCACTGGCGATCCTAAAGGAATTTCATCCTGTTAATCATACTGGCATCGCTGGTGCCTACAATGATTTGGGTAATGTTTCTCGTGATCTTGGTTGTGGGTGTTCATGTGCGTATAGACGAAAATGATACCTAGAACCATATCCACACCCATCAACGATAATGGGTCTATCCATATTCAGGTCGAATAGAGAAAAAATTTCAACTCTGAGGCATTAAACTTATTATACATTCGACACTCTTTTACCGGTATGTTAAGATATTTTGAATCTTGGACAGAAACCAAAATGAGCAAAACGGATGACCAGTTAAACAAACTGTCTAGCATTCATGGAAATGAATGCCTATGATTATTTTTTAGATACAGTGCGATGCATAATTATAAGACCACTTGTTTTCAAATTAAACCAAATAAAATGAGCGATATTTTTAGTGATTTCACATAGGTTAGTCGTAAGAATAGCACTATAAAATTTTCAAGTGAAAGTCCTTTTGTTTTCATAAATATATAGAATTACCTCGATTTTTGTGGTGCATAATTATAAGACCACGTGGCATATTCATAATAGCAATAGAATCAGAAGTAACTTTTTCTTGAGGTAGCAGATAAAATCAAATTTTTAATTTAATTAAAAGCAGACCGAGAGCAATACAGCTTTGCGAAGGCGAAAAAGGTCTATTTTAGACTTACACAAGAAATACGACTCGCATCGAGAAATTTTACAGAAAATCAACCGATCGAAGACTGCGGTAACAAATTTTTTGAAAGACCCACCTAAATATGAATAAAAAAACGAATTAGCCGTAAAATAAAGGTCGACGCACGTACCAAACGGCTTACCTTAAGAACTGCTAGTAATAAATCACTATCTTATGCCAAAATTATTCACGGTTAAAGCTTGAATATGACAAGATGGACAATGAATCGGGTTATAAACAAGTAAAAAATCTTAAAAAAGAAGTAAAATAAACATTCTCGACCTGTAACAAAAGTGCACAAAGATTTAGGATTAAAGTGGGCTAAGAACCATATGATCTGGAATGATGAATGTATGAGATTGTTTTGTCGGACGAGAAAAAATTTAATTCGGATAGTCCTGGTGGTTTTTCTTATCATTGGCACTATATTCGGGAAGAATAAGAGATTTTTTCAACTCGAGGTTAAGGTGGCGGCAGCCTTATGATTTGGGTATTTTTTCGTTGGGGTCGTAAGGGTTCAATATGCTTTTAGATGAACAGATGAATTCAAATGGACATCGAGAAGTGCTGAAAAATCCTCTAATTGACGTTGCTAATTCGATTGGTGGACATGATTGAATTTTTCAATAAGAGAGTAATCCTGTCCATCGGGCGAAGGTCAATCTTACTTCGTTCAACTCTCAAAAAATCCATATCCTATCATGGCCATCATTATCTTCTGATCTAAATCTGATTAAAAATTTGTGGGAAATACTAGTAAGGAAGATCTATGCTGACAGAAAGTAATTTAGAACAAAAGAACAGTTAAAAACTGCTATAAAAAATCACGAGAGGAAATAAGCATAGATCAGCTTCGGAACTTAGTCAGTTCAATGCCAGAAAGAATATATGAAGTTACTAAGTTAAATGGACCAAAAACACGCCATTGGTTGTTATTTTGTGTTTCGCGTTTTGTATTTCGTTTGATGTGGTCTTATAATTATGCACCGCATTGTACATATTATAGAAGATATCTGCAATAACAAGAAGGAATGCAAATGAAAGAAAAGAGCTATAGATTTCATACGTTTATATTTATTTTGATTCAGATATTCCATGAAAAAATACAAGCGACCAACCTAAAAGACATGGAAAACTTTTTCTTCTTCTTTCAGATTTAGCCCATAGAATCTATTTATAAATTTAGGATCAAGATTATGGCTCCTATTGCTTTTTTCTAGGCTGCTTTCGAGGAACTCGTTGAACGTGAAGACTGTATGTTATGTAGCATATTATCAGTATCAAATATTGATCGAACACCACATTTTTGCTTTAGTATATTATTCTGCCAATTTTGAAAGTTTTTTTTGTATATCGATATCATTTATTTGATGTAGTCTTTCTGGTGTGAGAAGTCCATATGGTATCAATTATTTTTATTCACTCTTAGCATTACCTCATGAAAATAAAAAAACTGGTTGAATTAAAGATCATCTTTAAAACTGATTTTTTCAACCAGAATAATGCAGAGCACTGATGCAGTAAATGATGTATTTCAATCAATAATACTACTGTTTTTGTTGTATAATAATCATGCTCTGTGTCGATAGTAAATTCGGTTATTTTTCCGGCTAGTAGTTCACTTAAATTATGCAAAAGGATAGCAGATGTTGATCGATTTATAAGATAAATTTTATAATTATTTAATAGAGTAAATACTGGTAATATAAGTAAGTCAGTATTTAGTTGACTTTTTCGAAGAGCTCTTCTTTGTCAGAAAAAATAATAACTAGTTTACTTGTTGTTTGATGAGGATGAAATGGTCACTGACGTTTTATAGAAAGAAAAGTAATAATTAGAAATTGATCTAGAAAATATTCCATAACAGTTTTCTATTATAGAAAAGTCTTTTAAATCAGCAAAAACACACAAAACAATAAACAATATTTATTTATTTATATCTAATATTAACATCATAGATATTACTGCGATACATATATTCAAAACAATCCATGATACCATTGATCTCTGGTTAGATAATAGAACATTTACAGACTGTACGTTTATCGGCGTTAGTAGAATTTTGTACTTCTGTATTGATAAATTTGGATGTTGATTGAATTAACTGACCCTTATCGTCAAATTATTGAAGTTGATCAGAAAGTTTGTGTTACGTCTTAATAGAATTGAATCAGTTATGACAAAATTTGTCATGCATGGTTTGATCTCTTGAATAGCACATTGAATGAAGATGAAAAAAATAAAAAAACTTGTTGCAAATGAGTTTCAACAAATTGTAATGAATAAGCATTGGTAAGATAAGTTAATTTAAGATAAATACACTCGAGATTAAAATCTTCGACTGACGAACAATAATAAACAGCTCGAATTAAAGCTGATTGAATGTAATCACTATCCTGCCATAAATATGTTCTCTCTTTTTTCCTTCGGTTTCATTCCATCACGTTTACAATCATTCCATTCTTTTTCTCATATCTATTCTATTTAAGCCAGTGTTAGTGTTTGAAGAAGGAGATTATTATTTCTTGTCATAATGTAAAAAGAAGAAGATTATAATCGATTAAAGACTAACATAACACAAGCAAGTGCTAATATGTCAAATTTACAAATTCAACTAAGTTAGTTGAACTAACTATACTTATTGGACTCAAATTTTAACCAGTGGAATAAATTGTACTCAACATGTTAAACAAATGGTTGAATATAAAGCGTTAGAACTTTTTGAACAAATTACTTCTCCATCTCAATGGAATACTCATTTATTTCTAAAAGCAAAAATGAAATCATGTAGCACAAAAACTAAAAATTATCTAACCGCAACAAAAGATGTTGAATATGATTTTACATTTAAAATCGCTGAATCAATATTAAATAAAGATGAAGCTCAAACATTATACAATCAAATGCGTCAATTAACTAAAGATTATCGTACTCAAGCGATGTCATTGTATTTACAATCGACTACTCGTGAACAAGAAATACTAGCAGATGAAATTAAAAAAATATTTTTGTAGGTTTTCCGAAAGAAGAAAATGATTCAATAATAATTGATGCTGAAGACGATTCAGGTTATATTGAATTTAAACGTTAGAATGAATTACGTGAAAAACGAAATAATTTAGAAGCTGAGCCATCCCTTTATTTTTTAAAGGTAAAGCGAGGATTTCTCGCTCTAACTATAATAAATAAAGCAAAAGCAAAATTAACCGAGGACGAATATCAATTATTAAAATTAGGTCCTCGATTTATTTATAATGATCCAAAAGCGGCTTCGAGACGACGAACAACTGAATTGACTGTATTAAAACGAAAAATTGAAACTCGATTTTTCGAAAAAAAGTGGACCCCGGTAAAGTTGTCAAACAATTTCTAGCCGAATTGGATAGTTTATTAAAGAATTTACATGATACACCTGCTAGAAGAGCAACTCGACAATATGAACAACAACGTGAAATAATTTCTTATGACAATTTATTACAAACAATTCATTTGAACCAGTGTTAAATTACGAAATGTTCAATTAGTACTGAAAAAAAGAAAAATTATTCTAGATTGGTTAAACGGTTAAAACAAAAGCTTCGTTATGCTAGTATAGTTTTGTAAAAAAAACAGATAAATCTAAAGTTTTTCATTTAGATAAATTGCAAGATTATCACAAAAAACCAGATGAGTATATGGAAAAAACTGAAGTATATGAACGTTTACATCAAAATGATCCATTACCAAATTTAATAGAACATACAAATAAATATTTATTAAATTTAAGATTGAAACATTGGATTACACAGAGACAATATGAACAATTAAGCGTTAAACCAAATGAAATGAAATTAACCCATTTATATTATCTACCAAAAGTCCATAAACTTGGCACTCCACTTCGACCAATATTGTCTCTGGATTCAAACATCCAACTATAAAAATATCAAAATTTCTCGACGGATTACTTCGACATTCATTTGATGGAATGGCATCAAACACGACTGTGACTTCTGGAACTGAAGTTATTAAACTGTTACAAGAATGGTCAAAATGTAATATACGTCAAGAAACTTTACTATGGACAATGGATGTGATGGATCTTTACACAATGATACCACAAACAGAAGGTTTTTTGTCAATTAAAAAAATGTTAGATTACTTAAACATTAAACAAATTGATGGTTTAAAAATGAAAACCATTATTCGTCTATGTAGATTCGTAATACAAAATAATTACTTCTCTTACAATGGTAAATATTATCATCAAGTACGAGATGGTGCTGTATGGATTCACCGTTAACATTAACAACTGCTAACTGCTACATGTTCTTTTTTGAACGAGAAATCGTTAAACAAATTAGCAATAGCAACGTACTCTATATACGATACATCGATGATATATTTATTACCATCAACTGGCCTACTCAATAATTATCGAAACAAATCGATCGATGGATCAATAAATTCGACGTTAACATTAAATTAAAAGCTCAAGTTGGTTATACAACGAATTTTCTTGATTTAAAGATAGAAAATAAAAATGGTGTGTTATTTACAGAAGTATACCACAAACAATCTTATGAGCCGTACTATTTACCATTCAATAGTACTCATCCTATCCATATGAAGAAAAATATTCCATTTGAGATGTTAATTCGTGCTATTGAATATTGTTCAACATTTGAAGCATATTTATATGAACGTGAAAAATTAAGAGTGGCTTTATTGTTATTAAATAAATACCCTGGCGAATTTTGAGAGAAACAATTCAACCGTGTATTTCAAAAATACGATATGAATCAGTTAAGATCGAATAAAAATTATAATACATTACGACCCAGGTCAATGATTCCGGAGGACGGATACTGTAGGAACCGGCCGGAAAGATGCGGAAAGTTTATTCATTTTGCATATTATTTAAACATGAAAATATTCCCGGTAGAATTTCATACCCTTTGGAACAAATACTTTATAGGATCGCCAATAAATGAAATAAAACTGGTTTTAGGAACTCGTAATGTTAAAAACTTACAACAACAGTTAATACGTAATAAATAAAATAATAGAATATTTATAAAATTTCTTTTAAGAAAATGAAATAAAGGTCAACTTAAATTACTTTAAATTAAAAAAACGTTTTTACAGGAATGAAATTATAATCTTATGTAAAAGTTAACATGTAACAAATTGATTTTGAACGTGGTCGCAGATCGCAACTCATATAAGAGTCGAATTAATTTAAATAACAGCCGAAATCTTGTGTATCATTTTTCAAGCTAGCACATCGATTTTATTTTATTTGTCTGTTTTTGTATCTTTGAAAAAACGTTTTTGTTTTTTATTTTACTGGAAATATAATGTAATGCAGAGCCCTGATGAGTGTTTAATATTTCAATTAATAACACGAAACGCATCGACAAATTAAACTCTGCATTTCTTTAATAATTCTTTACAACAAGCACAATAATTTGTTGTTTTAGCACATTTATTTAACTTTGACAAAACAATTGAATGCTGAAAAGCAAGAGTTGAGAATAGCAGATTGCGACTTTTATCTATTCTTTCAACATAGATAGGCCAACCTGTTTTTTATCGAACAATTATTTCCAATGATATCGAAAATGTGGATCAAAATAGAAATCATTTTTTTCTCGATAGATTTGTCATTCTTAAGTTGTAAAAAGCTACTTAAAAGGTGCAGAATGTAAGATTCGAATATTGGTAAAGAAAAGTCAAGTAAATTAAGCACTATTATCCTTCTTTCATACAAGAATACTGTGGAATGAACATTATTGATTTTAGATGTAATGGCAATTTTTGCAAGTAAAATATTCATTCAAGAGAAACTGTAATCACACATTTTGTAAAAAATAGAAAGCTTTTCTCTAATAATAACATTCAATATTTCGCAGCCTGAAACAGATTACACTTTGAACGAAATAAAAGTTGTGATATTTTGGAAATAAAAGACTTATATTTATTTGAGCAATAAAAATATTAGAATCAGCAATAACCAAATTTGACCATATTTATATTGAATGACTAATAGTTATATTGAATGACTAATATAATTATATTGAATGGGTAATAATTAATTAAAACTAGAGATAAGTTGTACATAAAAAGGGCAATATGGGTTGGCCTATTTACACAAATAGGTATTTTTTCAATTTAATGAAATAGAACAAATAGTCTATACAAATGCCTGAATCATAAAGCGTTGTGCAGTATATTTCTGATTGTGAAGGCGACAGTGATATGAAACTGCATTCTTCTAATAACAGTGAGGAGGTTTAAAATAGGCAAAAAATACAAAATAGACCAAAATGGGTTTGAGTCTTAGGTAGGGCCCATTGGGTCCGGGTCTAAAAATTTCACTGATCGAATGTGGTCTGACAGAAAAATTTGATGCTTATAATAATAATTTGTCAGTTTTTGTGAATTTTCGTTCGCTTTATTCAAAAAAATCTTCATCTTATTGATAAAAAGTAGAAGATTTTTTTGTCCTATCAGAAAAATTCCTTGAGAGTATTGAGAGTACGTTTAAATTCTGGACCCTGAAGTAATTAAGCATCAAGAGTCCAGATTCAAAACTCCTGATTCACCGGGTCCGGTTCGACTTCAAAAACTTTTAATCAGTCGAGTACGGGTCCTGGCCCGGCTCCATAAATGTTTTGATCTGATGCGCTCTAGTGTGGGATGCAGTTTTCCTCTTAAATCATAATAAGGGGGAAAAAAGCTCATTCCGAGTCATTCGAATGGCTAGGAATGACTGGGAATGCTCGAATGAGATTTCCCCCCTCCCCCCTTGACTCATACCCACATCCACACGTAACAGAATCGAAAAATGTGGAAATTGGTACAAAAAGAAAAAAGGCAGACTATCGAAAGCAAAAATGTTGTTATTGACACAATGATTGATATCATTTTCTTTCCTTTATTTACCATTGTAAAAAAATACTGCAGTTTTTCTTTCTTTTTGCTGTCAAAATATGAAATTATTACATGTTATTTCATGAGTTATTTATGGCACATTCAATGTTATAGGATGGCGTGTAATTATTACTAAATCGTATTTTAATTATTGAGCGTTCCAATATTTTTATTGTTCAAATAAATGCAAACCAAAGATAAAATATAATTACTTGGTAAGTGATATTGAAATAGCACGAATTTTTTTATGGTATATTTGTAATGACTTGTGCATCGTATTTATTGCTGACGAAGTTGCTTTATTTTCCCCCACTTACTTAAGTTTACTCGAATCAGTGGACTGCCATTCTCAATAAGAAAGCAGCATGTTTTCATAAGTAACGTTCGTCACTGGTTGGATTTTCCCTCTTTTTCTTCCTCTTTCTTTTTGTTTTACGTTGTTACGATCAAAACAAAAATAGTCGTTGATATTTGCGTAAACGAATTAGTCACATGTAAATTGTCACGTTTCTTTTTGATGAGTAAAAGAAACAGTGATTGCTTTACCTCAAGTATGATAAATGACTCTAAAAGTTAGAAAAGCCGCTGCAGTTCTGATAAGGCTCTAAGGAATAGAAGAGTTGAGGGATGACATAATCCCATTACACTGGTTAATAAATTTTTCTTCACACAAACCTACCAATTATTCATTGAAGTTACTCAAACATTCCTCAAACATTCGGTGTATTACCCCTCTGGTACCGAATTCGATACCACACGATATCACTACATGTTAACAGTTGAGGAATTTGATTTGTGTTGATGTATTACCAGTAGAATATCAAAGTTGACGCGTTGGTGGTAATATCCCAAAACGAATTGGATGGGTCTTATGACGCCGAAATCTCGATGCCCAGTGTAACGATCTTATGACATCTATGAAAGAGTCCGTGTATAATAGAAAAGGTGACAGTTAAGTCCAACAAAAGTCCTCTGGAAGGAAAGAAAAGTCCCATTAAGAGAAAAAAGAATGATAGAACTATATAATATCAATGTGATAGTTTCGGCCTTTTCCCTTGACTAATAAAGTCCTTTGTATTCGTTAACGGACGTTTTTGCGTAAAGTGAACACTTTTAGCATCTTTGACACCCCTCTCTTACAAGATGCTGTGCATCATTTTATAGAAGAATTTCAACAACTAGATTTACTGTACAACCAGATTTCAAAGTGAGCTAATTTTGCTCTCGAGATCGTATTGATTTCAGAAATTTCCACTTCACGGAGGTACGTAAAGAGTAGATATAATAGAAGATCACAGAGCTGGTAAGTTGTTAAAGAATAGAGCTTGGAAAAAGATTCTCACGACTATCTTTGCTAGAATTTTCTGTGTTTGGAGTATTGATATTCTAATCTTTGAAAAATAAGTCTATCAATACACTAGACGTAACTATTTGTACTGAATTGTGGAAACACTACCTTATTTTCTGTTGAGCCAACTGAACATCAAATATATTAAGAACACATACTTTCTAGTTTCACTTAGCACCCATTATTTTCATAAAATCGAGTATACTTTTCTTATTTTGATGTAGATACCAACACAACACGAAGACATGTTGTCCACGGAAAGAACTGGTTCCAAGCCCAGAGATTCGTCATCTGAATCCGCTGTGGCTTACGATTTTTTTAAAGGACCCAAACATTTATTAATTTTGAAGTTACCTCTATTATTAATTGCACTTGGACTTTACATTCTTTGGTTAATTGGAAAATTCTTACTAGTACGCTTGGCTCATATGTGCTACAACATTATAATATATTCTTCTTCTGTCATTGAGAAAATGTTCTATTGCATAAACCTAGCCTACAAAAGGTTTCCCGAATTTGCTCAATATTGGACGCTGGAGTTTTACGACAAAATATTACAACCCATCAGAATTTTCATTGCCAGCCGTATGCTTCCAGCAATTTTTTATGAACTTAAATTGATTGCAAATGATACAATTCGGTTTGGTATCCACTTGTATCAACACATTATTTCACCAACGATAATTTCCTTTTATAGACATACCATATTACTTATTGCTAGACTATTCAGATATGCTTATAGTAATTTTCGCAATTTCATCTATTTCTTGTGGAAGATTCTTCAGGAAACATCCGTTTGGATATGGCAAAATATCGTCGAAACACTCTATGCAGTGATATTCCCTCGCGTACTGTTGACTTTCGCTCATATCATTGAGAGAATCTGTTCATTTGTCTACATACAAATCTTGGTACCAATTTACAAACTACTGGCTTATATCAGATCCGTATGCCCACACATGTTACATCAATCAATTTTTTATGTTACTCAGAAATATTTGCAAACCATTGCTGAGCTCTTTCGTATATGTACGGTCATGTATCACCACGTTCTGGTGCCTCTTTTTCATCGTCTATCCATGATCTGTTCAAATTTCTATACTCACGCATTAGTACCAATTTATAGGCTAATGACTTACATCATATCCGTTACTCCGCACATATTACATCAGTCAATTTTTTATGCTACTGAGTATTTTTTGCATGCTGTTGGCAAGCTTTTTCGTGTTTTTCCAGTCATGTATCATCACGTTTTGACGCCTATTTTTCGTTATCTACCAACGATCTATTCAAATCTTTTCAATCACGTATTAGTACCAATTCACAAGTTACTGGCTTATATCATATCCGTTTCTCCGCACATGTTACGTCAATCAATTTTCTACTCTACAACATATTTTGCACGAGCGAATGCGGAGCTTTTTCGTGTACTTACAGTCATGTGTCACCATGTCCTGATGCCTTTTTTTTATCGTCTATCCATGATCTGTTCAAATCTCTATAATCACGTATTAGTACCAATTCAGAAGTTACTGGCTTACATCATATCCGTTTCTCCGCAGATATAACGCCAATCAATTTTCTACGCTACAGCGTATTTTTCACGAGCGAACGCGGAGCTCTTTCGGAGATGCACCACCCTGTATCACCACGCCCTGGTCCCTTTTTTTCATCGTCTATCTATGATATGTTCAAGTCTCTACAGTCAAGTCGTATTACCAGCAGGAAAACTGTTGATTTACACATCATCACTAATTCGGCATAACTCATACCGATCAGATCTCTATCGAATTCGGCGTATGTTGGCGACGCATTTGTACTTGCTGTATAAATCTATATTAGTGCCATTAGTTGAAGCACTATCTACGGTATTAATATTATCCAAAAGTATATTTACGTATATTGTAGAGATGGCTCATGATTTGATAAATGTGACTCAGCGCATAGTCTCAGCAACATACAAGACTGTCGTATCTGTTATGCATACTTTTTATGACTCGTTGGAGATCACACTTTTTCTCCAGAGAATTATATTGGCATTTAAAAATAAAACAAACTAGAAAAATGTTTTTAGCATTTCACTTTTATGGTTCTATATGAATGAATTCACAAAAAGAAAAAGAACAGTGTTACATTAGAACTGATGAGGATATGATTTCTCATCTGTTATAAGTGTCGCTGTCCGATAACATATTGTGTTACTTTTTCTTTCGTTTCTCTTATAAACTTCGTCAACATTTCGACTCATCTTGATTTCTTATTCTTGTTGTTGTCTTTATTTCCTCGTCTTCAACAAACGAAGATTGCTCTGTTGTTCGTTTTTTTAAATAAAGATTCATTCGCCTATTTTTGCTTAACTTTGAAACAAACAAAATATTAATATATTTAACTAGTTCAGAGCAAAATTTTCTTCTCAACTGAAATTCTAGCTTAAAATTTGTTAACTATGACAGAGAGACTAGAAATGTTTCAAATGAAATGAAATATGTATTTCATGTTGAACATTCTATGAAGGGTGTGGGTGTGGGTGAGAAGAAGTATCACACACCCTCAAGCTATTATCATGATTAGTGATGTTTTCAGAATATTTGATTCTTGATATCTCTTGGTGAAAAAATTCTCCTGAGCAACTAGTAAACATCGTTCTAATTCTTGTTTTCCAATCATATTTTTATTCTAAATCTTCAACAATGATTTCAACATTTTTTAGTCGAATTATAAATATTCATCAGTAGAACGCATCTGCTTGATACTATCTCTGAAAACATTCGATTCAACAAGTCAGAGAACACTAAAAAAATGGTATTCGATGATAATAATTTCATTGAAACCGTCAAAATATGATCCAAATTGTATAATATCCAATCATTGCTGAACTAAACTTTATATTGTCATGTCTTAATATATGATAGTTACTTCGATTTCAGCCAAAGATATTCAAAAGGGAACGCTTCTTTATTTGGTACGAAAAAATTGAAGCCTCATGTAGAACTTTTATAATTAATGACATTAACAAAATTTCAAAACGAGAATATAAAAGAACGTTGTCATGAATGGTGCATACTTTCACATATGTTGTCGAATCAATCTTAAAATTGAGAAATAAGAAAATATTTATTTTTTCTTCCATTCTCTGTGAACACGCCTAAGAAAAGGTCTTATGCTGTGGTACAAAACTCTCGAAAGAAAAGCACTTAGAGAAAATTGATTTGAATCACAAAATCAAAACTTTGACCGGCAAATAGTGATGAATATTGTTTGATTTTATTAAAAGAACATTTCATTTGTCATTCAAAGAAAACCTGGAAAAAAGTCAAATTCTTTTTTTTCAAATTCGATTTTATTTTGTTTACAATATAATGACATACAAAATACTGGACAAGTATTGTATTGATGTCTAATAGTAATCATTTCTATATAGTTCGCCGAATGATTTTAACAAGTGTCGTTGTCTTTTCTCTACTTCCTTTTGAATATCGAATTGAACTTATACGACCATGAACACGTAGGCTGAATTGCCTAAACTTTCGATACATTTACGTTTGTCACCTAATGACATATTTCTTTTATTTTAATAGCAACGAACTACATTTTGACTTTGTTTGTCCTACCATGTAGATTGTCGTTTAAGTTAGATTCTCTTTTTTATTGAAAATTATTTATTCAATGAGAATAACTTCTCTCTTCAGTTCCTAAGCTAAAACTTCATAACTGTAAACAATGAATTCCTATGTATTCTATGCATTTTTGAAATTCATCAGAAACCTTATATATACATATAAGTATGTATCACAATACTTTTCATGGACAGAGTCTTTGTATAGAATAGTTAGTTTTTTTTTCTTCGCATTTATTTACTTCTACTACCAGCTATCATTGAATGCTATTATATTGTATTTTTTTTATCGATCGACATAAAAAGAAAAATGCTGTGTAAGAAGAAAAAAATGTCCATTGCTGATGGCTATTACCTAAAGTGACTGTTTGAAAGTCTCTATTATGTTTGATTGTTTAAATTTGTTTAGAACATTTATTTTTTTTTGCATAAGAAATATTTTTCTTCTTCTTCTCCTCCTCATTCTTCGTTTCACTATATAGTTTTCTTTTGAAAACTAATGCACTTGAGCATCGAATAGGCTGTGGATGTTTGAAGACAAAAGAAAAAAGAAGGAGGAATATTGAAAATCGACATTATTTGTTTTTGATCATATGCAAAATTAAAAAGAGAGTGAAAACAATAATAACTTTTTTCTGATAGAGCATATTTTTTCAATTGTTTCATTCAACACATAATATGGATTTCAACAGTTGGACGGTAACATCATTTGGTAATCAATCAGTAAAGAAGAGCGATGTACTATCACCATTACCTAATACACCTAAATTACCAAGGATTATCTTGCGAAATGCCATGGGGTTTGAATTGAAAACAGAAACATCTTTTCAAAATGCAATTTATCGAGCTAAAACAAAAATATTAGAACCAAATCGACGTTTGACTGACATCGAATGGCGGTATAAAACCATATATAGATTTCAAATTTTATTCAGACAATAAAATATTCTTTAGATTACCGCATGCACCAGTTCCATCACGGCCAGATTATTCACGTTCATTAGAATATGATGATTTTCGTTCAATGAAAAAACCACCAAAAATACCTGATCCACGCAAAGTCGAACATATGGATATGTCATTTTGGGTATTTACCTATTTGTTTTGTCTCTGCTAATTATTTTTACAACCACAACTCTTTTATTCATAGGATTATCTATTACCTGATAGAAGATTGGATCAAGCCACGTAAATTTGCACTCGTCTATTTTTTCTTCTTCTTCTACTGTTGTTTTCATTTTTGATAGAGTTAGCTCTCGAACGTTACGAAAATATTATAGGAGTATGGAAACAGTACCACATCCTGAATTTATGGATAATTTTGATTCATTCAAAAGTGTCAAACAACTGTTTTTATCGATTGTATCAACTTCATCTTCTCTAGACAAATTAGTTGATAATTTTGGATTTGCAGATAATCGCAAGTAAAAACAAACAAACATATATAATGATTTTAAAAGCAAAATGTTGATTGAATTCTTCTTCTTCTTCTTCTTCTATAGGAAAATGATTGTAACACAAGTGCTTACAAATTTACTGCGAGGTAACTTTTCTTCATTAGAAGATATACCAGCCAGTGTTCGAAACGAAGCTTTATTGGATCTAGCAAAATTAGCTGGTGATGGAAAATTACCGAGTAAAATAAATTTAATATCGATTAATAAATTTTTTTCTTACTTATAAAATCGCTATTTTTGTTTTCTAGTTGAAATGCAACAAAAAGTATTTGCTGAATTAGCAAAAAATTTGCATTCATTACCACCAGAGATGCGAGCAAAAGGTTGAAAATATTTTATTTATTTTTATTTAAACAGTATTCTGTACTTAAGGCATAAATCAATAGGAAAATATTATTTTTATAACCCTAATGTCTTGAAGAAAAATAGAACGATAAAGTACTTTACGTGAATCGTTCAAATACTTTAAGGTTTCATAAAAAATAAACATATATATATATATAACATATTGACAAAAAGATTCTATATACAATGAAATACCAGATGCTTTTCGTATTTGTTTAAAAACTTGATCAATTTTTTTCCAGTGAACTTTAAAGAATCCAATAGAATACTCTCAAGTGCCTAGACAAAACTGGAATATATTTCTGACATAGTTAAAACATGAAATTCAGTGATAAGACCCGATCTTAAATGTTGCGAAGAAATATTCACGATAAATTTATTTTTAAAAATGAATGTAGATTCAGCTAGATTTTTCTCTAAATGACCAAGAGAAGATCCAAAGAGAGATCACACGAGAGTCGAAGGCATCATTCCTCTTCAATATTAAAGAAAAAATACTTTCCAGCTCTCATTGATTGTATAATGAGCCGTTCTAATGTAATTTTTAGTGACGGAACAATTGATCAGATCTATCGAAAGTGTTCCACCTGAAGCTCGTGAACAAGTTATCCAACATATACTTAGTAACATGGAAACTTTATCTGTAGAAGATCGTCAAAAAGTTTTGCACGATCTTGTTAAAACATTTTCCTCAATGCCGGCCGAAAGTAGAAATGCATTTGTGGCCAAAGTTATAGAAAACATTGATAGTTTACCACCTGATGCTAAAATACAACTATTACAAGATCTCTTACGTGATGCTGACACAATGCCACCAGGAATGCGTGATAACGTTTTACAAACTCTTCTCGATAGTCTTGACAACTTACCACCAGAAGAACGTCAACGTGTGCTAACTGAATTAACACAAAATCTTGGTACACTTCCAGCAAATATTCGCCAACAATTACTTGACAAATTATTGGAAAAATCTGAAGATCTACCAGCTGAATTACGTGATCAAAGTAAATTGTGTTCTATCGAATAAAAATCAATACTATGTTATTTTTTATTTTGTAAATAGTGTTTGCTGCAATATTAAAAAATGTTACTGGAATGCCGGAAGATTTAAGACGTAAAATAGTTGTTGAATTATTAAAAAACGTCGACAATATGGATCCAACATTACGACAAGATGTTATGAAAGAAATTCTCGATAATTTAGATTTAATTGATGAGGCAATGCATGCGCAAATAGTACAAAATTTTGCTCAAGCATTGGATGGTGTACCATCTGAAGAACGTGATGACTTACTCAAGAAAATTATTGAGAGAACTTCAAAATTGGCCGATCCAGAAATAAAACGGCAACTTATTGAAGACATTCTACGAAATCCAGCGAATCTATCTGCAAATGCATTTCAAGAATTAGTTAAAAATGCTGGTGACTTACCACCGGATTTACAACAACGCCTTTTTGAACAAATTTTAGAAAGAAAAGGTGATTTACCACCGGGTGTATTTGAAGAAATTCTTCGACAAAATGCTAGTATACCGCAAGCTATTATTAGTCAATTAATTGGATCAGTTGATAAATTAGCACCATCGTCATTAGCAGAATTAGCTAAACATCTGAATGTTTTACCAGAAGAAGTACGAGCAAAGTTACTTGTTGATGTTATGAACAAAATTGACACTTTTGATCCTGAACAAAAAGCAGCTTTTATTGGTGAAATGTTAAAAAATCCTGCAACGCTTAATCCACAACAGTTAGATAATTTAATGAGAACATTAAATGAACTTGATCCTGCATTAAAAGAACAAGTTATGCAAGGTTTAGTCAATGATTTGGATAATTTGCCACCGAGTGTTAAAGAAAAATTGGTAAGACTCATTTCTTTTTGAGGTGACATTTACATATAGTATATGAAATGTGACGAGAAGATTTAAGTAGAACTCTTCATATTATTCCGAAGTTCCAAGACTAAACTGACTGCACATGCTGAAGACAGTCCTTAAAAATATCGTCATAGTAGTCGAGTAATAATTGACTATTAGCTTTCCAGTACGAACCATAGAGTCGGCCATGAGCCTAAACTCAACTGAAATCACTCCAGCCTAAAAATTTTGTGGAAACATTACGAATCTGTCGATTTCATAAGTAATGATATATATTGAGTTTTTGATTATGTAGTCATTTTCAATTTTATTCCGAAAAGATTAGTCTATTCAATGAAAAATAATTACATATTTATTCGTTTATAAATAGATTCAAGATTTGCTGAATAGCAATTCTGATATAGATCCAGAAACTCGTGCAAAAATGTTGGCCAAAATGTTAGAAAATCCCGATAGTTTAACTCAAGAACAACGAGCAAAAATTAGCAGTCAAATAATGAGTGAAATTGAAAATATAAAAGATCCTGAAGTAAAGAAAAAACTTATCAATGATATGTTAAGTAGTGGACAAGATTTATCACCAGAAATCATGTCTCAATTAATATCAAATATTACCGATTTACCAGCTGCTGAACAAAAAGAATTACTAAAACAAATCTTAGACAAATTTGATGAATTACCTCCAGAAATGAAAGAGAAATTAGTTGATGATTTACTTAAATCAGCAGCAAGTAAATTTTGGTGTTTTGGTTTTTAATTAGTTAATATCTACCAATAATATATTCGTCTATTCTATAGGTATGCCACCGGAAGTTCAAAAACAGATGATTTCTGATATATTAGAGGAAATGAAAGATTTACCACCTGAGGAACGTGCTAAATTGATGGAAAAAGTTCTCGATAATCCAAATTTAGATCCATCCGTACGAGCAAAATTAATGGAAGCAATGCTGAATCAAGTTGATGATTTACCACCTGAAGAAAGACAAAAATTATACGAAAAAATGCTAGAAGATGTTGATCAGCTTGGTAGGTGAAAGCTAAAGGCCGTATTTTTTCTTTTAGTAATTATTCTTTCTAGATCCTAAGACAAGAGCAAAATTAATGGAAGCAATGCTAAAAAAGGCTGATAATTTACCGCCTGAAGAAAGACAAAAGTTACTCGATAAAATGCTTGAAAATAGTGAAAATCTAAATCCTGCTATGCGAAACAAGTTAATGGATGAAATGATTAAAAATATTGATCAAATGCTGCCAGAAGACCGAGAAAAATTTCTAGCTGGTTTGTAATTCTCTTTCTTAGAAGATAAATATATCTTTATTCTTTTTCTTTTGAAAAGATCTTGTTAATGATCCGAGCAAAAAAGATTTATTAAAAGATTTACTTAGCAATGGAAAAATAAGTAGTGAAATGAAACAGAAAATCGTAGATGAAATGACAAAAAAGCCAATTGATCCATCGACATTACTTAGTGTACTTAAAAATTCGAAAGAAATTCCGCAGGAAATTCTCGATAAAGTCATTGAAAGTGTTGAAAATATGTCAGCAAAAGAATTAAATGATCTAGCAAAGAAATTAGATACTTTACCGCCGGAAATGAAACAACGTGTTATGAAAGAAATGATGCGCAAAATACAAACTCTTGATCCAAAACAACAATCAAATATTATACGAGATATGTTAGGAAACGCTTCTGATATAGATCCGAAAGTTATAGCAGAAATAATCGTAAGATTTGTTTCTTTCTTCTTTCACTATTACAATTAAATCAATTGTTACTATTTTGGTGTCTTTTAGAAAGGTGTAAAAAATTTAACTCCAACAGCAATTAAAGAATTATTTACTAAAGCTGATAAACTTCCACCTGAAGCATTAAAAGAATTATTGAAACACATGGATGAAATTCCACTAAATGTTCTTGAAGATTTAGTTAAAAATGTCGACCAACTACCGCCTGAAGTTATTGCAGCGTTACTTGCTTCAAACAATCTTCCACCAGCTTTACGAGAAAAATTGTTGCATGAAGTTACTACAAATAAGAAATTGAAAGACAAATTACAAAGTCAGAAATCAGATTTTGTATTATGGCAATATTTGATATCTATATATATCTATTTATTTTAGGTTTAGATCCATTATCAAAAGGTGTAGAAGGTCATTCGAAAATTGTACCGAAAGCAAAACCAGAAACCAAAAAACCTAAACTAGTTCGTACAAAAAGAAAGAAAGAATATTTATCTATGTATATCATTCATTTTATGTAAAGGATTTACCACCAATTTCAAAAAAGATATCAAAAAAACTCGAAGATCTATATGGACGTCTATTTGGTAAAGAGGTACGAAATAGGTCTATTGTCAAGATTATATGACTTTTCAAAAAATTATTTTCCTATAGGGTTCTACTCATCTTGATGCTGATTTGGAAGTATTAGCAAATATTGATGAAAGCGAATTAGAAGCCTTATTACAAGATCCAGAATTTCTTAATTTGGATCCAAATCTACCACCTGAAGTTCGTCGTAAACTTATTGAAGACATAAGGTGTGTTATTTTGTCAAGATCATTTCTTATTATATATATATATATATATTTAATAATAGAAAAAAACGAGCTAAACAACGTATTATCGAAGTACCACCGTTAACAAAAGATAAATTACAAGAAATCGATGACCCATTAGATTATCTTTACAAATATTGCATTATACAGTCAGCTTATTTCATGACTATTTTCATTGTGTTTTTAAAAGTTTTCTTTTTCACAGTCCGGATCGTATGGCTAATTATGAACGCGTCTTTTTAAATGCCATTAAAAAACAAAAACCCAAATTCGAAGGTCAAAATCCACCAGAAAGTACAACGAAATTAATTAATTTAAAACGAACGCACGCAGAGGGTGGCTCATGGACGAATGTTGGCGGAGGAAGATATTTAAATGACCCGAAACAATATCATGCACTTGATTCAAGCGATGAAGATGAAGAAAATGAGTAAATAGAAATACTCTTTCGTCATGTTTAATTAATTTCAATTTTTTTTTCTTTTAGCACTCCAAATATAAGTAAACAGCGTGTTGGCCCCAATATGGTGAATTTCGAAAAAGAAATACGTGACGCAGCTTTTGATATGGATGTACCACCAATGAAAGTAATGATATTATAACAAAAATAATGAGCATCTATTACAGATAGAATCGGTTCCGAAAAAAAAGAACATTGAACTGATTTCATTCCTGTTTTGAATTGCCAATTTCATCATCTCATTCATGTTGTATAAATTTATGTTGTACTCCCTCGTTAAAGAGGTCGAGTAAGAATATAATAGGTACATTGTAGTATAGGATCCAAGCAGCAAAACACAAAATAGAATTACGAGTAGTTTTAATTGGTTAATAGATGAGGAAACATCGGATTCGCATCCGATTGTTATGTGTACTGCAAAAGCTGAGTCAATTTATATATATTGTGAATAATTCTAAGAAAAAAAATTTTTTTTTTTGAAAAAATCCCTGTACTTTCCTCAGGGATGGTCTGGTCAATACTGACAATTTTTTCGATAGCTCAGCCATTTCTTGACGGATCCTTCTTATCTTCGAACTCGACTGAGATATTAATGAGATCATTATGTGTGCAAAATGTCATGACAATTGGATGAGGCTTTCAAAGGTTATCATGTTAACGGCAGACCGGCCGGACACGCTGACCGAATCTAGAGTGTACTCACTTTTTTTGAGTGCACAACAATAAGTTTATTTCGTTTTTGTCTATGAAATCTATATATTCATCGACTAATGTGTATAATATTCTGACCTACCAACTTATCGATAACTATTTATACTTACACTTTTAGTTGATGAAATTTATGAGTAAATCTTCTCAAGTGAGAAGAATCGGATCTTAACATCCAATGGGATGCGCTTTTCACTTCCCTTGCGTTCTCTTCATTTGCATAACATAAAACTTTATACTCTCAAAGCTTTACTATTATTAAAATCAACAATAAATTCTAAAATCCTCGTCGGCAATGATGACAATGTCAATGATTTTTCTTCTATAAACTAAAATAGTCAGTCGTTGAACACTAAGTATCAATGAGATAAGAACATTATTATTCCTATAAAAACAATCGATAGGTCATTTAACATAAGTTCATCTTGTATCATTTAATATAATATTATTTTTCTTTTCAATAGTCCGAAACAGCTCAAAAACTTGATAAAATCAATTTTATTATTGATGATCTTCGAAAGAAACAAGTTGAAACTACTCAAGCACTTCAAAGTGGAACAGGTAAAATTTAAATTTTTGCATTGAAAGAATACTATATAGAATTGTTGTTGTTTCTTTTCTTCTCTAGAACAACTCAGTCAATTAACAGCTGCAGCTATTATGGATCTTTATCCTGAAATTCTTGATCCTGAATATGATCCAAAAAAGAAAAAACAAAAAGTAAAAAATCATTCACGTATCTTCCACGTTTATTTTGTGTTTTTTTCTTCAGGCAACCGACAAAACAATTGGTGAACTGAAAAGCTTCGGATCGTTATATACTACCGAACAATTAATAACTCGACTATCAAAAAGTCAAATACAAATTGTAAATAAAAACAAATTCACTTTCTAGAGGAAAGTTTCGTTTTTTCTTCAAATAGGTTGATGGTCAAACAGAAATCAAACAAATAAATGGTCAAAATAATTGGAGTAAAAATAAATTAGTACAGCTACGCATGAGAATTGATATGTTACTTGGTACGTTTCTTATTATGAGTAAAGCCCATTAAAAAAATTGTTTTTATTTTAATTAAAAAGGTGAGCGTGACGCTCTCATTGCTCGTGATCAAGAAGAGCGACAACAAACGATGTATAAATATAAAAAAGTTGATAAATTTCGTCGTCTACAAAGTCCATTATGGAATGCATTACATCCAACTGTTGTAAGTTAAATTAATCATTTTGTAAATACAAGCAAATTATTCATTTTTGGCAATTAAGGATTATGAAATGAATGTTGAAGATATTGATAAAGCACTACGACAAATCAATGGAAACTTGATCTCACCCAAAGAATGTCAATATATTAAATTTGTATGAATTAACAAGCGAACGAAAAACAAAGGAATGACGTCATTTTTTGTTTAGATTCTTAAAATTCCTGGTGTGAAACGAATTAATTTGAAAGTTTTCAGCATAATTGCTGCCCTATCAGAAAAAGTGAATCAAATTGAGTAAGATTAATGGGTGAAAAAAGAGACGAATATATTCTATTGATTTTCGTTTTTAGGCCATTTGTTCGTAAACTGATTAATAAATTTGATTATGAAGCACTGGACATTAAAATGTTAAAAGCTAAAGTTAGAAATGAATCATGATCGATAAAATATTTTATCTTTTTGCTTGTGTTTCCATAGGAACTATTTTATCTTATGGCAGATAAAAGTCAAAAACTTGCGCCGAAAGGTTATGTACCGCTTCGAGCTTTATGTGTTGAATTGGCTGCAGGTGGAGTTGAACGTGATAATATTGAACATGTTAGTATAATACAATCAATTGCTATTATCGTTCTAGACTGTTGGGTTTTCGGTAGAAATTTGAATTTTTTTCCATATATCATACCTCGTGTTCCATGTTTATTCGTACTCCTATAAAGTACTCAGTTGAAATCATATCGAAGATCCTTAACTGATGGAAATCTCATTGAAAAACAAAACCCTGAAACCTAAAAGCAGTACATCAGCATAGATTTCAGTAATCTAAGCAGAAGTCTTAAACAGCCAGTTGATAGAATAAGATCGTCTCCGTTTATAATCCATTAGAAAAGATGTTTTGTATTTTACTGTTTTAGTGTAAGAAGAAATTTGATCGTGAAGGTAAAAATTACGTTGATTTCATGGATTGGCTTATTTACGTTCCATTATTCGTTGAAATTCATACAAGAATTGTGTCCAATCCATTTCTTCGCTATGAAGATCCACTCAAACCACCAAGAGAAACCGAAAAATAAATTCTGAAATTTTCAAAAACGACTTAACTTGGATTTTAGTGTAAATATAACTAGTCACATTTTTTTATACACTAAATTTAACATGAACAACTTAGATTCACATGTGATTTTATTATTTTTTTCATTTACAATAAGCGATAAAAATAAACATAAATATAACTATGATCAATTTGAAATGTGTTTGTGTGTGAATCTAGTAGATTACTATAATCATCTTCTATTTTAATTAATAAAGAACAGATTTCTCCTGTGTACTGTGTTTTCATCTGTCATTCAACCAGCAAAAGGGACCGGACTATATTTAAAATAAAAGAATTAAAATAAATGCAATAAACAAAACCGTCTTAATCAAATACAAAGAAGTGGCAGCCTTCGATACGTAGATGAAGTATTGCTGTGAGGAAAAGGCTAAAGAGCAATGCTTATCAAGATTTATTATATTTACTATTTTTAACTTCAATGTCATAATTCTTAAGAAACATTTTCCCATTTGCCAACTGTTCTTTATCACCACCGACACTTAATGCTAATAATATAATTCCACCTTTAAGATTCCAAACAATAATAATCTTTCAGTACTATGGATAAAAACAGGTTATTGTAACTACGCATATGATGATTCATAGCTGTATAAACGTTTTGCTATCATCGCGCTAAAAACATAACGGATTTTGGCAGAGAAATAGTCTATTTTCGTTGATCGCTAATATGATTAATTCTCATTTAATAAAAGTTGTTTTCCCAACAAAAATATTTCTAAACAACATCGCTTAATGCGTATATTCTTCGTTGGAAAGTTCTGAAATAATCACGTATCATAGCAGAGCATATGCCTGATAAATCATGTCACATCAAATAGGAATATTATTCGATGACACAGAAGAACTTGTATTAAAAACAGAGAATTAGTAATCCAAGGTCGTTTGCATTTCTTATTACGATGATGATAATAGAAGAACAAAGGATGCCCATAACCGATTCTCACGTCTTATGACCTTGTGATTTCTTTTTTCACGTGATGCTCGTGATATTTATAAAGATTATATTTGCCAGTACCCTTTTTCCTCTTTGGTCATTGACATTACATACATGTTGCTCCGATGAAATTATTATTTACGTAGGAATAATTACTTTTGACTTTACATATAAAACAGATGAAGGTATTCATTTGGATTCTTCTTCTTGCTATCAGTTATGGTGAAGTCTATTATTTGTTTAAACTCAAATATAATATTCTTATCATTCTTTGTTCTTATATATGAAACTCAAATAATTCATGCACTGGATATTAAAAGGATGGACTTCAGCTGAACAATTGTTTTTTAATTTCGTTTTTAATTCTTATGATTTTTCTTTACAGATATATATAATTCATTTTAAAATGTCACTGACGAATCAAATCAGCTTTTGTGCGCAGACGCTTGTCAAACTGATTAAGAGGTAACAAAAATAAAATAAAATAAAATAAAATAAAATAAATAAGAACATGATGTATCATCAGTAATATTAATATACAAAAAATTGATATAAGGAGTAACAGATGTTCTTTTGTGCGCTTAGTAAAACCTTATTTCTAAAATATATAATTCTTTTCTATTGAGACCGAAAAAAAAACACTTAATAGATACGGTCACCGAATTACATACATCATAATTCTTGCGGTAAGAAATAAGTCAAGTTGATGATCTAAGCTCATTGCCTATTTATGAAATATATTGATAAAAATCACATAGAGTATTATCTTGTTTTGATCGTTTATCTTTGATTGATAATTATTAAAATAATACAGCAAAGCTAATTTGTATACTCTATTCTGAATAATTACATTAGCTTTATAATATTGAAATATGTAAACATTTAGAGTCATGTTAAACAATGCGATCATATCTAATGAAAAAGTAACTCAAAATCAAGCTCTAGAATGGTGCCAACATTTTCTAGGCGGTATTTGGTCAACGATTTCCATTGACGAAATGATTTTGGAAAGAGTTCCGTAGGTTATTCTGTAATATAGAAAAATATTTCTTAGATGTTTTTTTTTCTTCTTGTTGTAAAACTATAGCGGTGGTTTATCGAATTATCTTTATAGTTGTTCATTACCTACTCATATTGAAACGCAAAATAGTGAACCTCGAAAGGTTTTATTAAGGTATTTCAATGAAGTTTTAGAGTTCGTAATCGAATTTTATTTATTAATTTTAAAGGATTTATGGTGAGGCACATAGGCAGCATCGCGCAACACTACTTATTGATACCGTAGTATGTACGCTGTTATCTGAAAGAAAATTAGGTCCACGTGTATACGGTATATTTCCAGATGGTAGACTCGAGGAATTTGTTGAAGTAAGTATTGATTTATATCGAATAATTGATTTGACTGTAAATGAGTGATCCTCTCGGATAATTCGTATACTAATGACGGACGATAGAAGTTAAGAATCTATAAATATAAGTATGTTCATTTGAATTGTTAATTTATAGGCTGAATCATTGCTTGCTTCGGAGATTCGCGATGAAAATATTTCAAGGCAAATCGCTACTCTTCTCGGTGAACTTCATCAGATTGATATGCCATTAGTCAAAGAACCTATATGGTTATTTAATACGATTGAAAGGTTAGAATTAATCGATTTTGCTCTCCTCTAATCAGAATTATTTATTCGTTAAGATATGTATTGGAAACAACATCGACGATGAATAAATTGAGAAATAATGAAGATCGAAAAATATTTCAAGAGATTCAATCCATGTGTAATTTTACGCAAGAATTTAAACAACTGAAGTAAACATAATTTTTATTGAAAATGGGAGAGAAAAAATTTTTTTGTTTGTTTTGTTTTATTTTTCTTCTTTTCTGAAGAAAGTTATTATCTACTATCGATAGCCCTGTGTGTTTCACTCATAATGATTTTCAACCGGGAAATATTCTTCGTTTGAAATCTTCCTGTGATAGTTTTACTATCATTGATTTTGAATATTGTTCATATAATTATCGGTAAAGAAGCTCTGTTTTTGCTTTTTTTCTATTGAAAAAAATTGACTTGTATTAATTTTAGTGGTTTTGATATTGGAAATCATTTCTGTGAATTTATGTTTGATTATAAATCAGCTACAGAATGGCCATTTTACAAAGTTGATTATAGCCTTTATCCAAATGAAAAGCAACAAGTCAGTGCTTTACTAAAAAAAAAATATTTATAATTAATTAATCACAAATATTGATTTTAGATGAATTTTTTAACGTCGTATGTAGACACATTAATTAATAATCCAGATAAGTATACAACGACTAATGGTTCACATTCTAATACAGTTAATTGTAATCCAACTGAATTAGCAAGACAAATAATGACGGAAGCAAACTATTTTGCATTAGCTGCACACTTCTTCTGGACTTTATGGTCGATTCATATGGCTGTATCAACAACAATTAAATTTGGATATTTAGTAAGAAAATAGAAAGAAAAAAAAAAGAGGAAAAAAGTCATTTAAAAACAAAATCTCTTTTGAAAATCGTTTAAAGGAATATGCTCGAGCACGTCTAACAGCTTATCATTTACAACGTGATATGTTAACAATGGCAAGCGATAATAAACTTATTCAAGTGCCCCCTCAATTCACCGAAGAATTACTTCGATCAAAGAAAAATCCATTTTATAAATCCTATGTAAAATCAATTAATAAAATTATCTGACTATTTCTTTCGTCAATTTCCGCTCAATTATTGTACACATCTATATTTTTGTTTTAAATTTTAAAAATAAGAAACATATAATTTGTATATTTATTTGTTTGTTTCGCTGTGAGGCTGTTGTTAGTATAGATTTTGATGAGTCAGATGTTGATGATGTGGCGGCGGCGACGGCGACATGTCGAGTGTTTTGGCCATGAAAGTAGCAAGTTGAGTATACATATCTATATCCATCTATGACCTTGGCTAATGATCAGCTACACAGTACATAATGGCTTTCATAGTTGATGATAGCCTTATAACATGGTATATCTCTTCCATATTTTCTCTCTCTTTGATCAGGATGTTATTAACTTGTTCTTTTCGGCACTCTCTTGATCGTTTTTTTTTGCTTGACTACTAAATATTCTATTTACCACCAGCCGATTTATACAACGATAGTAATTATCATTGAACGACGTTGGCGTAGCGCATGTTTCACATGTATGATAAAAGTGTATTTTGACAAATTGTCGACAGATCTCTCATCTTCACATTCATGTCGAGCGAGAGTGAGAGAGAAAAAATGATGATGAAAGCGATTCGTATGTACGATTGATTGATCATTGTCTACTCATTCTTGTGTGTTTGCCTAATCGATGACCTTTTCCGCTATCTTTTCTATGTTCATTTTAACATCTGGTATTAAATGTGATTCTATATACATAGTTGATTGAGATTTTTATGTTTGTATTATTTTCCGATCAAACATGGTGGTTACGAGAGAGACGTTTTTTTCTTCTTTCTTTTCTTCCAGTAAGCCTCTTCTTTTTTTTTTATTTTGTTTTGCGTTTCTGGTCGTCAGTCGAGAACAGTAGAGAGGAAAAAAGCAGCAAAAAATGGTTATTGTAGGATTGGAACTACGTTTCTTCTTCTTTTTTTTATACTCGTGCTCGTGCATAAGTGTGTCCTTCTTTTATGACATAAAACAAAAGTGTCATATGCGGCATGGTAATATCTGTTATATGTTAATTTCAAGTGTCAAACGAATCATGACTATGATTCATGACACGAGTATGACTTCTTCAAATCCCATAGGTTAAAAAAAAAAGGTATGTATTGATTCAATGACACCATCATATTCTCATCTACTCTTTTTAACGGCTTCCTTTGTACATCACTTTTTCTCTTCTGGCTCTTTCATCATTTTCTCTCTCTGCATATGATAGCCTTTTGACCTCATCAACGCCACATGCAGGTGTTTATTCATACTATACTATTTAATCATATGTCTTATCTGTGTATGTTGCTCTTTTTTTTCTTTCCCTAAAATACCATTGACACATCTTTTATTGATTATAGATTGATAATTACGAGACTTCCGAATTCAGCTTCAAACAAATTTTATTATATACATATATATATATATATATATATATATAGTAAGACGATTACACAACATTGAACGAAGCGAGGCGTCCGTTGATATTTGTTGTCGAGTTTGATTAGACTCAATGTCTATCTATTTCTTCTACATCGTTCACTGTATGACAAAAGAGAATGAAAGAGTAAAATAGTATAAAACCAATTTCATTTTTTTGCTCTCTTTCTTTTGCTTACGCAAATATTCGTCGATTCATATCGTTGTGATGCCGAATACTGTTTCGTATTAAACGTTGGACCAGTGTACAAATATATATATATATATATATATATGTATGCATATCGGCATCATCTTATTTTGTTGCGTAACATTTCATTTATTAATTTTGCTATAAGCGATGAGTGCATTATTCTTATAGTAAATTGAAATTTTTTCTTCTAGATTAAATCAATCTATTAAGTTTGTTGTCTCTACGGTGGTTTTCGATAATGGAAAGTGATGAAGTATCAACAGCTGATCCGGATCCAGAAAATAAAGTAATCTATTACGATATATACATATATAATTATTTTCGTTCTTTCAATTATGTATTAATTTATAGATTCTTCTTGAACCTTATGAATACATACGAACGATACCGGGTAAACAAATTCGCCCGAAGTTGATTAAAGTAGGAGTCTTAGTCGGCGGTTATTGTTATCATAGTAAACGTTTCTTTTTCTATTTGTTTGTTCATCGTGTTCAGGCATTTAATCTTTGGCTTCATATACCCGAAGATAAACTTCTTGTTATCGGAGATCTCGTTGAAATGCTTCACAATGCATCATTACTTATTGATGACATACAAGATAATTCGAAATTACGTCGCGGTTCACCTGTTGCACATAGTATCTATGGTGTGCCATTGACAATCAATGCTGCAAATTATGTTTATTTCTTGGCTATGCAAAAAGCTCTCACATTGACACATCCAGATGTTACACAAATTTTTGTTGGTATGATTCAATTTACCATTGTTATTCTAGAGAGCAAAATTTTTTATTTAAATAGCATTTATTTTGCTACTTATCGTTTATTTTTCCACTGAATTAAAGCAAAAAAAAGAAATTTAATATGTTTGCTGTGTAATAAAAAAAAAGATTAATGTTCTATCCAATGGAACTTTCCTATGTTTCATGTCAACGTAAAACAAACAAAAGATTTTAAGATAGAAATTAGATGATGATATGAACATTTATTTTTGTTTTGTTGATTACTTCAATGCCAAATTTGATTTGATTTGTTTCTCCTATAGCCATAGAACGTCTCATTGATACGATCTGATTTTCTTAGATATTCTAATAAGATATTTCTTTTTCTTCCTCCTAGATCAAATGCTTGATTTACATCATGGTCAAGGCATGGAAATATGGTGGCGCGACAATTTTGTATCACCGTCTGAAGATGAATATCGCCAAATGGTAATGAGAAAATGCGGTGGTCTTTTTAATCTTGGCGTTAAACTTATGCAATTATTTGCGCCAATTGAAATACGTGATACATATAATTTTGATAGATTATGTCAATTATTGTCACTTTTGTTTCAAATACGCGATGATTATTGTAATTTAATATCCGAAGAATATGCAAGTAATAAATCGTATTGTGAAGACTTAACTGAAGGAAAATTTTCATTTCCGATTTTACATGCCGTCAATACACGTGAGACAGACACACGTATTATACATATATTGAAGCAACGTACACAAGATGTTGAATTAAAACGTTATTGTGTTCAGTTATTACATGATTTTGGTTCATTTGAATATACACGTCAAATATGTGATGAATTAGCGAAACAAGTCTACGATGAAATTGATGCTTTAGGTGGTAATGATTATTTAGAAAATATCGTTCGAGGACTAATGGAAATATTTCGTGCCGATGATCCTACTGCAGGGAACGGTAATGGTGAAGGTATTGAAGAATTTGACGCATTTGTAAGCGATCAAATTGATGATGAAGAACAAGAATCTTATGAAGAAAATTCTAGAAACTATAAAAAGATAACACCGATTGCTAATGCCAATGGTAGATATCGTACTTAATTGTATATTAACTTTCGATTGAATGATAAATATATATCTATATATATCTATATATATATATTTCACAGTGAAATTGACTTCGTTATTTTTTCACTAGTCATGTTACTCTTCCTATTTTCCTTGTTTGCTTTGTCTTTTTTTTTGTCTGTATGTTGCATTTGATCTGCTATTGTTTTTGTCCGTTTAATTCTATTTCAAAATGTTTTTATTACTAACTAGAAAAATGATACACGAATTAATTAAAAGAAGTTTGATAGTTTATTTCTCCTCGGGAAAAAGCCAACCGGTTAACATATTTTAATGATCATCAGTGATGTTTTTATCTTTGTATTGTATATTTTAAAAAGAGAGATCATACCTTATTATTTATTGAATTGAGATCGTATCGATATAGAATGAAATTGTCACATCTATTTTTATGAAAATAAGGTAGAAATGTAAGATCACTGTAATGCCTAAGAAAATAATAACCACTTATTATCGATAAAAATATGAATAATTAGATCCTGAATAGAATGAATCATTTTACATGACCATAACAAAAGAAATCGATTACCTTAATTTACTAAAATTATTCTATAGTACGAACGAATAATCGCTTTTTTCACTGCAAGTTTTTTCATCTAGGTGTCAAAATATGTTTTTATCATAAAGGTAACTAGAAGAGATCTATTGAAATATTTCTATGAATTGAATGCTAAAACGAATTACTCGCCTCATAGAAAAACAGTAACTGCAATTAGTGATTTCTCCAATGTTGTATCAACTGTTAGTATTGAAAAAAACGTTTTCATGGTCAAAAACCACTATTCATTTATTGAGCTTTCTTTCTAGATGTACTGGAGAAATAGATGTCTGTGTTGTAGACATTTTCTAGACAGTTACGATGGAACCAATACGATTATGCATTGCCGTAATTTTCTTTCAGGCTGTTTTATCTAGAAGCTACTAAATTACATTAACTGATGTGCATACAATAGAATGGCAAGACGTATTTTCCATTCAGTATTTGAATCCTTGCCATTGATATACATAATATGATAAAGAATTTTGTCGTATTAGTTCATCAATGAAATCGTTAAGTATGTTTTAGTTAATTAAACTTCGATTTTTTAGTCTGTTAAGAAAATAAACCTTGTAATTCTAATACACTTCGTTCTTTATTTGTCACTATATACATATAGACACGAATAGAAGCTTTTTGTTGTTGATTCATAGACATTCGATCAGATTATATTTAAAATTACATACCAGAGTAATAGTAAAACGATTTTGTTTAAATAAGTTTCGCTATTCTTAAGACAAAAGATTAGTATTAGTATTTTGATGAACTTCGATCTTCATCTCGAAACTCAGGCCTTTATTTCATGAAATCAAACGCTAGATGTAGTGTTTAGCAAATAATTTACGTGAATCCTTATGTATTCATGTATTAAACGTATTGTTATAATTTGGCAAGGTGAAACGATAGCTTTCATTACAAATCAAATGATTTGTTGCGATCGTTGTGGCGTCACTTACCTTCAGAAAAGTAAATGATCCAAAAAATAAGTCAAATATATCACCGCAAAGCTGATTCCTATAAATGTTGAAAAGGATAATGTTTCAAGCACATTATGAGTGCCATTAGATTCAGTAACGCATCATGAAGTTTTTCTTTGCAATATTCTTAGTATTCGATCCATATTACATCTGTATTTTGTTGCATCATAAACTACTGTATTCAACCAAAAAATAAAGTGATTAGTTCGTGAATCGAATAAGAAACTACTTGTATCTATCGACAGATCATATGAACTTCAATGTTGTGAAGCCGGCATTGCCATGGTTTCGTATTATAATTGTAATTTTGATAAAATCTATTTTTTTTTATGGCTTGCTTTCGGGAATAGTTAACGGGACCTTTTGTTTTTTTGGTTATTCAAGCGAATTTTCATTATTCTGTATTCCAAGTAGAATTGCAAGTCTCAACTAACTGTCATATAGATGTCACAACACCTTTACACTGGGTATCGTGATTTGGAAGTCATAATACGCATCGAATTCTTTGCGGGATATTACCCCTAGGGTATCCACTTCGATATAACTATATGTTTCAAGTTGAGGAATTTGAGTTGTTTTGGGGTATTACTATGGGTGTTAACTTACAGTTTATTTAATTTATATTTAAATTCGCGAAAATTTAAATATAATTTTTTGATTAAATTCTACCAAGTTAGATTTAAGATTTTGATTTTTTTTAGTTTTAAATTTAATTAATTGTTTCGATGGATACTCATCATCTCTATCAGGAAAGTTTCTGATGGTACGCTAGGGGTAATACCCCAAAACAACTCAAATTCCTCAATTTGAAATATATAGTTATATGAAAGTGAATACCCTAGGGGTAACACGCCAAATGTTTATAAAGTATGTTTAGCTGGAGAAAAAGTCGTTACCCGGTGTAAAGTGATTATGACATCACTCAACTGTCAATCGTCAAAACTATGGCTAAAACATTTTTTATTGAATCATAAATTACAGCAATTAAAATGGCATGACTTTAAAAAATGTACCGCAATGATAAAGCTTCGACGATATGCAATAGACCTAATCATCAAGGAAATAATTATTTATTCGTCACGAGCAATATAGTTATTTTTCTTGGCAAAAACGTCTTAGCCAATCTTAATTTCGAATCACCATTCAGTAGAATATTTCCATGTAACTGTCATGCTAAATAAATATTACAGCGTATTCTCAAGTGTTATTACTTGGATTCAGAATGAGGACAAAAAAAATTAATGTAGTGTATATGCTATTTCGATAAACAGTCATTAAATAAATAGGAAAAGGCAAAAGTATAGACATAGTGTTAGAACACAATAAGCATCCGTAGACACAACAGGAATAGGAAGTGACTCAAATGTTATTCTTTCTTTATTTTCGCTTTGATATAGGCCCCTATCAAAATGAGTCAATATATGTTTGTTTATCGACGATAAAAAAAAACTTCCAATACTACATCGTAGGTAGAAGGCAAGGTGTCGCTTGCGCAATCGATAAGCGATTGCAACAGAATATATATGGATTTTAAAAAAAGTAAATATATTGAAAGCATTGCAATTACGTATGATTTCCCGAGCTGAGCATGTGTAGGCAACAAGGGGGAAAAGCGTATTTCTAAATATTTCTGAGTATTTCTGAGTATTTCTGAGTATTTCTGAGTATTTCTATGTATTTCTATGTATATCTCGATTTCTGAAATACGTAGAAATATTTCTAGGTATTTCAGAACTCCAGAAACACATCGAAATACATAGAAATACGTAGAAATACATAGAAACACATAGAAATACGTAGAAATACATAGAAATACGTAGAAATACATAGAAACACATAGAAATACGTAGAAATACATAGAAATACGTAGAAATACTCAGAAATTCAGAAACGCGCTTTTCCCCCTTGGCAGGCAATCAGTACAGTACTCCTAAAATAGAACATCAACGCCAGTAATGACTTTTCATTTCATATACAGTCTTTCGTAATAGGAAGAAGTACGTCAGCAATATAAAAGTAAGACGTATTTAATGCGATGCGAAGCAGAAGCATTTATGCAATCCGTCGCGAGTTTTTAATGCGATGCGAAGCAGGAGCATTTATGTAGTCCGTCGCGTACGCATCCAAATTCAGTATTCTTGTGACGCGATGATCTCAAGAACGGAATTTCGTTTGATGCTCGTTGAAACGGTGTTAGTAACATTAAAATCTCTATATCATACAAATTTTGTCCGATTTATCCTGTCGAATTCGGTTTGGGCAAAGTAAAATATGGACCGCATATTTCAGTTAGTCGATGTGATGTAGTGAGACTTGGCCTTCATTTAGCCATAATTACAATGACGTCATGAGCAAATGCTAGCCACACGTATGTCTGTCCGCAGCAGATTATAGATAACGAATCATACAGATAATTAATCGATCAATCGAAATCGATCTTTAAGAATATATCGCTAAGAATAGAGTTTTCTCAGTGATGAATTTCATCCTGTCGACATAAAAAGTATTCAAGATTTCTCTGAATTGAAGATTTTTCGTGAAGATCCGATTCGAGCTTCGCATCGCATTTCGTATTCGAGTGAAACTTGAATACCATCTAGTTTGAATCTTAAGCGTATGAAAATTATTAGCCATGTGAATTTTCCATCCACTAAAATAAATATATGTTCTACATATATATATATATATATTCACCAATGCATTTCGATTAACTATTTCTGGTGCTGCTTTCGGGTATGTAATTAATATATATCTTTTTTTGAAAGGGGAATTTTTCAGAAGATTTTGTTCATTCTACACGACTTTTTTCTGAATTTAAAAAGTTTTCAATCAATCATCACAGCTTTTTCTATTATTATTTACATAACAAAAATAAATAATCGCCATTGCTACACCTTTAAATTCGTAATAAATGAAATATAAACCAATCGACCTTAAGGGGAAAATTGATTGAAATGCATACAAAATAGTATCGATGTTGTGAGAATCAAATAGATAGGATTGGCTTTTTCCATTGGACAACAAGGAAGCTGTATTACCAATTTTAACATATAAAAACACACCTGTTGAAACAACAAGCAAATAGCAAGTATTCAGCTATTTACGATAACTATTCCGATTTATTTGAAGACTTTTAGCGAACAACTGCGAAACCAAAGAGCAGTTGTCCAAAGAACTCGAAATATTTATGTATGTGAATATATGACAGAGAATCTTATGATACATATTATTTAAAAAATTTTGTGAATATGGTTATATTTTTTCATTTTAGAATCAGACCTTATTCACAAGCGCTTGTGATACATGCGCTTATTTTTATTTGATACACTTATCAATTCAAAAAACTGGCACTTAAGCACAATCAGAATTTTTTCCTTGAATATTAATAAGATAGAACTTTAACTTACTGGACATTTTTTTTTCTACTCGTTTAATGTATGCATAAAAATTCTATTGCGTATCACAGTATCGTACAGTGATACTTGAGTCTGACATCAGGAACAAATTTTCTAAATATAAGCAAATAGTTCTATTTGAATAAGTTCGTATCCACACATGAAATTGAACAGAACTATTACTTGTTCAAATAGAAATCTCTTATTATCCAACGAACAATCGACAATATATTGTGGTAACTTTTTCATTAAGAAATTCTTATTTAACACACTTCTTTAGTTCGGATCGATACTTGCATGCCGTTATCTTGTGAATCAGATGAATAATTTGATTTTACCTGCAGTTGTGTATGAAAATATATATGATTATAGACAGAAGACAAGCAGCACACATGCACATTATACGTTCTTATTTGGTAAGATAATACTTATATTTTCAACGAGTCGATGATTCAATTTTAGATGTCATTGTGGACTTATCCAAATAAAATTATTTATCCATTTAATTCATTAGTTATGTAAAACCGATCTGTTGTATTATCCTAGACTGAGATCGTACCAAAAGAAATGAACTCATTTCAAACATCAATAGACTAAAATCGAATTCCGGTTTTCATCGAGGTACTTTCCTGCTCAATAATTATTAAATGTAATTACAAAACACATCAAAGTTTACATGAAAAATAAATTACATGAAGCGGAAGAACTACAATGATTATCTATTGTGGATATAATGGAAACTAGATATGTATATTAAAATAGATAATTGCCATTCTGGTTAATCATTTAAGGAAATATTTTGAAAATACGTACAAGAACATTTTTAATTATTATCTCAACTGATTAAATATGAATGTCCATAAGAGAGATAGAGAGAGAAATACAATCTATACATGTGAGTAAAGCGTACCATTAAAAAATTTGGCCTATCCAAACAATACTGTATGTAAAACATCCATTTAAGTCTCAAGTGTTGTATTTGTTTGAAGTCTTACATGTGATAAAAGAATTTTCGCTCAGGTGATCAAAAACATCACAACAATATATCCATGAATCCTGCAAACAAAACGTCTAGCTGCAGCAAAACATCAATAGACTACATTTCTATTGGTACTTTTGCATACCAATCAAACTCATAATAGATGTCGTCGAGTAGAGTTTTCATGAAATTTAATCTAAAACAACTTCATAGAAAAACGAAATTCTAATTTCTATTATCTTATTTTTATTCAACTTTAAATTTCACTCTTCATTATATGATCTATTTGAAGGCATGAACATTGATAATGGCGTTGGATCAAATGTTTATTCCGGTTCTCATCGGATAAAATTACGTGACTTCAAATAAAAAATTTCTCTACCACAAAAATGTGTTTTTATCAATACCTCGCACTTTTGTTATAATTTTTGTAACATACATTTAGTCTTTATTTTCATTTCAGATTTATTTAGTTACATAGAATGCAGTCTTTACGAATAATCATTTTAATTGCCTCAATCATTTATTTAGTAAGCTAAATTTTTTAATCATATAACAAAAATTTCTATGTAAATATTTCCCTATATTTTTAAAGGCTCATGCAGCTATGCTTAAAACACCTATGGTAAATAATTATCCTCAAATAGCTGTACTCGGTTGCGATAGTAATAAAGCTAATTTATATTACGATACTGAACGGCAACTATGGATTGAACATTTAATTAGCGAATGTGTTAATGATGAAGCAGATATTCTTGAATTTTGTCAAAAAGTAAATATAATTTATTGATTAAAATTATAGATGTGGATTTTATTTGCTCTTGTTTTTCTTTTCTAAGGCTTATCCATCATTTCAAATTGGTAATATTCTTCGATTAGATACAGTATTACGATTTGAAAATTGGTGTGAACTTCTTCCATCAGTCGATCCTAATGGTATACCTCGTTGTAAAACCGAAAGTCAAGCAGAAGAACTAGTTCAACCATACCGTTGTTTATATAAGAGTTCAAAACGAGAAGAGTTAACTTTGCCAAATATTGATTGTATAATGAACAGTATCATTGAAACAGGTGAATGTTTACGCTCAGAAAAATGGCAACAATTAGCATCACTTCGTTGTTCAAATAAATCAATGGTACTTAGTAATTCATTGGCAACACTTGATTGGTGTGGCTTATCGGAATTTCGGGGCATTCAATTTATCTGTTGTCCATTAAAAGGTATCAAACCCAAAAAAAGACATCGAAAGAACGAAAAAAGAAAATTGTATATTTTTTAGATAACGATGCAAACGATGATTATAGTTCATTGAAAGAGGATGATCCGATCAAAGAACAAGATATTGTACCACAACAAGTTGGCACCGAACTTCATCGAAAGATAATTGCTACGTCAATGACATCACGTAATTAAAACAAACGAATATTAAAAATTTTCGTTTATTTAAACTTGTTTTTTTGTTGTTGTTGTCTTATTCAAGATGATCCAGATTGGCTTCAAGACAGTCTTCAATGGAATACAATGTCAGGATATTTTTCCGGTAAACATTCTTATTTGTTAAAATCATCGAATTTATTTATTTTCAATCTAGATGATGAAGATCTGAATGATCAAGATGACGTCAAATTGTCATCGCCTCGAAGATCTCATTTAACTGTTAATGAACATGAAAGATTTACAACAGATAAAGGAGAGTTTCGACGAAAATATAAAGAACAAATAGATCAAGTAAAAGTGGCTCTATTTAACTTCGGTTTCTATTGAAAAGATTTACTTTTAGTTAAAAATACGTTGGCAAAATAGACGAAATGACCTTCAAATATTAGCTAATACGAATCCTTATCAGGCACAACAGGATTTCGTGCAAAGCGATGTGGAATTTCGTCTAACATATGATACCATAAAACGAACAGCGAATGAAGAACGAACACGTATCAATGAATTGCACGAAAAGAATTTAGATTCATTACTTGACACTGCTAAGAATGAAACCAATCAAAAATTAATAGCAGCTTGGAATGAAAACCCATTGCAGGTAACAAAAAAAAAAACTTTTCATTGAATTTTTATTTATAATGACACATAATTGTTACATAATCTAACCGAACAGTTCCATGTATTGATAAACGAATATAAGATGTTCGCCCATATTTGACAGTCGAACGAAGAAAAAAAAGGAAAAGAAATATATGAAGTATACTAGGTCATAATAATCGCAGTTTGGATACTTGACAATAGAAGAGGTTCCTTGTTGAATATGTGAATGAGGCGATTTATCAAATCATATTGTTTAACTGAGCATTCATATTTAAGTATCTACTTGAAAATGTAATACTTATCTAATTGCCATTTTTATTCAAAATCATTGCAAATATCCTTGTGATTCATCTCGTTATAATATCTAAAAGTAGCTACATACGATTTTTTTATCATGCATACTACTGAAAGCTGATTATAAAATGGTTATATTTAAATATAATCTTCTTCCTTTTTAAGTCAAAATAACCACTAATCATTTTTTGTTTGATAATCTGTAGACAGACAAAATCGAAGATGCTCTCTATAATTATCTTCATGTTCTATTGCGTGATCGTATTCATCTGGTCAATCGTTATGAACGTTTACGTGTTGTCGATCCAAGTCAAGCAAAACGTAAACGAGCAGCAATTCATGAACGATTACGTTTAATTGGTAGTCAAATAGATGATGCTCTAAATAAAATCCGACGTCATTCGGAATTTCAATCTAAAATTCCAGCACGTATTGGTATGAATAAATAATTTTGAGTAAAAACGTAATACCTATTTGTTATCATTATTATTATTATTATAGATTCTCTTCTTGATGAATATGAAGAAGTTAATAAAGCAGCTGAAAAATTACTAAACGATTATATTACTTCGCCAACAGCAAAGTCACTTAAAGATAGACTTTCACTATTAGGCCGTGATGAGAAAAAGATTTATCCATCGTCTAAAACGCAACTGAATAAAGTCGATGAAAAAGTTAAAAATAATGATGATGATTATAGTACAAGTGATGAGTATGATGATGACGATGGTGATGATGATGATGATGATGACGACGATGATGATACAACTACAACAACTGAAGCTACTAATATCAACAGCGATCAAGTTGATGTTGGTGATAGTGATTGGGATGTTAACGATCGTAATGAAGTACAAATTGATGATATAATTGACGTCAATGAGGAAGAGCCAATACTTGATAATCTTCGTCCATTGATGCCAAATAATGTCATAATCAATCGTCGTATTCAACGCAGTTCATTTGTTATTTATCTTCCATATATTTTTGGAATTTTACTTGTTGTATGTATAGTATTGGCTGTATTTATTATTCGTTATATAATTCAACAACGAAGAAAATATCAATATGGTAGTAAATATGAAAAGCAATATGCTTTCAAGGAAATTGATTCCTGTACACCGGAAGAAAAAGCTCTATACGCATTACAAATGAATGGCTATGAAAATCCAACTTATACATTTTTTGAAAGTCAAACACCAAAATGTTAATCGTAGTCATTCAATACTTTGTTTTTTTTTAAATTCGTATACATATATTTTACGTCCATAGCTTGTGTACTTTTAATAATTCTTTTTTTCCTTATTCCATTTTTAAATAGCTAGATACAGAGAAAAAATTTTAATCTCATAGCACGCCGGAATCTGTTGTCATCAATGTTGTTTTTCTATTACTCTGCTTTTTTCCTCTTATTTGGCTTCTTTTTTTTTGCCACAGATAATATGCAAAAAGAAACAGCCGAATTTTTTTTCTTCTTACGTTCTCATCATCTCAGAACTTTTCGTCTCTTTTTCTCCTGCGTCCAACCGAATACATTGCACAAATTCTCATTTTTGTTTTTGTGCCAGAATATGCAGGAAGATTTTTTTTCATCGAATTATTTCCTGTACTTTTTTTTTATGTGCCTGCAACCCGCTGTCGTATTCTTTCTTTATAAAAAATAAATTAAAAAAAAAGAATTCCAAAAAAAAAAGAAATTTGTAGATTATAAAATTGGGCGTCTACCAAAAAGAATATAAAAGTACTTGTCGACTAGTAAATGAAAATGTTTTCTCATTAATAATTCATTATTATTAATGGAAATAACGACCTTGCTTCTAATGCATCGTAGACATCTGGCAGATACAATAGATTTATTGAAGTGTATAAATATGGCTAAAAGATTAGTGATGCTCTTGGTTATATTTTATAGTTTTCCGGAATCTATGATACGGCATTGCTTATAACAATGTTTTCTTCTTTAATCAGCGTAGGTTCGCAATACATATATAGTATGATACTAAATTGAAATTGTAGATGCAAGGTAATCAAATTTATCTTCAAACATACTATTTTTATGCATCAAAAATCAAACGTTGGCGATAAAAGAATTGACCCGATAACAAAATAGAAAAACAATTCCCTTGAAGCCTTTGAGCTATTATCTAGGCTTTTTCTATTGTGTACGATGAAAAGTTTCGAATTCGAAAAGAAAACATTCAGCAATAAAACCTTGATGTCCTCAGCTTAGTTTCTAATCTTTTTGTTCAAATTTGAATATGAGCTAATGCAAAAAAGAATCACCTCCTTTAAACTCCTCTCAGTATGGGCTCATTTATCTTTAAGTACACACAACGCGAAATCAATGTAAACTAGACCAAATGTGGCTCTAATAGATTTCTAATGATTTATTCTAATTGATGGATTAACGGACGTATTATTCTTAGATAAACATGATATTCGTTTATCGGTTGTATATATAAATATATAGAGTTATCGAAAAGCAGTCTTCTCATTTTACCTAAAACAAATTTATCCTTGAAAAAAACACATTGTGCGATGTAAACTTATCCAGTTATTTAATAGAAAAGAAATCCATCGATCACAATGAAAATTCATAATTTATTATTCTAGAATAATAAATTGTGTTCTGTTCCTTGATAATTTTATTCTTTGTCTAATGACATTCGAACGCTTTAAATAATTAAAAAATTAGATAAAAGTCAGAAGATGATAACATAGTCACATTTTGTTTCTTCTTTTGCATTAATTTAGTATAAAACAGAAGCCAGAAAAGCCTTGTTTCTGAAACTAAATATGTCACTTCATTAAAGAATTTCCTGTTTGGAATAATAAATATTTCATAACTTGTTGTCATCGAGGCAAATGAAAAGAAGAAGAAAAATGAACGAATGAATGTTGCCTTTTTTCTTGGCGGAATGCACTATATAGTATTCATTACTCTTTTTTCTTATTGAAAGATCCATAAAATACTAGAGAAATGTTTTTCTTTTGCGTTCCTTTTTTATTTTTACGATCATGAACGTAGAAAGGCTGCAGATTGCGCATATGATATACTAAGAACACAACGTCAATAGGAAAGACGAAGAAAGAAATTTCGTTCCTGATCCGTTGATTCCCTAACTAGATGCACGAGTAATCAAACATATACGTCTTCAACATATTCTTAGAAAGATAATAGAACTGAAAAGAAAAATGGAGAAATGATGACAACAAAAAAACAAGTGCTCCATTATATTACTTTTCCTTGTTTCTCCGCTCTTCTTTTTTCTAGTTTTCTTCCCATTGAGCATTACATGTGTCGCATAATATAGATTGATTAAAGTAGAAAAGATTGTTAATCACCTTCGCACTTAAAACTCATTAGCATGCAATCCATTCAGTATGTCCCATTAACAATATTTTTCAGTGTGCCCATGTTCATTTCCTCTTTATTTTTCTTTGTATCGTTTCTTTTTGCGTTATATTCGGCTACATTTTTTTCCTTCCCCTTTTTTCTTCCTGACTCTCCATTTTCATCTTGCTGTTGACTAATATGACAGGACTAGGTTTTTAATGGAACTTGTTTTGCCTGCATACCTTCCTGTATTATTCACAATTTCTTTTCTGCTTTTCTTCTATCTCTAAGGACGCTCTGCATAGAATCTATTGTTGATGCTCAGAATAATAATAATAAAAGAATTTTATCATTCTCATATATCTATGCTTCTCGAACATTCGGTCTATTGACGACCTATAAAAAAAAAAAGGAATTATTGATATAGAAATTTACATAGGTATCTACTTCTTGTTTTTATCTTAACTACTTGTTTTTTCATACTTCAGATGGATTGGCACCGATTCCATACGTCGGCAAGCATTGCCTTACTTCGAACATTACTAATTTGTATCAATATTATTTTTGTGGTAAATTAAGACATAATCATCGCGCTAGATTCAATTTATATAATTAATTATAATTATCCTTTTAGATTAGTGGTGGCATACTCTTTATGCTTGGCATTCTTTTACGAAGTCAACTTGCAATATTTCTTGATATAACACCGGAAATGAGCTCATCGGCTCCGTATATTTTGGTATAACACTCGTAATAATAAATTTTATTTGATTTCATATGTGTTTTGTTTTTCTTTTAAAGATCGGTCTTGGTTTAATAATTTTCTTCATTGCACTATTTGCATTTTGGTAAATATTGACTTTTCAAAATCAATTAAGCTTGAAATAGACCTTCTACATTTAGGTGTACAATTAAAGGGCGTGTGGCGATGTTATATATTGTAAGATAGATTTCTTTTTATCAATGATTAGCATTTTCTAATTGGATGCATTCTAGTATGCTGTCGTTGTTTTCCTTATATTCGCAGCGGAAATATTTTTGGCAGTAGCAGTTTTAATGAAGCAACAAACAGTTTGTAGCAGTTAACGAAAAAACACTCGATGAACCTAGTTTTTATTTTAGTACGAGGAAACATTTAAAACAAGTTTAGGTAATATCATCCGACAATATCCTAATGAACCTACGGCTACACATGTTAATCGTCTTCAAATTGCCGTATGCTCGATACATATCACTGAAACAATTTAATTATCTTTTCTTTTGTTACGCAGTTATCGTGTTGTGGTATTGATTCATATACAGATTGGTTTCAAACAACGTATGGGTCTGAACTTCGACAAGTACCAGAATCATGCTGCAAGAAGTCATTGAATCATTCATGTGCACGAACAGATCTAAAAAAAGAATATCTACCTGCTGATATAAACTCAAAAGTAATATGAACCTTTTCTTTTTACTGCAAAAAAAGCACTCTGCCCGTTGTTCATATTTTAGGGATGTTATGAAACTGTCAAAGTAGCAATTAAAAATAATTACCCAGTTTTTGGTGCAATCATAATTGCTATAGCGTTATTTCCTTTAATTGGAGCTATTCTTGCTTGTTGTCTAGGAAGACAAATGAGCAAACAACGATATGAACAAGTGGATTAAGATCACTTATTTATCCATAGAAGTCGAAAAAAGAAAAGAAAATGATGTATTTTATGCGTAAATCTATTTTTAAAAAATATCTAAGCATTTTTGAGTTATATTAATAATAACCCTTCTTTTTTTTGTTGTTGTTGCCTGGTATATTTTATTTTGTTAATGTTGTCAGTTTGCTTGTCTATGCGTGTATAATCAATCCGGTTCAATCGTTTTATTGTTTGTGAAGAAAAATATTATTTAATTGTTGCTTTCATTGGGCGTCATTTATTTTATTTTTTGTTGTTGGAAAGTAACGATCAAGTTATGTTATTATACTCAATGAGAAATAAAGAAATGAGAATGAATAAAATATCAGTTATGAAATATTGTAAATGGCTCAATGAATAGAAAATATTGTAAGTCAACTGAAGCATTACACAAAATATTTTGGTATGTTAATAGAAAAATCAATTACGCCCGCGAATATTGCACTGTCACGTTTTATTATTCATCAATGCACATGAGCAGGTTTTTACAAGCTACGCACCGTCATGTCAACGGCAATGAGCACTGGTTAAGTGATTGGAGTTATTTTCAAAAACAGAAGAGAACGCCGAGGAAAAGTGATCCCATAAGCGTGACAATCTTGTTTTAATGTGTATTTTTTCTTAATAGTTCATTCAGCAGAAAAATTCAACTACTTGAAACTCGATTAACTTAAGTAAAAACTCTTTCACTCGAGTTTGCCACTTTAGCAATCTTGAGACGTATCTATTAATGAGTTATAGTTTTCCATAATTTCAACCATGTTTTAAGTAGGATTTACAGTGAAAACGTTGAAAGGAAAAAGATAGAACGACGACAAATGCCGAATCCATGAAAAATGCTGTTAGATGAAAAATATAAAATATATATTTTATTTCATTGAAAAAAGGAACAATACGTTCAGTGATAACTATAAATAGCTATAAAAAAAATGAATCATTCGATACGTCCAGATGTACGTGATTAATATAAAGTTTATGCTATTTTCGCGTTGAGCAATGATAAATTATTCAACAATTGCTCGATGTTGACGTCGTTGTTGTTGTCATGTGCCATAAGAGTACCGATACGTTTTTTAAAATACCACTAGTAAAACGTGAACTTGGTCGACGTTTAGCATCTGTGCTGGTTTACACATATAAGTGTTGAAAGCGACTCTCTTCACTAACAATGCATCTGATCAATGGGTTCAGTACGGATGCTAAACGTCGGCCAAGTTCACGTTTTACTAATGGTATTTTTAAAAAAACGTATCGATACTCTTATGGCACGTCACAACAACAACGACGTCGACACCGAGCAATTGTTGAATAACTTATCATTGCTCAACGCGAAAACAACATCAACTTTATATTAATCACGTTCATCTGGACCTAGGTGTAACGGCAAACTGGGATAGTAGTTTACCGCCACCTCGGTATAGATGTTTATTAGCTACATTAGATCTCCAGAGTGTATCTACTTTGCATTGAACACACACTTATATAGGAGAGAGAATGACAAGAAAGAGCGATAGCGCGAGACGAATACAGAAAACAATGAGAGAGATCAGTCAAAGAGGGCGATCAGTGAAAAATGACGCCAATATCGGCACACTAGGGATATGCAATTTCAGTTTACTGATAACTGAGATCACCGAGATGCTGAACGCTGAGTACTGGCTACACTGCACCGGGAGCACTGGCGCACCTATTCATCAAGGATATGTAAATGCGCAACTGCAGTGGAGCTGCAGCACATCAGCGATGCTCGATATCAGTTGGGTCTCAGTTACAGTGTTGTCGGTGCAGTACAGCCAGCACTCAGTGCTTAGTATCTCGGTCATCTCAGTTATCAATGAACGCGGTGTTCCTTTTTTCAATGAAATAAAATATATATTTTATATTTTTCATCTAACAATATTTTTCATGGATTCGACATTTTTCGTCATTGGATCTTTTTTCGTTCGACTTTTTTCTTCGACATTTATTCTTTTCGCCATTTTCAATACATACCTTAAATATAAATGATATGATAAGATGAAATTACAAAATCAAACATTAGACATCCTTCAGTGTTAGAAAATAACATGCGCATAAACATTAGTTCTAGATAAACTGCTACAGTCTTCTGGAGACTCTTTATTTCAAAACTAGCATTTGTATTAAACCTATCGATGTGAAAAATTAGTCCTAGTACCAAAAATAGCTAGGATCCCACCAAGAGAAAGAAAGCGAGACTTCCGTACTCAGGAGTAGAGTGAAGTAGACTTGAGTCGCAGTTGTGATATAGAAATAAAAATTAGATACAAAGAAATTCTTCAACATGTTTCTTTGAATAGACACAGACAACAGAACAACTAGAATCATCGAGACCCGAACCAAAATAAGCTTATTGAGACTGTGCTCGAAAATTCCGAGTGTTTGACTAGAAAGGAATTTACATAAAACCAATTTTTATTGCTGTTCAGAAATTTTGATGCATGGGATAATGGTATTTTGATATAACTGAGCAAAAGATTTGCAGGCGTCGAATTGGTTTTCTTTTACGTAGAATAGTAACTAATATGTCGAAAAAACGTTGAAAGAATCTTTTCCCCAGTGAATGAAAGAGCACGTTCTGGTCTATCGAGCGACATATTTTTTTCGTGATTGTGAAACAGAAATTTAAAAAATGATCAAACTGCGATTTGAAATCGGTTTAGGTAAATCGAATCGAACCGCATCATGTACTGATTCGATCCGTTTTCTGTCTGTATGGTAAAACGAACTTCAGAAGGCAATTCTTATTGTGCCTAACTTATTCTTTTTATATATTGTAAGTTTTGAAGAGAATGTATTCACATGGGATAGATTGGATGTATTAACGGAAAAATAAAAGGCAACATCGAGCTTCATTCCTAATTAATTTTTAAGGCTCTTATTCGCGATTGATTGTGGAATGGCGATCAATCGGTTTCTCTTTCTTTCTTCTCAACCAAAACGCTTACTTTTCCTATTCTCTTGTGATGCGGATCGGCAAAAAAAACAGAAAGCTGGTCGATCGATTGCAACTCTGATATACTAATTGTCATTTATTTGTTGACTGTATATAGTAACTAATTTCATGTATTAATGAAGTAATACAAAAGTCATAACGCAGACAGTTAAGAAAGCGATACTTTGTCGTTCTAATTGTGATTGATTGCCCAAAAACATCGTCTATCATACCTAAACGATGTTTTTGGACAATCAATCACAATTAAAATAGCAATGACGTTTTCTTCACTGCCTGCGACAGCGACATCTGACCACGACAACTAAATCTTGCGTTAACATTAATGATGACGATGATGCTAGTAGTGAAAACAAGACACAACTTTTCATTAAGAGCTTTGATGATATGAAGAAAAATAATCATCTTCAAGCGTAATAAAATGAATTTTTCAATTTTCATAGCTTGTCGATTTTTTGTCTTCAATAGTTCATTAACTAAAACGATGAACACTATAAAACTAGAACAAAATAGTGAACAGGAAGTACCAGTTAGTGCTTTACGTTAAGTAAGTGTTTCCGAAGAAAATATAATCTGATTAATTTATTTTTTTGAAGTTTTCCTTTGTGCCAATCGTACCGGCTTTGCTCTTATGCTACTGGCTCCGTGTGCACTTTTCGGAGAGATGATTTGTACGGTTTATCTTCAGTCAGCTGCCAGAAATATTTGCTACTCTATCCTTTTGTGATACTTTTTATTATCAAAATAAAACTTCAACGTCTGCATTTAAGAGTAGCAACACATAGCGTTCAGACAGTGATCTTACTGGCAATCAAAATGGTTGCTTTGCATAAGTAGTTTACTACATATTTTTATTAGCTACTATTTATTTCCTTAATTTTCTTTTGATATTTTAGATTTTAGATTACATGTTAACATTGATGTAAATTTCCCATTGACGTTGACTGCACGAATTTCTTCATTTCGCGAAGAGGTTATGAACTTGGTACAATGGTTATTTAGTAAATGAAATAAAACTGATGTTTTAATTTTTTGAATTAATAGAAGTTCTCTATTCTTTACATCATCATTGTAGTTATCGATCTTCGTGCTCTTCGATTGGATTTTGTTTTTTTGAAATATTCGTATGAAACGGGAGATATTGGGTATGAATACTGCTCCATTTCAATTGCTTATTGGTCGAGTAAATCTATAATATTGCAGTTAGGAAAAGCTTTGCTTAAAGAATGAGTTGTCGCCTATTATTATTGTTTCTATAAACTTATAGTATGTACAACCGAGATGGCTAGATATCTAGCAGATCCATATTTTAAAGTAAAAATTTATAGTGAAAATATGCTGATTTATTTTCAAACTGATAGTCACTCGCATACTACATGATTTTATATATTTTCTAGACGCTTTCAACGTCAATGGACGGCGAGTTTAAATATAAGAAGACGGGCTTCTTCATCTTAGATGCATTGTTGAATTTAGAAAGCGTAATTTCTAATAATTCTTGTAGTTACTGCAGCCACTTGATATTTCTCTTATAGATTATTATCTATAAAAAAAAGGCATAATTCTTGCTGAGAAGTGTCACTTCAATTTCCAGAAAGACTCAACTGTAGAGTTTAGATTTCTATCAGCCAATGCTAGAGTGAAATTGAACCGCAAGGGGTCAACTAGTTAGTAGTCTTTCGATGTATAGTAGTATAAGTAATGATAAAAGATTTTTCTACTCAATTTACTTTTTTGATGGTGTTAACACTGGAAAACTGAATGTTCATTGAGTCCGTTGTCAAATTGGTCTTGTCAGTCAGGAACCGATTTTACGTCATTTAATAACTGCCGAAAATATAGCTGATGACTTAGAATATATTCCAATAGTAGATATTATCGATACAGCACGTACAGCAAATGTTCATCAAATACCTCAGGCTAAGCAGTAAAAAGTTTTATAAAGCATTCATAAATATTGTATGATATTTTCTTAGGATTACGAAAAAAAGTGGGATTGGACAGTA